ACATTTATCAAATTTCTAATTTCACGTATGCTGTGCATAAATTTCATATAACAAGTTGCTAATGCTTACAATCCCGTTACTTTAAGCTTGCTTGGTTTGTTTGCAACTTGTTAATTCGTATCTTACGTTTAGCAACTAATTTGATTCATCCTTGCAACAAGACCTCTTGATGAGACTGTAATGAGTGACGAATGCGAAATTATTTCATTAGTGGGCCTTTGAATAGGTAATATGGACCGTCTCTGAATTCACTGTAGATGCAAGCATGTGTTGATGAAATGTTTCTGGATTAGCAGTAGGTAGAAAACAGACTATCACCTGATAAAATCCAGTTTATTGGTGGAATAGTTATTAGACTACTAGTATCACAATTTGGAAATACATTGAAGCTTGTCCTTCTCTTTTGTACTGTAGAATCATTGGCTTTTTTTTTTTTAAGTAGGAGACGTGAAAAATAGGCAATGGCCCTGCCGGGACACAAGCCCCGGACTCTCGAATATGCATCGAGCATGCTTCCAATTACACCACGAAGGCATGCACAAAGGAAAAAGAAAATACATTATAGTATGATTATGCAGTACTCCCTCTAGTAGTTCTTGTACACAGGTAGGAAACTAACGTTTTTGGCCATTATGGTATGTATAATATGTCAAAAACACTTTAAGTAATTTTAGAGTTCGCCACAAATTACGATAAGGGACAACTTGAGAATGCTAGTACTAAGCACTTTGACCTCTAATTCAGATAACTGTGCAAACCGTTTATACCTGAAATTAAAATCAGCCACAAGGACTTTGTAAACAAATTAACTGATGAAGAGAAACTTCCACCAGCAAAGAACATGTTTTCATGTGCAAGTTTTTCATTTGGCAATGAAAAGTGTAAACAGAAAGTTTAAATATACATTATTCTTTGAATACACTTGGTAGCTTAATTGAAAATTAAATATTGAGTGTACTGTATATACTGCTAGCCAAACAATATGCAGGCCAATAAAATGGTAAATTAGTGAAATCACAATTGGAGAAAAATCTAATGCAAAATTGCAGAAGAGAAAAAGCAGAAAAAAAAAAAAAAAAAAAAAATACACATTCCTTATTACCTGCTGGTACATTTTCTTAAGACACAAAGTCTATAGTTGATGCATTTGATATCATCAAGCTAAAGAATATGAAAATAAAAGATATTTCACCAAGTATATATTTCTGTAAGAACTTGAAAATCTATTTCAGTAAAAAATATTTACACTTTGTATCTAGCGTCAACATTTGGATATTTGGCTAAAGTCATTATGAATAATTTGATATCAATAGGCTTAGATTTGAATGAGAGGTCAAAGCTATGGTTATGCATCTGCCATGCTTGGGATATTCATGGATGTACACGCTAAAGTGACAGAGGGATTTCCTGCAATGTTGTATGTGCACTATGCTTCTCATTCCCACAGAATGGCAGTTTCTGATGTATGTCACATTAAATGTATATGTAATTGCATGAGAGTGATAGAAAAATTTACTTGAAATATCCCCCTTCACACAAAATTCTATTTTCCAAGAAATTATATCATATTTGTGCCCATCTTCAAGAACAGAATTACTGAAAAAACTGTCTCGCTCAATAGATGGAGATGCGTGCTATGGATTACTAAAAGCTTTAGTTTATGCATTAGAAATAATACAGAACTGGAATGATAAAGAATCACTTTGTTTGGCTTATAAACTAAATTCATTGCAGAATGTTCTGCTTTTTAAGTGTATATTTTCAGTTATAAAAATATTTTTATATTGCCATTAAGCAGGATTTTACATTCAAAATCAATAGATCTAACGAAAGCAATGCAATTATGTGATGATATTTTAAGAGAACTACAAAAATTCACGACTATTCAGAACACATTTTCAGTACAATTTATTCCAAGTCGATCACAGCTTTAAAACAAATAAATGAAGAATTTGAATTCCACTTCCATGATGAGCAAACAAGCAACCATGTCCTTTTCTAAAATTATTACTGAACTTTATTTTTGAACATTGGATTTTACTCAATTTTTGGAATGCAGTCTTGCATTTAAATTTTTTTTTTTTAAAAACGTTTTATTAAACAAAGAAAATTTTCATATAATTTAAAATTCTGCCTCCAATCTGAATACGGTAGAAAACTTGAAATACTTTTAAATATATATTCTTCTGATTTGAACGATTAAAGTACTAGTATTTTAAATGCTGAATATCAGCTTCAACAGAGATATCGCATCGACAAGAAAATAGTATATCTACTGTATAAGCTTTACAGGCCTGCAATAAATAGATTTTCTCCAAAATTCAAAATTTTGATAATTTTAACAACATAAACAATTACAACACGCATTGAGAAAAGACTGTTTACTATGCTGAAATATATAAAAAGATATTTACAAAACACATTTAAATGGATTATTGTTGTACATGAAAGAAGAAATTTTAAACATTCTTCATAGTCTTCTTTAAGGGGGTGAAACTCTGCAGAATAAACATTAATATGATTCTCTGTAAATTAATAAGCTGTTTTCAATGAAGTTTCAATTTTTCTGTAATGAAGGTTTATTAACAAATTTCTTTAATTCTGCTAATATGTCCAATTTTGTCATGCTCCGATCTTAGATATTTTCCAATAGATCTAAAACTATGAATTATGAAGGATACTGTGGAATAGAAAAATTTGCCAGAAAAGTCTTAATATTTCCCAGTGCCATTAAAGTTTATTGCATTTCAAGCAGAACTGTCTCAAATTTTCATGCAAATAATTTATTTGGCACAAATTTGACAAAAAGAAAGATTATTGCATTGCAAAAATCAGCTACGGAAGTTCAAACAGCTTTTCAGAATCAAAAATACTGGTTGCAGGTTAATTCAAATAAAAAGGTAAGAAAAAGAAATGCAGGGAAATGTTACCAATGTGAAGAAGATAGCAGTTTCCATGTTTTATTAAATGAAAAGTAAGTATTAAAATTTTACATAAGAATAAAACTGTTTTAAACACGTACGACTTTGATGCTCAGAAACCCTACCACAGTACCATATTATCTAAAGGTTTTAAAGTATGAAACAGAGGCTATCAATTATGTACATTAATCTCGGTAAATTTTCAGTTGGCATGTCCATTCATATCAGTCAAGCAATTCACTTCATATAGCTGTCACAAAAAGAACTTACATTATTGAGGAACTAATGACAAAACATATTCCTATACATGCTACAACCAAAAGCAAATCCACTTGTTCAGAAGCTGGATGTTTACAACAATTTAACAGATTCTGTACACGATGCATGAACTAAAAAAAAAAAAAAAAAAAGATGCTTTATACAATGCCATTTAGTTTCCGTACATCTTTGTTAATCTTTATATTGATAGCTACATGCTAGATTCTACCTCCAACATATGAAAATTCATACAGTTATGAATTTGTTTTAAAGGTTGTTACTGTAAACACATGTACAATTTTTACTTAAGATACATAAGTTGGTTTTATTCCAATCAAACAAAATTTAGTCATAGGATTAAAACTCTAATTTAAATGTCAGAAACTTGCAATGCTAAAAGAAACCTTAATTAAACCTGCAATGCTACAAGGCTGATTTACCAATAAAAGTTTCTTAGTATCATGCTGCAAGATCTGCAAATCTTTTGCTTAGTATTCAGCCCATGAATGATCTGCATGATCACGTCCCATTTTTCTCTACCACTTCTGCCTCGCACTGCTCAATGCCATTTGCATGGCAACATTAAATTTCATATCTTTTTCAATAATATAGACCTTATTTACAATCATTTATGTCCCATGTTGTTTTAACAAATCCTTTCCAGTAAGCCTGTTCATTAAAATGCCTGAAAATACAGAAATGAATGATTTCCAAATCACATTCACAATGCCTATATTAAAGAACATATGCTATACATGTAAATGACAGCAATCAGAAAGGAATGGAAATTAATCAGAGCAATTCAAAAAAAGGACTAAGATAGAAAGATCCTGCAGTATGATGGTTGTTATTGACAAGTTTATTTAATTACGATTAAGTACTAAAAAATTATCAAAAGATGTCAGGGATACTTTATGGAAGACCTTTTTAAAGCAAATCAGTTTCTAATGTTACGTATATTAAAGGATCACAAATACATCCATGAAGCCAATCTACTTACCACTATAATTCAATTCAGAGGGCAACTACTAATACACTGGGACTTCTAACTTGGATGAACAGAAACTTAATTGCAAAAATTTACACAACACTGCAGTTGTAAATATATTTTAAGCACTTTTAGCATATAAGATTTAATTTAACATAGAAGCTTTCTTTACGTTTTGAGGGTGGGATTTTCTTTATGCCTGATCTAACTTGTGTAGCTGTTTAAGTTTTCATAAATCAAAAAATAACTAACAATGATCACATCTGTTTATTAAGATAAATTAAAACGACACATTCCTTTCACAGAAATCAGTTTTATAGTTCCATATATGCGAACACATTAATTAAAAACAATATGAATGAGGAAAGAGTTGTGTGGTATACCATGATCACATGAATCACAACCTCTGGTCGCAAAGATGAAGAGAAGATCTAACTGCATCAAAGAAATATGTTTCTACATATTTCTATTATTTGTCTGATTTTATAATATGAATGGGCACTGCATTATAATTTGATTTTGATATTCACTGCATGTTCTTCATACAGTTCAGAAATTCAATTAAAAGAAGTTTTTTCATCTGGTAATTCAGAATTTTATGACACGCATAAGCATACACTAATATAACTTTAAGTTGGTTGCATTAATTCATATCCGTATGTATACATTTGGTAGAGAAGTGTAACTATGAAAAATGAGAGCTTAAATTTTAAGGATCATCAGATTCGTACACTCCTATTGCATCATGCAAGTCACTATCAAGCTTTGAAAAAAAAAGAAAATAACTACACTATGTTCCCATTAAATTTCACCTATAATGAAAAAGACCTGGAGAGCTTCATTAATTCAGATATTTTATTGAAATTAAAAGTTTACAACTGATACCTATCATCACACAAGAAATCAGAAACAAATTAATAGTTCAAAAACAAATAACATTTTGTAAGCTTTCCCTATATTGCCTACATACAGAACACAGTTTTGAGTTAGCATCCAACATCAACTGCAACTGACACATCTACATGTACAGGGCAAGGCAAGAAAAATTAAATCGAAAAATTTATAGCTTTACTGCTTTAAATTTCATTTTAGTGCATAAGAAACAAATGCTAAGCACAATAAAGGAGTAGTGGAGATGAAATACATATAGATATCAAATTTTTTCCCAGCATGTGTTCATCAACAGTAATGTAAAGAAATTATCTTGCATTATCCACAATATATAAATTCCTTCATCAGTCTTTATATACACTTGCTAATACAAAACTATGTTCAATGTGCATAAACATCGACAATGTTTTGAGATACAAATTGTTCCACAGAAATACACATCAGTTATTAGTTGATACAATAGATGAGCACATTACATATAAAAACTGTGAAACTGGATATGATAACTAAAACATTTATTACAATGGCATTTGAAGATACTTTTTTCCTCAGTCAATTAGCACTAACCCACTTTTTTGAGGTAGGTGGGACGGTGGCATGACAAGCTGTACAATCATTAACCCATTTCGCACCAGTGCTAAGAATATTCATGAAAGCTCAAATTATGTTTTCATCAATGCCTCAATAACCAAGCTTATTAAAGAAAAACTAGTTGGTTACAGAGGGCAAAATGTTCATCCAAAACAGCCATACCTATGAGCAAATTTTCTCAAGACAAGTGGAAAGAATGCTGGCCTTCACTAACTGCTATTTGAAGTTTCTCTCTCATTATTTCTATCCTTGAATAGTCTGGAAGTTTTAAATAATTTACACAAGTCATGACTGATGGTAAGTAACTATCTGAATCTTCATTACCATCCAAGGTTTTCCGCACAATTGTTAGAGGAGGTGACAAAGATTTCAGACCTAAATTAACATAAAAAAATTAACATTGAGAAAGAAACATAGAAAATAATATTTAATTTATACAAACAGAATTTTGAGCATTTAAATGATGTAAACTATCAATTAATGTAAACCTTTGGGAATGAATGATTTACAACCTGCAATTTTATTTTGAATTATGAATATATTGTCATGCAAAAATTAAAGACAGAACAGCTTTTCATATGTCATGCAGCAATTTTCTAAATCAGTACAAAACATATCATAACAGCATCAAGAAGTAAAATCAGAGAAAGGTGAACTATTATCAATTAACAGAATGCAACGGACCCTTATTCAAAAGTGGATTTTGCACATATCATGATAGAAGATAGAAATGACTCTCTGATAGGTTGCAGGCAAGTAAACTGCAGTCCTTATTCAAGAATATAACCAGTCTTGACTGTGATGCAGGATGTGTATAACAATAACAAAGTCATGCTAAATACAAAGTCATCTATAAACATCTGAGGTATCACGGCCCCTTCTTATTTAACACCAGTCTATTTGGATTGCAATATTTTAATTGTTTGGCTTTCAAATTGCAATATTTTAATTGTTTGGCTTTCAATAGCTTTCACTTCCCATTTCTTCCTTCAGTAATTGTTTTTTCTTCCAAAAAAGAAGTAACAAAGCTAATGCTATTCAACAACTGTTGATTCATAGCCACTCTTTTGTAAAGGCAGTCACACTGTCAGATTCTAAAAGTGTGCTTCGAGCCTTTATGAATAATCGAAGTTACTACATTAATAATCGTACTTTTGAATTACTGTTTAAGAAAACCTTTGATTTATTTTAAGAATGAGCTAAATGTAAAAAAATGAATGACGTAATTTTGGATATCGATACCAAAAATGGATGTAAAATAATGTCTAAGCATATAGAAAATATTCGATGTAGTAAGTATTGCTGCAATAACATAAAAATACTAAACAATTTAAGGAAATAACTGTATGCAAAGCTAGAATACGTTAAGATAAAATATGAAGACTCCCACCTTTCGAAAAAATTAATTTTTCATAGATCATTATTAATTTTTTTTAAATAATGGAATGTTTTGGTGCTGTTCAAAAAGGCCAGTTTCATTTATACAAGGGCCCACCAGCGGCCGAGCGGTAAAGTCGCTGAACACTGGTAGTTCGGTCCGAGGTTCGAATCCCGCGAACGGGCTGGCTGCATGGGCGTTTTCGTGGTTTTCCCCATGTGTAACGTGTATACGAGCCAGTTTCCCTTAGAAAGTCCTCCACGAAGGCATCCCTCCTCTTAGGCAGATAGCCCTAGTGTGCTTTGCCATAATTAAATACACACACACACACACACACACATTTATACAAGGAACAAAGACCTTTACAAGTATTTGCTTAGCTCTACTTTAAATTATTGGTGAATTAATGCATCAATTAATTAATGTAGATTTTCCCAACAAATGGATATGTTTATGTCTGGAGTGCAGTCTTTCAGTTTTGTGTAAACTAAAAAATAAGAAATGCAATAATAATAAAAACCACAACTGCAGTAATATTACTATAAAGTTAAAATGCCATTATAATAATGAAAATTAGTTATGGAATTTTGAAATTTGTTGTATTTAAAATAAATAATAATAGTTCAAATTTTTATATTTGTGATATTGTGTGAAAAATTTGCAAAGCATTTTCTGAGCAAATATTAAGATTCTAAATCTAAATGTGGCTAATTATTACCAAATTTAATCTCTCAATATCACTTCTTTCCATCTTATAAAAGTTTTTTAAAATTATTACTGCAGGGTAATGTAAAATTTTACTCACTGAATTTTACATTACCCTGCAGTAACAATATCACTAAGAGCTAATTTGAATATACAAATTTGTCTTAATGTGAATTTCCATATATTTATTTTTTATTTAAATTGCTAAATTTGAAGAATTTTATGGCCATAAATAAAAAAGAAATGATATTTATAGAATGCTGAAAGCCAGCTACCTTTTTTATGAAATGCAGGTTCTTACCTACTACTATATTTAAGCATTCCACAGCTATCAGCAAGTAGTTATGCTGTTTTCCTCACACAGGACATGCCCATTTTTCATCAAAGTTTACCTTGTTATAGTATTTTGATAGTTTTTATTAATTAACTTTTAAAGTACATTTTATACTGCTAGTTTTCTGTTTATTAATTTTTAAGTGCATTTTATATTACTTTGCAATAAGAAAATGTGGTTTGTTTTAAAATAAGTAAATAATTTCAATAGCATTTAATGAATCTGTCACAATTATTTTGGTTTTATACTTACTACAACAGTTAAGCCTCGAGGGCTATCTGCCTAAGAGGAGGGATGCCTTCCTGGAGGACTTTCTAAGGGAAACTGGCTCGTATACACGTTACACAATGGGGAAAACCATGTAAACACCCATGCAGCCAGCCCGTTCGCAGGATTCGAACCTTGGACCGAACTACCAGTTTTCAGCGACTTTACCACTCGGCCTCTGGTGGGCGTCTTTACAAAAGACTTTCAAGATAAGGACTGAAATATTTACATTACGACATTCAAGCAAAGGTTTTCATGGACTGTGAACTTTTCTATTTATTTCTTGCAAACTTTTAAAACTGGAGTGGAAACTTCAAAAGAAATCCCAAATCTCCATTCATTGGTCAAACGTGTTATACTCAAAATTTAGATAAAATTTTCTAATTTTTCACATAATCACATTTCTCCTGTTTAGTTAACTATTTTTTTTTCCTGAAAAGGCATTTCAATTGCCAAGGTGTTTTTCTTTGAAAGGGGAAATATGTAAGGTGTAAAACATGTAATTTAAATTACTAACTTTCGTTTAGCAAAGTCTTTTTAATTTCTCACTTTAATTTGACTATGTCCCCTTTTTGGAATCTAAACTGTGTCATTTGAAAACTAATCCATACTATATCATCTGCAATGCAATGGCTCTTGATGAATCACTGTTCAAAATTTAAACAAAGGATTCGACGTTAATTAGCCTTGAAAATTTAATCATTTGCATGCAAAATTTTGAGATGAGTATTTTTTAAGGATCTGCCCTTCCTCCCTCAAAATAGTGCATACGATGATGACAGCAGGATGGCTACAGAAAAGATGCAGTCATAGTTGATTGACACAGTTTCATTTTGTGGTACGGCACTATCTACATAAACACACATACTTAAAATGGCAGAAGTATGCCTGCTATTGCTTAATTATAAGTTCCTATTTCATAACATTAGAACTGGTGATGAAGAGAAGAAGCGAACTACATATTAGCTGGACAAAAGCAGGCAAGCAAGAATATTTATTGATGCGAGTAAAAACACATCAGAATATTTGAGAGATATTAATTTTGAAATGACACTCTTCAGAAGGATTTATCAGCATTTAATTATTTTTACAACAGAAAGATAAAATAACCAACTTGAAACTGGAGGTAAATAAATGCATACAAAAAGTAATGTTAAAATGATTCTCCAAAGAAAAATTTTTAAAAATATTACTACAAATCCCTTTTTAAATATTGACCAAACACAGTTCACAGAATCAAAACTATTTAGACATTATAGAAGGTGAAGATTGAATATACGTCTTCACTATCTGTTAACTCATCTCTAGACCAAAGTGGATAATTTATATTCCATTTCTTATACTTTCTATTACTGCTTATAAAGCATAATGGCAGTAGAAAATAACAACTGAACGTTACTCAAACATGACAAAGCACAGAAGGGCTATCTGCCCATGGGTAAGGATGACTTTGTGAAAGGATTCTCTCAGGAAACTGGCTCACATTCATATTGCACATGGGAAAAATCATGAAAATCAACCATGCATCCAACCAGGTCTGGGACTGAACCCAAATTCAGCTCCCGGTACTCGGTGATTTCAACCACTTGGATAAAGGTGGAGTGCTTAATAGATGAAATAAGGATGATTATACAATATGCAAAGCATCACAAAATTTATTATTATGACTGAGGAAAGAAAGAACAGAAAGGCATGATTAAAATCCTATAATTCAGAATTAACAATGCAATTAATAAAAAGAAAATATTTACTTGAATATATTTGAAACCACATGAATGAAATAAAAAAAATCAGAATACATACCTCCAACAGGGAGCCTAGGAGATCCAGTAACAAACTGCAAAAACTGTCTCTGCTGTTCTTTATCGTAACTGCTCAGAATAGCAAAAAGGAATTTAATAGCTCTACTATCATGTGTATAACCATGATCAGGCCGACAGCATTCCATGAGGCTTTTCATATCCCACTGACTATGTCCACTTCCACAAAAAAGGTACTCCAACTGCAAAATTTTCATTTATTAATATAAAATTTATCACAAGGGGGGGAATCCACATTTTACACATAAACAATTTAATAAAGGTAGTTTCATCCCATAAAAGAACAATTACCTCATCTGGATAAAATATTCTCAGCTGGTTTAAAGAAAACACAGATTCAAAGCCCTCTTTGAATGCTTCCATCTGACGGCGAACACCTTCATTCATAGTCCAATATCTCAAAAGCTAAAAGTAAATAAAACACACAATTCAGAGTTCTGTCCTGTTACCAATGCATATTTGAGAATAATCCTTAAGTAATGAAGATCTTCATAATTTCTATTTGAATTATTCCCTATATGAGGAATAAGTTCAGTTTGAATTTTTGTTACTACAGTAGTCCCTACAACTCGGCCTAATGTGGAGTGGAGGGAGGGTGGCTGAATTTGTGAAAATGCTGGGTTATTCGGAAAGGCTTTAAAATGCATTGGGACGAGTGTTTCCTCAGAAAATACAGTAGTTGAAAGTATTGGTTGCTTGAGAATACAACAGTTTAGAAAGAATTCAGTATTGTAATTCAAACTACCAAAATACCCTTAAACAAAGGAAAAGTATGTAGTTGGCAGGGAGACGGATACTACATAGTGCTTACTTAATAAGACAGACCTCAGAAAAATACTTTATTAAGGCATAAAGCTGTCAATAATGAAAACTAACTAGCCGACTTTGCAAAAATCGGATACTTTTTCAATGCATAATGGCCTGTTGTTTTGTGCACTGAATTCTGCGTTTGGCTCTTTCATCACGAAGATGACGAAGGAACACCAAGTCTATTACCAACGTACCCTTATGTTCAAAGTACTTTAGGGAGGTTTTGACAGCCTTTAGTTCCTCACTATGTGATATTTTAGGGGCTTGTACAGTGGAGTCCTCAAAGTCAACGTCTTCATAATCTTTTGACATTTCCTCATTAACTGCAGCAATAATTTTCACATTGGACAATGTCTTGCTCGTTATTCTGGAACCACTGTTCAATGTCATTTTCATCGGCTTCTTCACATCCAGGAACTCTTTTCGGGAGGTTGAGTAAGTTTACTTTTCTGCATCATCATGTTCAACGAAATCATTTCCATCATGATCAAAAAGTTTTTGCCAGGAACTAATTAGTGTTTGACTAACTCATTCTAGGCATCCACCCACCCAAATACATCTGATAGGTTAATTTTTTTAAGTTCTGGATAAGACCTTGACCATCATCATTTTCAGAAAGAAGAGAGGATAACAGCCTGTGCCTATACCTTCTCTTGAGACTAACCAAAACTCCTCAGTTCACTGGCTGGCATAACGCTGTGACATTGGGTGGTAACAACATTGCTCGTATGCCCCCATTTTTTAACTTCAAGTTCTGGGTGCAAAGACACGTCCAAAATCAGAACAGCCACCCCTGGCAAGCTTTTAAGATTTTAAAAAACTGCTCAACCGATGGAACAAATACTTCAAAGAACCACTTTTTGAAAACTGCACAGCTTATCCAGGCATTTGACTAGTTTAGATACCAAATGGAAAGTTTATCTATTTCAATGTGCTTAAACATGGATTTTTCTATGACACTATTTTAATTTAGTCACCTGTTGCATTCCTGCATGTTAGGATTGTTACCCTTTCCTTGCTCCTTTTAAAACCAGGAACTGACTGTTCTTCCTTGAAAGCAAGACTTTCGCTGATCACAGTTTATAATTTAACACTGTTTCATCACAACTGTACACAACTGCTCTGTGGTCAAACCTTCAATAAACTCTTGAAAGTTTTCCTTAGACCAAAACATACCATTCGTGTCCCCAGATAGTTTCCCCCCATAAATACTATGCTGTTGCACTCCATATTGTTTATTCCAGTGATCAAGCCAACCAGTGCTTGTGACAAATTTAGCAAACGTTGCCTTTAACTTTTGCCATAAAATTTCAAGGCCTTCTCTTGCAGGATTGGCCCATTTATTGGCATGTCCTTCTCTTTTGTTTGAAACCAAATGTAAAGTGCTTTATTTACCTCATTAAACTCACTTCCCTTCATACTTTTGATTTCTTTCAATGCTTCTGTACACCATTCTCTTAACACACCATGATTCACTTTCCATCCGCTTCTCCTTCCAGTCTCCAGTCATACTTCTGCAAAGTCCCATGTCCTTAGCCAATGCACTGACACTTTCTCCTTTATCCAGTCTCTTTAATGCCTCCAACGTTTGCTCCATAGACAAGTTCACTTGTTTCCTTTTAATGGGAAGATGCCAACTCAGAGTACTGCCCAGCAACCACACACTTTGAAACAGCATTGAACAATACAGTACAGTCACTCGCATTTTTTGAATTCCGCAGCACAGCTAAGAAATCGAGTAACCCTGGCAAAGTCTGCAGGTAGACTGAACAGCTGAACATGCCCCAGTGGCAGAACATGGTGAAGTGGGAATGTAATGTGAGACAAAGGAACACAGGAAGAAGGGGATATATGCACATGGGCCATGACCTTGAATGGGTCTGTGCGCAGGATTTTTTCGACCTGCCAGGGTGTAGTCGAGTTTTCCGGACTGTCGGGTTATTGAGAAGCGAGTTTTTGAGACTCTATATATAATGAATTAAATATTACGATGCCTTGCACAATAAACATGGGAAGACTGAAAAATGTTCCACAGAAAAAAACACACAAGAATAATATGCTAAACATGGAATTAAATTTATTTTAGTTTCTATTTAGGCAGTACATAAATACAAAAAACATCTGCATTAAAAAACATGACAAAGGAGCAGGAAAGTAAATACATTTCTTAATATTAAATTATCATTAAAGAATTGCAAAGTGCTACTTAAACAGAAATCTGAGTAAACATGAAAGAAGTTCTTCAGCTCAATTTGACTCCCAATCACGCAAAGGTGAAAACAGTACAAAAGACAATTTTCTACAGAGAGTTCAGAAATTATTTGCACAAGCGTGGTATAGCGAAAGAAGCTACTCTTTTGGCATGCTAATTCTATTGAAACTTCTTCAAAAGGCACTAGCTAATAAAAAAGATTTACCAAATATGAAAAAAAAAAAGTATGGAAAAGAATTTGAATCAGCTTTTAAATATACAGGAAACTAAAAATTGGGAATTTATTGGCACATAAAAAGTATTCGTACATTATCCTTTGCCAAAAAATACATGAATGAAAAGTCCAGAGTTTTGGAAAAACATTATTTTTTCAAATGAAAGTAAACTGAATATTTTTGGATTGGACAGGAAGTGAATGCTGTGAACAAAACGAGATACAGAAACACATCCAAGGAATTTACTAATAACAGTGAAACATGGGAGTAGAGGCATGCTGTGTTGGAGGTTGTGTCAGTGTTTCCAGGGTTGAAACGTTAGTCATCATTAATGGCATGTGACAAGCACTTCTTTTCATAAGCAGAAACATCATTATTTCTTATACACACTGAGTTTTAATTAATTTTACAAAATAAGAGGAGTGACAGTACCCATCCGGACGAGCAATAATTACCATGGAACATGGGTTTGCATTCCACTCTTAGAGGCAGAATATCCCACACAATGGATCGGATGTGGCAAACCTATGGCTTATTCTCCTTGCTCACCGGACATCAACCTACTACTTTTTCTTCAGAGGGCAAATGAAATCTTTAGTGTAAAAAAAATGCCTGTGGACTCGGCTGAAGACATTGAAGCAAGAACATGTTGCTGCAGACAAAACACAAACCCAGGAATCTTTTGAAAGGATACGTCTGTCATTCATTTGCCGGTGTGAACTGCACAACAAAATGCGTGGCCTTACTTTGAGCACTTGTTGTGAGTTTTACCCTAATCAATAAATCAGACTAAAGCAACTTTTGGCATTGTTCATTCGCTTTCCCCACACCGTTTAAGTTCATGTTGGAAATCTGATTTTACTCTTTTCTGCCTCTAAGAGCAGAGTGCAACAATATGTTCCACAGTAATTATTTTCTCATATGGATGGGTAGTATCATCCCTCTTATTTTATAAAAATTATTTAGACTCACTCAGGATATGAGGCATAACCAAACTGCAACTCCCCATCACAACCCAATTGTGAGCTACTTGTAGTACTTTGGCCTCTGAAATGAGACTTGTTTACAATAAATAGGATTACTTAGCAAGGATGCGGCAGTTATTCATTTGCCAACGGGAACTGTGCAACAATATGCATGGCCCCACTTTGAGCACTTGCTGCGAGTTTCCCCCTGATCAATAAATCAGACTATGGCAACTTTTGACATCGTTCATTTGCTTTCCCAACACTGTTTGATTTTACTATTTTATTCCTCTCAGAGCGGAGTGCAACCCTATGTTCCATGGTAATAATTCTTTCTATGGATGGGTACTATCATCCCTCTTATTTTGTAAAAACAATTTAGGCTCACCCAGTATATGAGGCCAAATAGCCAAACTGGGGCTCTTCATCACGTTATCGGTGGCCTGTGAGCTACTTGGGTTCTCTGCCTTCTGAAATGAGACTCGTTTACAATAAATAGTAATTAATTTTTTGAAACACACAAAGAATTAGAAATCGCGCAACAACAACTTTCTTTATTGATAATTTATTTTCTCATATTATGTAATAATTGAATTGATTTTAAACTATCCACCACAGGTTTATCCTCAGAGTAACAAATACAGTTGCAAATAATTCCATTTCTGGCAATTACTATTTCGGTCATGTTACTTTTTGAGCAGGTAATGATCATCGAAATAGCACAAAATATACAAATATGAAGTTATCAAAAAGTAATATTTTTTCACTTAAGTTATTTTTATTTCAGGCTGTTTCTGCTTACATTGCTTTTGTGTGATTCCATTACTCACAACAGTTGTGATCCACTTACAAGATTTGCTATTCATTATTGGGTACTACTTTTGTTCAATCCTTGAATGGCTTGAGTAACTGCTGAAGAAACTTCTTTTGCCCTGTAGTCCAGCATTTGGGGAAGAATTTTAAATTCAAAGACTTTATTTTTAGTGAGGTGAACCCTCCCTCTTGTACTCATAAGACTTGTCTCAACTTTCTGCGGGTGTCTTACAAATTAATTTCTCATTCCCAAGCAAGGTCAGGCCATTTTTATGCAATTCCTACACAGTTTTCATATCACTGCACGATAATATGCTACAATGTATGCTTTTCCCACACGAAACTCATCTTTCATAACAATGACTTGGTTATTCTAGGTAAAGATCATAATTTATTTCACCAATTGTTGTGCATGCTGAAATATTTGTGGGTCAAGGAAGAAGTCATTAAACTGACAGAAATTTCATTCCAGTCAAAGATTTTAATTCACATTTTATCAATTGTTGTTGTTTAAGATGGAACTCTTTTATTATCAAACCTGCATATAAATAATGCTGCATGAAGCAATGAGGGATCAACTGAACACAAATGTCTCTCTTCTCCTAATGTTTGTCAAAATATGGCATATTGATGCTGGTGAAATAGTTTTGACACGATATTTTGCCAGACATTATTCGATGACCTTATTTCTTTCTAGCTTGACACAAATATCACTCTAGGTTAAAGATGGTGCAAGGTCTTTTGCTGCCTGGCATTTCTAAAATTTTTCACCCCTTAGTACTGCCATTCAGTACAGCTGCACTGGTTGCCCTGGCTCTGATTTCACGTCTTTAATCTGTTGATATTTTTTTTGTTTACCTAATTTTTTATCATCACGTACATCTAATATGCATTTTACAGAAGTTTTACTATGGTCCACTGCATGATAACTACAAATTTCAAATGTCAAATTTTGCTGCAGTTTAGCCCTGTAAACGTTTTTTAAATCTGATTTATTTTCGAAAGTATCCTCATACGCCTACAGACTCTATTTCAAATTTCATTTCAGAGTTATTTTCTGTACACAGGTTGTGTAAACGTTAGGGTTGCAATTAAAAAAAAATATTTATTTCAAATTTTCTTATGAGTTACTTAGAAATTTAAGACATGATGGTAAATTATTTGAGCACATTTATGGGTCTAATACTTAACAGCTAGAACAAAGTGGATCCATACATCTATTTGGCAAGCACTCCCGAACTGTTGACTAGATGTCTGCTGTGTCACAAAAGGTTTCCACATCGAACATCCACGCATGTCCATAGAAATATGGAGAGTTCTATATTCATGTTATACAGTACAAAGTCCGAAATCCAGACTCGTCGGGACTTCGGCGATTCTGGATTAGGGGTTTTTCTGGATTATATTTAAATTCATCAATTTAAATCTGGTAGGCCAGCATGCAGAAATTATGCAATTAAAAATATGAAACTGTAATTTGTGAAATAAAGAGCAATTATGATCTAAAAGGGTATCAAATTTTACAAAAAAAAAAGCTTAATAGTTATTTGTTTACTTTATTAAACATTTTTTTTTCAAAGCGCGCATGTGTAAAGCATACATTACGCGCATTCTCTACTTGCATGCGTAAAGCATACAAGAAAAAAGTTTGTGGCTTTTGGGTTCGGATTATAGATCATTCCCGGATAATGCGACATCCAGATTACAGACTTTGTGCTGTATTTGTGAAATAAATTCATTGTAGTAGTAGTCACAGGTATATTTTCCTTCAGTACCATTAATTTTGATTTACTTTATATCTGAAAAACAGCTCAAAATTCAACAGCTATGGATAAAAATTCAATTAGTAAATAAACGGTTGGAGTATGTGCTCGATGAAGCATTTACATCAACAGGCACGAATTACTAGATTTATTAGTAATAGATTATCTATGTCCAGAGTTACTGGGATAATTTGAGATACAGTGGAGAAATTTTATTTCAATAGACACAATTTTTAAGTACTGGTTCCTTAAAAATTCTTCCAGATTTCGCTGGATAGCATACTGAAATTGTGTAGCACTCAAGGCTGTCATGAGTGATAGTGATGATTCAGATACCATTGAACTTGCAATCATGGTCTTCTTGTAATGGATTCTTCTATACTGGGAATCAGTAAAAATAGTTATTCAAAAGATTTGGGTTCAAACATTTAACGAATTCTTAGGTTAGGAATCGAAAGATTCGAGTGATGAAAACAGCAAGATCCAATGTTAGAATTAAAAATCTCTGAAGACTCCCGAGATCTGAGGATTTGAATGTTTCAAAATCAGATAAAACAAAATGTAATTTATAACCTATTTCTTGTCTAATGAATTACTTAAAGTTAGATTTGATCTCGGTATGTTGGTGCTCATGAAAATTATGTGGAAAACCAAAATTAATTTTAACGTGAAAGCCTAAAAAGGCTAATTGCTTACTTTTAAACTTTCTTGAATAACAGTTTTTCTGGAGTGCACGGTGACCTGTATCATTTAATTTATTCTTTCGAAGAGACTGCTTATGAGTTAAATAAAGGAAGGGGGTAAACTAGATTTTTTAAATAATTATTTATAATTCACTCACATAAAATCTGTTTGCATAACTGTAGTAAATGTGCTTTCAGTTTACATTTACTAAAATCAAACAACAATAATTATAAATGGAAGAGGTTAAAGAAAAATCAGAAGAAAATATTTGGTTTTTCTACCTGAAGGAAGAATGTTCCATTTCAAGAGTTACAAATTTATATTTTCTTGAAATTAAATTTTCTGGCCAGAAAGCAGGAGCTATGAGATTTATTCGTTCATATTTATATGTAACTATGTTAATCACATAAAACTGTGAAATTCTCATTAACTTACTTAAAAAATTTCTTGATATTCAAAATCCGCTTTATTTTGGACTTGTGGCTGAAAAACATACATGAAATCTACCACGCAGCACCTATCATCTTGAACAGATAACAGCACGCTGCTACTCTTTTGTACCATCATTGAGATCCAATGGCATTTTCAAATTAAAGTATGCATGTACAACTAGCACTTGGTTACTAATGAAATGAGTGTCACAAACTATGACAGTTCTGCAACCTATTAACCACACATGGAAACCACCCACTGCTATTTTCAAATACATCATGCCAATGGATGACTTAATGGCCTTTCCCTTGTAATTCTGTAAAAATACTTAGCAAGTACTTGAAGACAAAATATTGGATGAAGAGGCCTGTAATTTTGTCAAAAACTCAATTTATATGAAAAAAATCCCACACCTACTCAAATATACATCATAGTATTAAGCAACAAGTAATTCTGTTTAAAAAAGAAACATTTGGACTGAATGCTCGGCATACATTTTTAGTAAACTTTTTAGCATAAGAAACAAATATATAACTACTAACCTTAAGATATTCTTCTAAATTGTACACTGTTACAAGCATATCTTTACCACCTTTTCTCATTTCAATGTGTGAAAAGCCAGGAAGAGTGAAATCTAAATTTAAATCTTCTAAAGGACAACCATCTAAAGTCAGACTTTCCAAGGCACTTTTCAAAGCAGTTGAAGACTAAAAATGCAATAAAAATATTAAAAACCAAATAATGAAAAGCAACTTAAATTCTGGATATTCTCACAATCTGACAATAACTACAGTTACAAAACATATACATTTAAATCTTTGTGCACAAAAGCAATATGCAAAGTAGAACTTTCGATAAGGAATTCTCAGCTTTCCATAATTCCCAGTTTAGGAGAAAATATTCATAGCATCAACATCACATAAATTTATCACATTAACAGATAACTATGCACCATTAATACATAAAATTATCTATGCCAGATGAAAATTTTCAGCTTTGTCACACAATTTAACATGTTTTTAAAAATATATCTGATAATTTTTATATACATAAGAAAGTAACAATTATATGAAAGCAACATGTACTTAAGGAACAAGCTACTTATGAGCTCACAGGCATGGAAACATTTCATTTTCTGATGCACTGCTATCAGAATATCTTACATCTTGACACATGCATATTTTAAATTTGGTTTGATATAATTTATGCCTAATTTTACACCAAAGTGTATTCTTTTTGATAGCTTGAACTGCTTTATACAATATGCAGCATTTCATATTTCATTAGAAATTCACCACATTAAGAAATGTAAAACTCAGATCTTCTTCCCGACAGTTTATGTTCCATACTTTACTTGTATGACGGTATTTTTCTGTGAATTTCATTATTAGTCAAAAATAAAAAGGTCAGTCAGATGAATAAATAGTGAAAAATGGCCTGCTTTTTGGCAATATACGAGTATTTAGTATTGACCTTTATAATAGGAAACTCTAGGATACAAATATGACTATATATTGCATTTAATTCCAGTAGATGTGGTTAAGAGAACATTTAAAATGTAAATTGCATCTAATTTCAGTGCAGTTGGTTGAGAGATCATTTAAAATGCAACAGCATGTTCTACACAACAGCAGCTAAGTCATCTTGAATGTAAATACAAAATAAGTAAACATTCGATTCTATATAACGCATTAACTCACCATTAGAAATTTGCATGTGATTAACATGAAGTTATAAGAATTAATTTTTTTCTAGCTTTCCAGAAGTCTACTTAGCTTTAAAAATTACATGTTTAATATGATAATCATCCTCTTTTCAGGTTTACAGCTTAAGATGTTTTACAATATTAAACTATTTTCAAGGCAAAGTTTACACTATTTACTTTTAATTATAATTGGATCCCATGTCCACGGGTAAAAGATTTCAAGGCTGTGGATAACAGTGAATGCTAAATAAAACAGAATATTCACATACGCTATATTATTTTGGTTAAGTTCAATTAACCTTCCAGCACAGGTGCTTGGCAATTAACACACGCGCACATAGTATTTTTTATGACATCCATTATTTTACTATTTTTGGCACAAAAAACGACAGAAATGAGTGAATATTGATAATAAATTTTTAAGAAATAAAATATTAATGTTATTATTGCAGAACACAAATGATATCACATTCAAATATAAGTAAATTATTTTTAAGTTCTTATGTTAGCGAGATGGAAATGCAATGATGCATTCATTTCATTATACAACATTTTTAATTTATTATTTAATAACAATATTTTAAAATCGAAGCTAATTTAATATTCATCAAAAGGCACGCATAGACAAATAAAAAGGAAAACGCCTTGGTAGGGGGAAAAAAAGTAAGTTTAGCATTACTTACTTCTGCAAGGAAATTTACTTCTTACTAGTTAACAAAAAACACACTTTAAACTAACTTTAATATTTTTATTTATTTCTAAAAAATAGAAATAAAAGAAAATAAAAAATGGCAATCGCTATTGTTCTCCCATCCAAAGGTTTCCTTGTTTTCCTTTTCTTTATCAGATAATTCTTTAAGAATGCTAGCAAAATCAGCTGGTTTGCACATATTTTTTTGCCATGAAAACTGATATAAAATTCACAGAGCCAAATGTATTCAAATTAAAATAATACATGGCAATTAATAACACAAAATCACAAAATATTTGAGAATAAAATATTTTCTGAATTTTCACCCACGAACACACGCGTGTCTTAACTTTTACGAGAAAGCTGCCACGTAGCACAAATGCCAAATGACTTCCTGTTTGCACATTCCACGATGTGGGGGAGGGTAGAACCATAACATACTATTTCAAAGAATGATAAAAATATAGTTAATAATTTTCCTAGCATCAACAGTACATTACTAGCTTGCAAGCAGTGGTAGTACCACTACTGTTACATTTTGGGGCCATTACTGTGGTAATTGAGAACTGTAAGTGTAAAACAGCTGCACATCAGTAATGAGAATACGGTACACGCTAGAACAAAGAAGAATGGAAAAAAAAATAATAAAAAGATGGCTACAGAAACAAAGATAGTTTCTAATCATAAACGGCTGAGCTTTTATACTAACATATTTGTGATTATCATGTCAGGATATGAGCTCAGAGTTTGAGGAGATTCCTGTAACCTTAAAATACAAATACAGCTGCATATAATGACCAGTTTCATTCTTTGTATTAATTACATCCATCAGTTATGATGGTACTTGAGATTTTTCAGATTTATTTCACATACATAACTGACTGTTGTCACTTCATTTGCATTTTAAAACTTACAATTCATGAAATTTACAGCAGTTCTTGCTTCTTCTCTCTGCTGTTCTGAACTACGATAATTTAAATCACACGTACTAAATCAATTGATAGATTCATGGCTGTGACTAATATATCACAGGCTTAAACAACTGCTAGTCGACAGGTTCAAAAAGGTTAAGTAGAAAAATAAGAATATTACTCCCTCAGACACACATGTTTGCATAATTGAACATGCAAAGAAATATACTTACAAGTGATTTATCATTCTCAAGTCTCTTTTTTTCTATAGCTATTTTTTCAAGTTGAAGGATAGTTTGAGCTATGTTTTCATCTACATGTTTGAGATCAGCAAGACACAAATTATTCTCTTGATTCAACATCCATTTGTAGAAGACAAGGCTCAATGGGATATCCAGCTAAAATGTAACAAATTCCATATATAAATAAATTCATCTAGATTTAAAGTAAAATAATGCATGCAAAAATGTTTAAACTGCATTTAGAGTAATTAACATTTTGCATGATCTATGTTATGCAAGTATGAAAAATAGAAATGTAATAATAGTAAGGAAAAGATGGAGCAGTGTCGATGTGCAATACCTAGATATTATAGATCATAGATCCATACTGAAGAGGAATAATTCTGATTGCATAGTATGTTAAGATGTTGACTTCATAATACCTAAAGAACTTGGCAGTTGAGGCAGTTTTAATTCCATTTTTATTTGCAATCAACATTTGTGGCCACAACTACTTCACACTCTAGTCGTTCCTATTCAAGAAAATTTACATTTTTGATATTGTTGTGATAGGAACAGAGCAGAATGAAACAGCTTCTAAACGGCACACAAGCAAAAGCTAAAGTGCATAACTATCCAATATGAAAGCACTCGAATAAAAAGGTTTTGGTTTGAGTTAAAAGTTTCAGTTTCCAATTATCATGTCCATCAGCACTGCACAGGCCATGCTGAATGGAATGATCTAGAAATGACACAATCCAGGGAAGTTATTACAATTTGTAAAACAGAGAGGGAGAATTAAAAGGTTACTGTTAGTTTAAATTATAATTTTAATTTACATATCCCCTCCATTAACGAGAAAAAAGCTTGGTGATAGAAAAGCCTTTTTAGAAGAAAACATAACAGCAGTAGCAAAAGAAAGGAAAATACAAATAGTGGGAAAATATCATAGAATTTGATAAAAATAATTTCTTAAAACTCAAAAAAATCTCACAGATATTTTTAACAATAAATTCAAATTGAAAGTCTGCAAGTTCATTTTTCTGTAAAATCACTGAAGGAATGTCCTAATTTTTTCAAGAAATTCTGGAAAAGTTAACAGTTCTGCAAAATCTTTGCTTGTATATCATAATCATAATATTTTGCAGTCCTTGAGTCTTTCATAAAAATTGATGTTGCCAATATAAAACCAAAATTTTCTTTTACAGATTCACAAAATTTGAATTGATTATTTATAAAATAATCAACATTTTCTTAATTGTAAAGCAATATAAAATGGAAGTTAAAACTTAATACCTGGTAAGTAGCCAAATTCAGTACAATAACAATATAAATTTTGATAAAAATGGGCAAATTCTCTATAATTCAAATCAGTCTGACAAATTGCTGATGGCTGCGGGATGCTTAAACACAATTACACATAGAAACCTACATTCCTTAAATAAAGGTAACTGGTCTCCAATATTGCATAATTACCAAAGTTTACATTCATAACTTATGGTCATAAAAATCTCCAAACTAGGTAACTGAAATGAAAAAATATACAAATATTAAAATGTAAGATAAAATCCTACATTGCTCTAACAATAATAATATAGACCATATAATTCTTTGAATATAAAATAAGAAAATAAGTTTCATAATTACATCTGTTTAGAAAAGGCTTAAACTTTCAAATATAAAAATTTCAAACACATCCATTAACATTACAAAATCGAAAAAAATTTCAAAATATTACAATGTAATTAAATTTTCATTTGAAACATTATTTGAAATAATATATTATTATGGAAATTTCTAATTTACTTAGCTTGTACTAACTGGAAGACCCCACAGGTTTCTCTTAATATGAACATTTCCATCTTACAGGCAAATTCACAATAATGAATTTTGGCGTATGAATTTTCACCAATGGTTAAGGGACACTCGTGGCAGTTACTTATAAAGGCCTCCATTCCTTGTTTTAAAGGCAACTGGCCTTTTTTAATGCTCTTTCCATTTATAAAAAAAGAAATTAACCACACTTCGTTATATTTAAAAAAAAAAAAAATCATCCTCTTATATACAAAAAGTGAGAGCCTTCAAAGTTTATCTGAACATATTAGCATCCGTAAATTTTTAAATCAGTTAACTTAATTCCATATTACTTATGGATTCCTATAATACTACTCTAAAACATTATTTGTTTATCATATTTTACACTAAATTTTCATAATTATTTTATTCACTTAAAAATTCTTAATTCAAAATTTTCAACATAAATTCAAAAATATAATTATTTACCTTAATATAATTCCCTATAAATAATTTAAATAGCTTAGAATTCATTACATAATTTGCTCACATATACTTATGAAAAGCTAGAAAAATTAATGAACAAGAATTTGACATTTTCGCAAGCACAATATCAAATTTCAGAAATTTTAAGAAAAATTTAAACGAAAAGTGAAGTATCCACAGCAGATTAAATAATTTTGTCCCTTTCCTAAGTTAAATTCACATAACGATAAAAACTTTTGAGCTGTCGATTGATGAAGTACTATTAGAAAAAGCAGAAGCACAAATAATTTTCTATCGCACATACTTGAAGCAAAGCACAGATCGACAACCTTGAATCAACTGTATGCTGAAGCACTTAAGTGATTGAAAGCACCTTTTTTTTTTTTCATCCCTTTTAAATATTTTAGTGATAGCCGAAGCAAATTCAATATTCCTTTTCACTACACATTCAAATTTCTGGATTTATCGGGAGATTACTTTCATTCTGTAAACATTACACATGATTATATTTTTGAAGTACTCATAAAACACCACAGCACAAGGATGATAGGTTATTTTTCAAACACTGAAAAATCAAATTTGATGATTCACTTCTTTCACATTGCCTTTGTATTTATCAATGATTTAAAGAGTAAAATAAATAGTAATAATGAGTAATAATAAAAGTAAAAAACCATAACTTCAATGCTATTCCAAATAAATATTACTTATAAATGTGAAAATTAGTATGGTATAAAATTTTTTAAGATTTACGATTATCCGTAATTATATATAATGGGCATATAAAATTTTTATGGAAATCCTTCCCTAAGTACAAAATTCTGATGTGAATGTTCCAGAGATTCTGTATTTATGAATTTTCCGGATATTAGATCATCAGTTTAAATCTAGTAAATGGCATGTAGAAATAATAAAATTAAAAATGTGAAATCGTGAGTTATGAAATAATGAAGCATTTATGATCAACGGGTATCAAAAGCTTAATATTTGTTTACTTTATTAAACATTTCTTTCAAACTTTTTAAGTTGCTTCTTTTTTTGTGCTAATACTTTCTCAAATTCTATAGATAGACATAATTTCAGTACATCCTAGTATACGGTAACGCCTTGGATTGATTTCGTAAATTGTCGCCCACACCAAAATGCTAAAATGATTTGATTCTTCAATAACAAGGTATTTTATTTAGTGCCAAAGTGAAATTAAGAATCTAGACTTTCCACATGCATGGGGGGAGTCAAATGCGCACGCGTAAAGCACACACAAAATAAATAAATAAATAAAGTTGGTGATTGATTTGAGGTCCAGATTTTAGATTATTCCAGATATTGGACGCCCGGATCTCGGGACTTTGTACTGTATTATATTTTATATGTTTCAAAAGTTTCAAAAAGTTTCAAAAAGCCTTCTTTATCGCTCCACCTTTTTCTTTTTGAAAGAGGAAAATGTGTAAGATAAAAAAAATATGACAGCAACTTCTAATTTTAATGGCTATAATCTTTTAGTTTTATTTAATTTGGGGACTTCATCCTGTTGTCTTAAAAATAAAGCTATAAATTGAAACAGTGTCATCCAAATTAATCCTGCAATCTTATGTAACGCTTAATGCAGATGTCTCTTGCCCAATCAAAATAACTGTAAACTAAAACTGAACTAAGTCTCCCTCTTCTCTTCCTCTGCATTACTACTGTGACGCTCTTCTCTTTTTCACTTGTGCTTTCCTCGTGGTCAGACATTTTGCTGCAATAATATATGTGCTGCAATGATAGCTTATATAGCAGCAGTATCAACATCATTCTGGAAATAGGCACGATTGGTGTGCCAAGTGAATTGTGGCCACAAATCTGAATTTAATTAAATATGGAATTTAATCTGGCTCGACTGTTTCTTCATCAAAATGGATAGATGCTCTAAGCATCAAGTATCTACGCCATCAGTATTTCTGCACATCTACATCTCAGTGTTCTTACACCGGCGCTTTTATAATTTTGCTAATATTACACTTATTATTAATCATACAGGATTGGATTAAGTGCTACTAACCTCAATGGAACATTTATTCCTCAGTTGGATATATGTTGTGCTATCATTACATACATACTGTACAGCAGAAACAAATTTTATGTCATATAACATGCAAGTCACTTCAGACAAAACTAAATTAATTAATTACAAGAAAGAATGCAAGTTTTTTTTCCCTGCCCAGAGAGAAAAGTGTCTTCTTGGGGAATTCTTTTTAAGGATGATCCATATTCGCATCACAATAAAAAACCATGAAAATGTCGTGCACCCAGTCTTCAACTTATGAAGTTTCATGGTTTTTGTGACTGATAAGCCATTTCAAAGACTGACTGTTACATTAGACATCAACAGCTCAATCGTAACCCAATACTGCTGAATTTCCCTGAGGCTTCCAGGGGCACAATCACAATTCCCTTGGCACTCCATCATGCCAAACAACAATTTAGTCAGTAATTCAGTAAAATTTAGGAATACAAGAACAAACAAATCACTCACGGCAGAAAAAATCTCACTTAAAAATGAGACAGATTAAATATTATTCAAATATAAACATGCAATGGGATTAAATATCTCAAGTAATTAATAAAAGTAAAGATTAAAGATTTTTCTGCATAATATATATTACAATTTTAAGCTTAACCTTTATACAGAGTAAATACATGAACTGTGTTCTCATCTCTCACTTGTTACTTGAGTTAAATATCAATGAAAATAATGTCAAAAATCATGCACTTAATAACTGAAGCATACTTCCATGGAATTTACACTTAAAGAAAGAAAATATGTACCATTCGAGAATCCATCAATGCTTTAGCCAAAAATTTTCCTAGTAGCTTAAATTTACTGCGGACTCTGGTAACTAAGCCAACTTTTGCACTTCTAGAAAGAGGCATAGGGAAAAGACCCCTTGGGCAAAACACATAGCTAACAGATTGATCTGTAAAAGAAATGCATATTTATACTAAAACAGCTATCTCAAATTAGCATACAAGCCTACACAGATGCATGCACATGCACGCTCGCATACAGACATACAACATAAATTAAAATAAACCTTTTCCGTTATTAACAACAACTTTCTCTCCTCGCCACATGTCCAAATCACCCCGCTGCAATTCTTTTGATACCAGGGCATAGAATTCTAACGTAGGTCCAAGACCAGTTCCAACCTAAAAACAGAGAAACATTTAAATTAATAACTTTATACCATACTAAATACCAACAAATAAAAATATATACAAGCAGGAATTTATAATATATTACAATTTCCTGTTAGTAATGACACACATAAAATAAGACTTAACATAAAAAATATCAGTTCCGAAGATATAAAATTACAAATTATCCAGTCCACAATAATGTCCAATATGAATTCGTTTATTACATGGTACGCTGATCAATAAGTTGCAGACAAAGCCCATCGCATTAAAAATTTTGCAAGCATGTCTTCCAAAAGGTTTTTTTTATCCTCCAAGTGTTACAGGTTTAGCCCTGAAATTTCAGAGTTGCTCAAAATGTCATGAATAAGTGGTATTTTCTTCTTGAACTTAATTAAAAAAGAACTCTCTCATGTTGTACTTTGATTCCTTATCTTCCAATATACATCGAACCAAAACTCAGTTACAATAAAAGCTGGCAGAAATTTTCATGTGTAATGAAAGTGAAAGCCACTCTTCTATATAAAGTTTTCCGTCCATAATGCCGAGAGGGCTAAGCGATAGTAATCCTTATTTGCACGCATCATCTTCCAAATGCAAACTGCTACTTGAACTATAGATGAAAAATGCAGTCAGAACTGCTGCTCTTACATGGATCTACCAACAGGTGTGATGCAGTATGAGAGCTAATTGTTTGCAACTAGATGCAGACAATCAAGACATTTCGTAGAAACTGGAAAAGAAACTATTTACCTGAAAAGATATCATCAAATAACCACCTGAAAAGAGGACCTTGTATGAGGCCGTTGATAACAGTTACTTACAACTTAGTCACAAAGTAACAACCAAAATTGCAGTAGTAATGGAAATACACAGGCGTTGAAAAGTTAAGCATAATTTGTAAAATGTGGATGAATGCGAGTTATTTACTCGATTAACTAACTTGTTCAAAATCACTTGTGGACAATCACTGTTTGAAGGTGAGGCAGTGTGCATATGCAAAACATTTCAGTCAAGGTCAGCACATGCACATGTTAGAAAAAGTATAAACCATTTCACATGCCATATGGAGATCAGGAAGGATATGTGCAACTACTGTGCTCAGAAGTGCGTTAACCGACCAAACAGGCCAAAGGATGGCATAAAGACACCAAATGGACATGTTTCTGAAAGGCATAATTATTGGAATGCTGAAATGTTGACAATCTCAAGCCGAAGTGTCTCGTATTCTAAATGTGCCTCAGAGTGTCATCTCAAGACACTGGCTCCAGATTAATCTTTATCATTCTTGATCTTATTTTGACAGCAAGAAAAATGAAATGACAAAAATATGAAATTCAATATATAATTTGTTGATATTAATTACATTACAGTTGCACATATTGTATTCTAATTTACAGTTATAGATTTTGTACATATTGATTGCATTTATGTTATTTGTTAGTGTAACCGGATTGTTATTACTGTCATTGCTTGTGGAGTTCAAATGTAATACATTTCCTGGATGTAAAACATAAATATGTTAACATGCACAATGCTAAAATTTAAATTAGTAACACACACACATATATTATAACTAGTATGTTTGTACTACATACAGGGACACATTGGCATCAGGCAGAAAAACACATAAAGCATGTTTCTGCAATTTTAAGAGCAATAAAACTTGCCCTTTAATTCAAAATTTTGATGATTTAATATAGACTAGTAAAAAAATTATACTATTATGCTAAATTTTCTACTCACCTCACTTTCATATTGTATTTCCAGTAAAGCTTTAGAACTTCCAAGATCTTGCATAACAACTTCCGCTTGTTTCAAAAGGTCATCTCTTGAAACCGTTCTCTGCAAATTTAATGAAAATGACCAAGATTTACCATAAAAACATTTTTGTATATAGTACAAAGTTTGAATTCTGTTTGTCCAATATCTGGACTTTCGGAGAGTCAGCAATTTTTTTTGTTTAGTAATGGAAACCACAGCTCTTAAAAAAACAAACAGAGATAGTGCTGTAAAAGCCGAGCTTCCTGTATGTTTCTTTCAACACCTGCTGATTAGGGTATCACACCCTGGCCAATGAGAATACAGTAATTGATGTTAGCTATGACCATGCTTCTGGCCCTTGAACGGCTGAGGAAGGGGAATTAATATTTTTCTATCTGACCTAAACAATAAGTGAAACTTTAAGTCATATTTGTTTGGAGTGCAATGTTGCTCATACTGTCTTTTTTTTTTTTTTTTTTTTTTCTTAAATGGCATAGCAACGGGGATGGAAGTAAATTATATTCTGAAGAACTTCAGTTAACATGGCAAACTGTGCTTTCCCTTAATTTTCTAAATTGATAAAGCTTATTTTTTTCATGCTGTTATCACAATTATTTTTATTAAATTAAAATTTGAATTTTTGATTGCATACAGAAGAAAAGAGCTTCTAGCTTCTGAAGCTATAGTACCAGGAACTGGGAAGTGAAAGCATATTTGGTACTTGCCTTTTACAGCGGCCTTGGAAAAAGAAAATGGCACTAAGCACAGTTTGGGCTTCAGAAAGTGTGATTTCAAGATTAAGCAAAACAACAACCTTCTTTTGATGTATATTTCGAATCCTACAGAAGGTGTGATTTTCCTGTTAATAAAATTTGTAAAGAAATGTTTCAAAACTCCCATTACGATTACAATGCCCCAATCAGTGTCATACAGCTTTAAATCCTGAAAATATCACTACTCATAATAAAGAAAGTGACTAAGAGGTTTCTGAGAAAGAAAAGATTTCAAATGATAGTTTAGTTGAAATACTTGACACAGCAATTACAAGATTTGAACAATAGAACATTGAATTGAACAAGAATTTATGACTATTTATAAAATTAGCACTTTCTAATACATACCCAAAAAAGAGCTTAAACATTTTACTCTGACAGACATGTTTAATAAAACAAACATAAATGCTGAGTTTTTTTGTAAATTCGGCATCCCTTCAATTAAAAAATAACGATTTCCCATTTTTTGATTTTATAATTTATACTAGTTTTATCTTACCAGATTTAATCTTGTGATTTAAATGCAAAAATTCCAAAATCAAAGAAGTCCAAAAGATTCTAGATTTTGGACTTTGCACTGTATTTGGCATAAAACTTGAAAATATTTTAAAGAAAAGTATATATGCTTTAAGCGAATACAAACTAAAAAATTATGATTTAAAATGGAATTTCAAATCAGCTGGAAACATATTTTAACAACGTAAATTACTAATAAAATGACTATACTGATTCATATATGTTTAGATTAACAAATTTAATTCCTGCAATCAGGAAAAGAATATTTCCAGTTGAACTTTTGATACAAAGAACATTTTGATGTTAAACTGGGGGAAGAAACAACATATATTTGAAATGAAAAAATACCTTTCTCCTATCAAGTCTGGGGGTAACACGTTCACTACTGTCACTGTTACTCATTTCAGGTGTCATGTCAAGTAGTCTCTGCAAAGCACGATCTCTGTCAAATGAAGTGACATAAAACAAGAGATGTCTTGTTTCAAAGGGGAAAAGAAATGGGCTGTAAAGAAGAAAAGTATCAATAAATACATAACTTCTAGCTAATTAACCATCTTAATCAAGAATTATTTAATCAAGGAGAAAGGATTTCATTTGTGTCAGGTGGCCCAAAGGTTGGTGCATGATGCCACACCATATTCGGAAACTTGCAGCAGCTATATTGGTCAATCTCCTCCATTAGGGAATAAGTGAGGGGGTGTCACACATTGCCATGAGACTTCAATCAATGAACAGTGATGCAGGAGGAAAGGAAAAGTAGTTCCTTAGATGATGGGAGAAAGAAATAAGGAAATTCATGCAGGTGGAAAGCTGGCTAGAAAATAAGTACAGAGAGCTGATGGGAGTGATATTCATTGATAAAGTTAAGATATGGTGATCAGTGACCAACCACATGAACGAGATGGAAAATCCTGGCTATTATTGTGGAAATTAGGAACTATTCTTCTAGTACTGATGATCATATGATAAATCAAAGCCTGGCATGTTAAATTTCATAATTTAAAGGAATCTCATAATTTCTGTTCTAGGATATCCTGACAGGACTTCACAATGGTAGATTTAAGAAGAAATTTCCATTCGCAGATTTAAAAAGGATTTGTCATGATGTGAAGATTATGTTTTATCCATTGATTGCTATTAAACTAACAAAATCTTTGTTTTGGCAGACCTTTTTTTCCTTGCGTGTAAATATGGACTGAGGACCATTATCTCATAAGCCAAATGAATTCTGTCTGAGAGCTTTAGCCATTCCATTAATGCTAACAGACATAACCTAAGAAAAGAATATATGGAACTGTGGAGAAAATTCTTTACACAAACAAATTACAGCAATAATATTAATAACAATATAAGAACAATATTCACACAATGTTTTGATACTGAACAATATAGGAACAAGATTCACACAATGTTTTGATACTGAAATCTAGTATAATTTAACAGTCTAATTTTGAAATAAATTCTCAGAATAAATTGCTTATGCTTTAGAATTTTTATACATTTCCCTAAACTAAAGCATGTCTAGATACAAAACACATATTCATGTTATAATAACTATCCTTGGATGAGAAACTTTTTTCTACTTACCAAACATATGCTATTTGTGATAGCCAAGCAGGAACATTTCCAGTCATGATTGCTAAAGGGTCTTGAAGTTGGCGATTAGCTTTAGCTGTAAGCTTGGAGTTCAAGAATTCTGTTTGTGGAATTGCAGGATTCCATGAATTCATCTATTGCAGAAAGACATTCAATTATAACAGCAATGAGCACTAATTTATAGACAACAAGGGGGTATATGTAACAAATTCTACAGCATGCTTATATTTACTTAGAGCAAGATGAAAACCAAGCTTCCAAAGCTTCTTCAACGTCAAGTTAAAAAAATGTTATAACAAATAATAAAAATATAAATAAGTTTACAACAATAATTTCAAGTTTTAATAACTATTGGAAAGCTGAGTTTAGATGGAAAATTATTTTAAGTATCGAGAAAGTTACTTTTTTCTGACCAAAAATAGAGTAAAATGATGTACAGACACCAAAGAAAAATATATATACAACACATTCTATGTGATGGTTGATTCTATGTCCTGAGGTTATACAATACATTCTATGTGATGTATAACCTCAGGTTATATTTAGAATTTAAATATGCTAATAACAACTTGGTACTTAGAATATTTAAATTCTAAATATATTAAGTGTATGTTCTTTAAATTAAAGGACTATTTGAACAGAAATTTCGGAAATATAAAAAATACTTGGATGTAAGTTACTAGTAAAACAATGCTATAAAGCTTTTCGTTTATCAAAAGAACATGGTATCAAGGAACTACAGAAGTTCAAACATGTCAGTAAAAGTACACCTTTATGTGTGTATAATGAATCATTATGCCAAAGTGGACTGAAAATAAAAGATAATGTTCTGAATGAGAACGTGTTTTAAAAAATTAAGATTGGTTATAAATTTCTCGTTAGGCAAATGATGATGTGACAAGATGTGAATAATTTAACAACATTTAAACAAGAGTGCAAACAGTTCCGATGATTAGATAATATTTACTAGATTTGCAGGATTCTAATAAAACGACATATTCAGTTTACCAAGATGATAATTCTAGAGTTCACAAAGCTGAATTCATTTAGAATCAAAGTGGAACAGAATGGCAGAACCTTCACACATACACACGTATATATATACAGAGAGAGGAAATGACTGCTAAATTGGCAGACTTAAAAACCTAGAAAATATACATACTGGATCATTTTAGTAAAGAAAAGGTTAAAAAAATTGAGCATTTCAGGAACTTCAGTGAAATGCACGAGAAATTTTTCTTAGAACAGCCAAGCTACTCAAGTAACCTTATTTAGTATCTTTTCACAAATATTCACGTTGCGATTCCTGAATGTATGAACATTTTTTTTCTTTCCATTTTAATTCCATCTGTATTTTGATTAAAAAATATTATAGCTCTGTAGTTAAACTGAACTACAAAAAATTTAATTACCTGATATAATGCACCCCAATGGCTACTCAAAGTATGAATGACTCGTAGTAAACAAATGACTTCCAATGATGGATCTTGGACTGTTATTGAATCTGGAAGGTTTGGAATCAAATATAAAGACAGTGGGGAAACAACTTCAGGAACAGCACCATCTGAAAAAAAAAAATCATAGTCACTCAATGGATGAAAAAAAGGATCCACATAAATTAATATTTTTTATTCATAACAGGCACAAAATTTTTTAATATGATAAAAGTTGGTTTTTAACTGCCATTTTTTAAGATGGCCTTCAAAAATCTTTTATGCTTATCAATTTTCACTCATCTTTTCAATTTAAAATGTTAAAAACTTTAACAAAATGCTATAATATATTGTATTTCCTTGCATATTCTCCCCCCCCAGCTTTTTAGAGCCAGATTTTGAAAACTTAAATATAATTTTTACCTTCCTCAGAGTGGTTAGAGAATGAACTCACCTAAATTTTACAACAGATTTGTTCAGATAACGAATGTTTTCTTCTTATTAGCACAGACAAATCCTTGCAATCCTTGAGGTAGAAGTCCTGCTGAACCTTTCCCTTCTAACTGTGGAACTTAAAATACCAGCCTACTACAACCACCGATTTATAACAGCAAAGAAAACATGAACTTACAGTGTTTTTATGATTTCACAGAGTCAGCACATTCACCTTGTCTAATTATTCATTGGATGATTTGAGGTCTAAAGAGTAGCAGAAACCACCATAAGAATGGGTGAGATTTAAGTTACAGGAAAGCAGAAATGAAGATATATGAGATATGGTAACGTTAATATTACTATGGATCCTTATCAGAATGAAGGTTCCTTTTAAAGAAATGTTGCAGAAGTTAACTGTAGTTTATCCATAACCACCTACTATGCAGCGCAGTCGGTATAGTGGTCAGGGAAGCTGACTGCGATGCCGAAGGGCCTGGATTCGAATCCCGGAGAAGGCATGGTTGTAACTGTCCGTCCGTTTCATAGAAAAGGCGACGGTGGCCCACCTATTAGGTGCCTCTAATAAAGAGACCACCACATCCAGCCTTGTACAGACTAATGGACTGGGTTACATTTGCAATTGTTCACAATCTGACATTGGGGGGGGACCTTTCATTTGCTATTCCCTTACTATCACCATGTACTTTAGAAATTATGTAAATTTCCCGACTTTAGTTCAAGATAATAAAATTAGAAAAAAAAGGGAGATATGTGAGGAAATACAGTATATTTATTACAAGTTAAAATAACAAAACAAATGAAATGAACAAAGACCAAAAAATAAAATAAAATAAATAATAAACAGATGGTATAAATGGCTGGAACAGACAGTCTGTGAAATGAACCCCATGCAAGAGCAAAAACTTCTGGTGAGTGAGGCAAGGAAACTTATCAAGACCACAAAAACCATTGCTAAAAGAGGTCATAAAAAAGATTTGTGCAGAACGTAGGGCTCACTCCAAGTGGAATACTCTTCATATTAAGAATGACCCATCGGGACACACCATTGTCTTTTGTGTGCCTGAAGTGGATGCAGCTGTTCTTGGTAAAAGAGGATATAGATTTTACATTGGACTTAACGGTGCATAGAGAGGTATCTGATGGTGAGTCCATAGAAAACCAGTCATGTACCATTCACACATAAAAGAAAATGGTACTTTTTTTTTTATTACAAAACTCTTTGATGTCTAGATCAACATGACCTCTGAGGTGAAATACTTAATGAACCATGACGAGTAGATGTATGCTCGGCAAAAACAGCGGTTTACAGCCAAAAATGATGTTTTGGGTGTATTATCAAACCCATTATTACTTATGCTCCTGTGATATGGTGGTGCAAGGTGCAGCAGAGAGCTATGAAGGACAGGCTAGGAAGTCTGCAAAGATTAGCTTGAGCGTGTATCACACGTGCAGTGCCCTCAGCACTTACCAGAGCATTAAAGATCATATTAGATCTGACTCCCTTTTACATCTTCATTTGCAGTGCCGCTAGAATGACTGCACATAGAATGATGCTACAAAATCAATGGTATGACAAGCCTACTGCTAAACGTCATATCAATATTACTAAAAAAATTCAAGATTCTACTCTCCTTGTGCCTTCACACATCATGGAAATGACTTATATGTTTGACAGGCTATTTGAGGTAGTTTTTTCCATTAGGGACGAATGGAATGACAACATGCTCAATTTAAATACCAATGATGTAATCGGTTCACAGACAGAAAAAAGAATGACAACCTCTCAAGACTGAGTACATGCTATATCAACCAAAGTTAATTTCTTTAGAGGTCTTCGGGGGTATGCCACTGTCTTGCAGGCAGAGGTTCTTGCTATCACAAACTGTCTACAAATAAATATAAGAAAAGACTATGATGATAAGCAGATTCTCATTTTTAGTGACAGTCAAACAGCCCTAAAGGCTTTATGCTCATTTCAAATGAAATCAGAGACTGTTCTGGAATGCAGAAACCCAAGATGTTCAAGGAACTTCTAAGACACAACCAGGAACAAGGTAGTTCTAATCTGGGTACCTGGACATACAGGAACTGAAGGTAATGAAAAGGCAGATGAACTTGCAAAACAGGGATTGTCTTTTAATCCAATAGGTCTGGAACCCTTTTATGGTATCAATATGAAGACAGAAAATAGTATCCTCCTTAAAAGGGGAAAAACAGGAGATGACTAAAGTTTGGCTTGATTCTTCTGGACAAAAACATGCTAAAAGTGTCAGACCTTCTGATAAGACTGCCTCTGAAATTCTTGGGTGCTCAAGGCTGAAGATACAAATAATTGTGGGCTTCATCCCGAAGCAGTACTATTTCAGAAAACACCTTCATACTTTGGAACTTTTTCAACAAGACACTATATGCAGGAAATGTTGGAAGAACAAGGAAACAGCATGCCATATTATATATGAGTGAAACAAAGTGGGCAACTGCAAGGAAATGTTATGAAGTATGACAAACTGTCATACTTCATAACATTTCCTTGCATCGGACATACAGAGGAGGCTTACTCCATTTATTCTAACCTTCTCAGTCCTGCTGCACAAACTCAGGTAACACATACAAGTATTTAATGTATCTGATTTAGTTTCATGCTATAATCAAAATGGAAAAACTGATATGCAAATGTACCAAGCCCAGCTATGTGCATCACTAACCATGCACAGTCAGTGAATGCACATATTGCTTTTGGCAATGGAACAAGCCAGCAGATTTAAAAAAAAAAAAAAAAAATTATTGTGTAAAAATTTGGTCTAGTTTCCATGATAGTATGATTGGTCACAGCCATGAGAAACCTTGATGATCTAACAACAGTCATAAACCGAGTTCAGAGAGAACACTTCATCTAGGAACTGGATTGTCAGACATGAAGATTAAAATGATGAAACAGTAAGACATTTAGAGGTGGTTAGGCAAATACCGCCAACCCTATGTTGTGGAGTCACATACTACCAAGTATTACAGCTAGTCAGCTTAATCAGCCTGTTGCAGTATCCATGCTGCTAGACATGCTGGAGGGAATGTTTTCAACCTGATAATGCCTGCTCTCAAGTAGCATGTTGATACATATTTTCTCTTCACCATGGCAACCCTGCCACGGCCTTCCGTCTCACCCACTGAACATGTTTGGCTTGGTTTAGTTGATTATGGCAAAGCACACTAGGCCTATCTGACTAAGTGGATAGATGCCTTTGAGGAGGACCTTTCTAAGGGAAACTGGCTTGTATGCACATTACACATGGGGAATACCCTGAAAACACCCATTTGGCTGGAATCGAACCCAGAACGAAGCTACCAATGTTCAGTGATTTTACTACTTGGCTGTTGGTGGACTGAATGCATTTGGAACATGGTCATCTACTGGCTGCAACCACTGCAAAACAAATCTGACCTGGCTGCACAATTATATTGAATTTAGTAGGACATCCCTTAGGACATGATTAGTTACTTGTGTGCATTTCCTCATCCACACTTGAGGTGACATTATACATTATTAATATGTAACAGTTCTGGTTTGCTTTTACCACAATATATCCTGCTGATGATTCTCTTAGCATTCTCACTGTCACTACAATGTCTGTGACCAGTTTCATCACCATCTATGATTTTTTTCTAGTTGCATGCATGTTTTTATTAGAGTGCATACTGAACACCTCCAAATTAATACAATTACATTTTAGCATATGTAAAGAAATTCTGGTTGATCATGACTAAATGCTGAGAGTTTATGTATTCAACATAAGGTGGTTTTATGTTTATATATTTAACAAAGGGTGTTTACATGAAGGACTTTACAAAGGGTGAATGGTGGATATTTGCAATGAACTTGGACACATGAGGAAATTCATGGAAGGAGCCATACTGTGCTGCCCAAAACTGAAACTACCATCTGTAACTTGAGGGTGCATTCTCACTATGACCCGAGTATCATACTCAGCATAGGCTCTAAATTCTACAGATTACATTAATTTAATCTTATAACAGGGACATTGTTTATTATATTATGAACAACATTATACAAGGGACATTTTGTTTGAATGGTGAGGATGCCTGCATAAAAGGACATTCTAAGGGAAACCAGCTATGTACTTGTTAAACACAAAATCAAAAAGCCAGCCCATAGTCAGGAAATCTGCTTAATTTGTAAGCATTCAGAAACATTCCCCAAGCCACTGGTAGGCACTTACATACTATAAAAAGTCATTGCTTTAATTAGAATTTTGATTTACACTAAAGATTTAAATAGTAAAGATTGAGTGAGATTTAAACCAAAGCTAATCACAGATGGTAAATCTTGTATGCACCTGTTTCTTGCACAGCTTTATATCATACACCTCGACTGTTTAAAATGATCTTTTTCAGTCAACAAAATGCACTTTTATAATTACAAAATATTTCGCAATTTAACTCTTTTTCTTTCTTTAAAAGTAGCATAATCACTTTAATTTTATGACTTACCCCAAAAAGACATTTCTTCCCCCATCATTGGCCAGTTTCCCTCAAATAATGTCTGTTCTTAGGAAATCTTTCCCGAAGACTCCCTTACCCAATATAACTAAATTCAGTCTTACCCAATATAACTAAATTCAGTATAATCAAATGAAATAAAAACATAAATGTTTAATATGTGCACAACTGGAAAGCAGAGAGAAAACAAATTTGGAAATATTTTAAACTGTTTCATGTAAAATCAAAAATGCCTTTTTACCATTCCAAATATCATCAGACTTTTTCTTTGGAGAAGTATTTCCAGAAGTGCTTGCTTTACCACGATGACTAGAATGAATCAGAGCAGGAGCATGATTTCGAACTAAAACTGTAGCTGCTTTGCTTACAAAAGGAGAGTCTGATTCTTCAGTCGATATTGGTCGATACCTAAAAATCACAAGGATGCAACTCATTAATCCAAATACAAATCTGCATAAATTTTTAACTCAAAATACCCTATGTATAGTTAAATTATCCAATAAAATATGAACATTAATTTGGTTGGACTTTATGTTACGTTATTTGGATATAGCAAAGCATGCGAGGGCTATCTGCCTGAGGAGAAATGATGTGGATGACTTTCTAAGGAAAACTAGCTTATATTCATGTTAGGCATGGGGAAAAACAATGATATATCTAGCCTGTTCACCTGGAATTCAAACCATGTTGAATTCCCAGTATTCAGCAGTCTTAACCACTTGGTCACTGGTAGGGCTACTTCAGATAGAATAAGACACATCAAGACATTTGTGTTAATCTCAGAGTACCAAAAGATTCTTTTCTACTTAACTGGGGCAGACCATAAGACTTTTTTCTAATCATACCTAACTATCCAGTCTTATGTGTTAATAAAACATTAAAAACTGTAATAAAATGTTAAACCATGCTAATATTAAATTTAAGAATAAAACTATTAAAAACCTTCAGTTACTTACCTATATAGGTATTTAATTATTTGGCATTTTAGCTGTTTTATTCCCTTATCCATTACAAGTCAAAATGCTTTTAACAGCTGTAAATCAACCATAACAGAAAGGCTAATTCAAGAGCAAAGAATTTCCACATATTACAATGTCTCACATTTTCCTCTGCCTGCAGCATCATACTGTTATCCTCAGATACATGATTACTGACCGTAACAGCCTTTTCAAAACAATAGCCATGAAAAACATATCAGATATTTACAAATTTGCACATCAAGCAAGTCAAATCAAAAGTCAATGCTGCTATCACGAGTCAAAACCCATTAACAAAAAATTCACTTCACTTCTTTAAAATCTATTTATGATAATTGAATGCAAGAATTTTTAAAGCCACAGCAAATGTTGCAACTTGCTTATTTCATATTTCAAATTTTTTTGGCAGTGAAAACTTTCAGTGCAATTAAAATAAAAACTTTTCCCTGAAACCATTCATTCCATATCAGCTGGTGATTACTTGAACACTGCCAAAATTTTCAGTTTGAAGTACGTTTCTAAAACCATAGCACAAACACTGCTTTTTATTATTTATGCCATGACTAATTTTAAACACATAAAAAAACTGTAGCAGTTTTAAAAACAGAGACTCATTTCTGAAATGTTTAAGACAAATGACATTACATCATGAGGCAGTCAATCTCATTATCAGCACATCTATATCATGCAATGAATAAAAAACAAGACACTTTTTAACTTGATAATTTCAGCATACTGATCAGAAACAGCAGGATCTATAAAATGGAAATACTAAAAAATAATTTAGTAGTACTACTCTTCAAAGAACAGAATTCAATTTTCTGAATTCAAAAGAAAGTTCATTCTAACAGATGTCATAAGAATGCATTATCACACCTGCTTTAAATACACGACAGACAGCATTCTGATGGAATGATAGGAAGAAAAACATGTAAAACATCAAATCACCCACCCCCAAGCTGGATAAAAATGCAAGCAATAACAATCTCAAATGACTGACAAAGAAGCCTTTAGCCCTCATGGTAGATGATGCCCAATTAAATTTACTCTTTAGTAGTTAGCAAAATTTTCAGTGATTGCTCTTCGACTTGGTAAAATACCTCGCAGCAGAAGCAACTGGAAATGACAGCTATTTTCACCATAGTTGTCTTTAAAATTGGTACTGGTTTCAGCAACACTACAGAAAGCTAGAGTTTAAATTTTGCTAAAGAAGAGCTATTTATTATGTCTCTTAAAAGGCATATTTTTCGTTACACTCCAACATCACTAGTAAATTCAACTGATTGGAAGCTGGAGAACATTCAGTACTTTCATAAGATTGTCAGCCGCAGTCAAAATCAACATCTTTGCTCATTTTTCATTCAGCCTTACAGACTTATCAAGTTATGTTAACCGTTTCAGAACTTGATAGTCCTAGCATCATTTATTACAGTTCATTTTGAAATCCAATTCATTAATTAATAAAAGTATATAACATTTCTGATATGCACTACAATTTCAGTAACGAGATAAAAGAATGAGAAGGAGGGGGATAGATGAAAAGCAATATTCTTAAGTACGCAAAACATTTTAACACCATGTACGTCACTAAATTCAGCTTGATATTTCATCTGAAGAGCATTCAGTTATTTCCAGTGCACACACTGTGGCAAAGGATCTGCTTTGCTCCTCGGACAGGCATTTAGGCAGAAATCGTTCAGATGAGCTGAGCTCATTCATGCCCACCAAACTGCTATGTTGTCTAAACTAAGAGACAACTATAATTTTATTAGCACACAATTGGTTTACCATTTTTAAATGCACATATTTAAGTTAGTTTCATGTTGTACCAATATTTACTCAATTTCATTCAACTAAGAATTCTGATATTAACTTATTTTCTTAAATAGGTTTCTGAGATATCTGCCACAAAATATTTATAAAAATACCTTGGGATTTATTCAGAATTACCTAATAATGAAAATCCCCAAAGGTTAATTTACAAGGTATTTTTTACTTTCTCTCCATAATTTTTAATTACTTACTGCTGGAATTAGACAACATAAAAAGCATAAAGTTCAACATTTCAACAAGAGAAATAGAAATACTAAAAACAAATTTACCATATTGTGTGTGTTTGGACCCATATGTTGGTATATCCCATTGGATTCTCAGAATCTGTATCAGTATCTGGACCATCTGAACACTGTGCATCAGAACTACCATACTGCCGGATTGCTTGATAGACAGTCATATTATAGGGCAGCACATTTTCTCCTATCAAGAACTGTAACTTATGTCTTCCTTGACCTTGGTTTATCATCATTGCAGCCTAAAATTTAAATATATTTTAAACATCACTAAGTATGCAAGTAGATTTCCTTTCAGCAAACAGGAGAGAATAATTTAACAATATTCCTTCCTAATTATCAGAATATATTAACATTCTGAGTGGGACCACCGCCTTTACTTGAGCACGAGATTTGTCACACGATGCATATCATTTTATCGTTTAATATCTTTTTTAATGATCTTAATGCAGTCCTAATGAATGGAAGATTAATCAAACAAATATAAAAATGAGTATTTAAACAAATGTAACTAAAGAACGTTGTTTAAACACAGCTGGATATGAGCAGATCCGAAATGCCATTTTGTTTAAAGTGTTTGTAATTATTTCGAATTCCATACACATTCCTGTTCATACACAGAAAATTATTCTAAGCAGACTCCAATTAAAAACTAGAACTGTGATGACAAGGCACAGAAACCCCAGCAATATGTTGCAAATCCTTTACAAATCTGCTTCCCTTCAAAATGCTATGAGAACTTATCTTAGTGGAAGGCTCTGAAATAAAGCTAATGCTAAGCTTTCTGTGGTTGAAGCGCTTGACACTACTGGGAAATAATTCTTGTGCTGTTAATTAAGGCATAATTTTAACAGCCTGTTTTTAAAGATAAGTGTAACTTTAGGAGACTGAAAACTTACAGATTGGTTGATTAAGCATAAGGAAATATGAAGACCAACAGTAAACTGGTTTGTTAAGTTAGCATAAACCTTCAACTTTTGTATTGTGCATTAATGTTTGCCTAAAATCAGTGGTGCAATAAAATCCGAGTTACTGTTATGGCTGCTTACATATTTTATTCTTAAGTAGACAATCATTTACCAAGATATTTAGATAGCTAATACAGACCACTAGGTTTTTAAAAATCCAACAAGATTTTAAATAAGCATAACATTTAAAAAAAATGGAGAAAGAACCAGTCAAGCTTTAAAAAAATAACAAACCAGACAAAGTTGAAAAATTTTATGCATATTTAAGAAATTTCAAAATATCCGACGTTACCATTGTGTCATCTATGTCATCATCTGAATTTTCTTCATCACTTCCATCATCATCATCATCCTGAGGTTTAAAAAAAAAGAATAATTTATTTTGTACATTTCCATTATTAAAAACAGTACTTTACACAGCATTACAAATGAACCAAAAATTTTCTAGAGATACACATTAAACCATCTTGCTACTATTTAAAATCTTCAAATAAGTAAAACAGATTCCATAATATTACATGAAAAGCGATTAGTGCTTCAAAGGTCTACTGTGATTGTAGCAGTACACTGCAGTACCAAATGACACAGGTTCGAATGCCACAGAAAGCATCAACATTTGTATATTTATAGTGTCTGGCACGGGGGCACTCTAAATATAAGGCAAGCCGAAAGTCCTCACGTGTGGTTTGGTGGTAGGGGAGAGTGGTAAGAGACCCTCAGATCCCCCCCCCAGTTGCTCTCCGTGAAGAAGTCCAACCACCTTGAGGCTGTGGAAACCATTCTTTTATGGAGAAGGCAACAATAAAGTGAATTTATAGACTGAAAAACAGTAAATGATGGTGCATGCTGAAAATAATACTGAATTCTTTCAAATTCACTACACTGAAGAAAAGGAGGAAATCAAAATACACCATTTCTAAGTAAATAATTTAACTTATATGCATCTGAATATATTAAATTCAAAAGAAATATTAAAATTGCAGAAAAATATATATTTCCTCTTCCCAAATTAATTTGTACTAGTTATCCTGTCACGCTTAATTGAGAAGATCAGCCCTTTCTGGACGGGTATAAATAAAATTCACATTCAAGAAAATAAGCAAAGAACAAAAGTTTTATATCAAATTCAAAATCCTGAAATTTTAAATTAGCCCCCCTCCAAAACTTCATTCCTACCCTCTTCAGCAAATTTGGAATTTTATTTCTGAAAAATTTCAAAGAAGCATTCTGGGCCATATAGAGGTTTCAGTGGCTGTAATGTTTTCCTGCCTTTCGCATGGCAGGACTATTTTTAGTGCATTTTAGGCAATGTTCTTTGAAAAGAGAAGACTAAGTGACTATAGTTTCAGCTCTTTATGATGAACACTATTGAGCAAATGATGGAAAGTTAAAATATGAAAAAACCTTTAAAAAATTTATACTTTTTCTTACCCGAACATAGAAGCAACAAGTAAGGAATACTGGTTAGCCTCAATGTGTGTGTAGAAAATCATTAATAATTATGGTACTCGAGGAAAGAAATTTCAACAAAGATATTCATGAAATTTGCCAGTGTCTAAGCAATGAATTTTGCAAATTATTTATAAGCAATGACATTATAACTTAATTCTTGCATGCTGTGATAGAATTCCAATAAGCTATACACACTGAGATGAAAGGCAGTGTAGATTAAGAGACTTTTGCATGTTTCACATCATATCTTTTTGTATTTTGATTACATATCCAGTTGTACTAACAGAAATTTTGTATAGTTAACTGTTTGCAAATGCATAACTGCCAAAATGCATCTATACCTTAATAAGTACTTAGTTTTAAAGAACACAAAATATTTTTAAACTACAATTATATGCAAAAAAATAATACTATTTCAAGGGAAACTTTAACAGGACAGAAAATCAGGTAAATGTGAGGAATACATACTTTAATAGAGATATAGAACTCTGGTAAAAATGCATTAAAATATTATATAGAAAAAACTGGTATCTATCACCAAAATTACTTTCAAAACAATTTTTACACTTTTAAATAAAAGGGAAAAATAAATAAATGCACTGTTTGCAAAATGTGCTACAAACACATATTCTGAATGCCAGACAAACCTCTATAAGTGCTATTTAACAAGCAGTCTATACTTGCTACTGCTAGCTTACAAGCTTGATTATGGAGCAGAACGAACAAACCTATATCTAGCTACTATATGGATTTAAATTAGAACTCAGCATCTGAAATGTGTTTAACACAAATTCTGTACATAGGCTAAGCATATTAAGTCGAGATTAATTTCAAATATATTTTAGAAAGAAAGGATTTACGTGAAATGAAAAATTTCCATATTACCGATCCATGTTTACAACATAACGAAACTGTCATCATTTGCTAGAAATGCTAAATGATTTCAACAATAAAATAAATTTCAAAATGTGTTATTTTGTTATAAAGTTTTATGTGTATAAGAAAAATCTGGCATTAAATTTGCCCTGTTGAAATTTCTGAAAATCAATTTCATTTACATCCAAAAATGAGCAAAGATTTCAGACAGACATAAATAATTGGAATCACGCTGTATTGTTTTTTAATTCTAACTGTAAAATCTTATTCAAACTTTGTTACAATATAATATACATCATGCTAAAAAAATAAGCAGCAAATGCTAAAAGAAAAGGTAAGAATGTAAAAAGTGAGAATTAAAACATAATTTACATATGAGGTAGATGCTGCATCAGCAAATGCAATCAGGTAACCAAAAGGTCACATAAAATGCAATTCTGGAGTCACACCACAACACCTTAAAAGAAGCATATTGGACCTATGCATCAGTTTGGAAGCAAGATTAAATGCATTGGAGGGCTGTTAGGAGTTTGCAAGCTGGTGCAAGATAATCCACTGCTGCGATAGTGCTGAATGTGCATCCTAGTGTTACTAATAGGCTGTGGAATTATTATTAAAGGGATCAAAACCCCTGCAGAAGACGTGGCTCTGGACACTGGAGGATTGCCACGACGACAGAACTGTGCTGAAAATCATTAGGGATTGGGAAAAGAAATCTGCACAATTAATTTACTGCTCAGAAAACATTCTCGTTAGCAATGGTTAAAAACTAAAAACCAGGAGTATTGGTGACCTACAAGGACTTTATATTTCACATTATTTTCACAAATATTTACTTAAATTATAAATTAATGTTTGAGAATACTGGTATTTTGGAATCATTTAAGCAACGTTACAACAGGATAATTATATTATTCAGACTTCGTAAAAATTTATCAGCTTTATCATACAGCTTAACAAAAGTAAATCATGTAAAGCAAACTACAACAATTTTTTTAGGTATCTCGCACTCCATCAAGAAAATTTAGTGAATACTTTACCTTCACTCTACCATAACCCCTTATAACTAAGTATCTTTCAATGGCTTGAACTAATGCGAGAGGATCTATCTTTACAGGCCCTCCTCGCCACTGTCGCAAATTTGAACATCCAGGATGTCTCTGCAAATTACACTAAAAAAGAGAAAAAAGCACTTAAACACTTTCTATCAAAATTTTAGACTTCTGATCACAAACACTACCAGTTAACAAAATAACATGCTACCTATACCAATTTAGCTGAATACTGAATTAAATTTTATATGTTGCAGCATTGTATAAATTTGTGATAATCCCCAGAGTGAAAAAAGTAAAGTATTCTGCATTCCACAACTAATTACCATAAAAATATTCACACACATTACATTAGCAGCCCACTAAGAAATACTCTTTCAAAATAACCATAAAAAATTAACTCACTAATACCAAGAAATAAATGTCATTTTACAACAGACAATGATATGGTCCCAGCATTCATAATATACTGATGCCTTTTACAAACCTCCAAAACTGCTATTAGGGGGAGAAACATATTTCAAAATTAAGAAGCTTTCAACAATATTTTGGTGTAGTGCAAGCATCTACTCTAACCATTACCTATTTAAACAGAAATACAATATTTGAGACAACTGCAAGATGCAAACCAAGGAAGAACAAATAAAAGACAGGTACAGCTTGCCCAACTTAAACAAAAGTCACAGACTTTACTTGGTTTAGTGCTCCACGAAACAATTTTTGCATTCTATTTTAGAGAAAAAAAAATGACATTATTCAGTATGTGAATTAAATAACAGCCAAAGCTAGGATTTTGTTACACACATAAATAATAACCAATATTGTAATTTTTATTAAACTACCATTAATAATTGCTCAAAACAATTACCTCTGTCATGCATGCACAGCTGATTTAAAACAACAAAAAATTTTCTGATGCAATTGTAGAGACAATTCAGTTTTTTGAAGTAGGAAGTGTGAAAAATCAACAGTACTCTTCCTGGGATTCCAACCATGTTCTTTCAATCTGCTAGCTGGATAAGCTAAGTTTTTAACACTGTGAAAGTACTCAAGAAGTAATGCATAATAGTTCCCCATATAATTAGGTGGCAAATTATTAAAAAAAAACTTTTCCTGGATACATTTGATAACTAATTTATCAAAACTGTGATAAACATCAGGCTTTAAAATGATGCTATTTGAATGTTTCATATGAAGGAACTCCCTCAAAGAGTTAAAACTGGCAGATGATTGTTTTTAAATTAAAGAAGGTTAATAAAACATATTTTAATACTATTTCAATAAAATAAGCCTTTGAAATTTAAGCAAGTCAGTGATTTAAAGCTTCCTGAAAGTGCTTTGTAAAAACATAATGAGTTGATAAATGTATCTGCTTGCCATGCTGCTTGGATTTGGAAAGACACATAATTTTCGAATAAGGAAACAAAATAAATGGACAAAAAAGATTTTGTGACAGGAGAGTAGAAATTTTATTGTTTTTAAAATTTTGCTTTTTAGAGAAGTATTTCTTACCTACTGATTTACTGTTAGTGGAAAATTAGCATTACCTACAATTATAGACTAGGACATTTTTTAAGCATTTCTTTTAAATAACTACAAAGTTCAAGTCTATAATTTCAGCAACTTGCACACATGTGCAGCATTATGTGTGCATATTTAATCTTCTGAATAGCTATGCTTTTTTAGAGCAGCTTAACAGTGGTATTTACAAAGCTTTCAAAGCTAGACTTGCATAACTATTTAACTTCATCTTTATTACCATAATGTTCCAATCTTTAGGATGATATCTGTCTGTATCATTACAGAAAATGTTAGGTTGGTTAGTTAATTAAGGCAAAGCATATCCGGGCTACCTGCCTGGAGGGATGCTTTGATAAATGTTACATACAGGGAGGAAACATGAAACCTCTAAGCAACTTTTGCCAAGATTTAAACAGTCTTGGCCCACGATGGACCGATAAAGAAAATAAAATGAAAACATTTTTATTGGTAAGGTTATATTACATTTAGTACCATATCTCGAGTAGATGTAAGTGATCACCCTATTAATAAGATCAAATAAATAAATAAAGCAGCTCAAATACCTCTACTTTGAAAATAATCGAAATGATTAAGAAATTTATATTTAATTATATGCAACTTGCATAAAATTATATGATCACATAATTCCACATTCTTATATATTTTCAAGCACTGAAATGTAAATAAATCACTTTCAGATTTTAAACTTTCTTAAGTTATTCTGATGCACACTGAGAAAAGTATATTTTTTAGAGTAGACTTAAAATTTCAGTAAAAATAAAATAGCTAAAAAATTACTAATCACTTATCATAGTTGCAGAATCTGGTATTTAAGAGAAATTAAAATATAAATACAGCAACTACTCACTTTTAATTGATGAGTGTTGAAGAACTTAAGCGCACTCGTTCCTCTGCCACCTATATTTCCAGCACCAGGAAGATCATGAACTTTCACAGCAAACTGCTCCAACTGACTAACACAAGCATTCAATTTGGCTACTAAAGCCGATAATGGAGATGAATTCAATTTGACTGCATCAAAATTTGGCATCACAAACAGCTAAAAGAATTCAGAGACATACATCACTTTACAAAACATCTGATCACATTAAAAGTAATCTTGGAAAAAAAAAAAAAAACTGGTGTATTTCTTAGTTTCATTCATTTTTGTTTTGTTGGAAATATTGGCATTAAGTCAAAGTAAAGCCCACATAATTTAAATGTGGGTTTCTCCTTTTATGACAATCATAGATATGGACCCGCCCCCAAAAAGCTTCACTAGAACCATATTTAACTATTCTAAAACCTGTAATATTACTACAACATTAAATACTACAGGTTTTATGCAAGTAGAAATAAGCATTTCCCAATCTTAAAACATTAATGGGAATAAAGCAGGTCGAAATGCACACATCCATTCAATTATAAATTTCATCTAGTTAAGACAAAACACTAGGTTTCAAATGCAATTGTTCCCTTCTCAAATTCATTATTCTTTATATTTAAAGATTAATATATTTTATAAATGAAATACATTTCAGTTTTTAAGACTAAATTAAGAGATAAAATACACAGCCACGTCACGGATATGCCAATGTAAATAAAAAAATATTTTGAAGGTTATTTATGATTACCCAAGTAGTTTTAAATCTTACTTTCTTTCAATATCCTTCCTGATTAGTTCAAATCTTACTTTCTTTCAGTATCAAGTGTGTTCTTTACTCCCAAATTCGCTTTTCATTTGAAAATTGTGCAACAGTTTGATAAAAAAAAATGAAAAAAGAATGCAGATATACGCTTAATGGATCATTCTGACTGGGAGGAGGGAAGTTTTATCCAAGAGTTTCAAAAATAGTCTCTCTCCAGAACTGCACTTAATATTTACCTTAATTGCTGTGAATCAGTGGGCAAGTCAGCAGCATATCTATTTCTCCTAGTCCAAATTTAGTATGAAATTTTAATTTTTTGGTATATATTTAAAAATTTATCTAAGTACCTGTCAAAGAAACACATGTCAATTAAATAGTAAAGACGGATAATAATACAGTAGGACCAGACATCATGAAATGAAATTTACCAGATAAATGAAATATCAGTAAGATTTTTGCTTATGCAAAATGTTTAATAAATTTAGTTACCAACTACAGATGTAATCTCATGCTCTACAGAAATTAACTGCGACATCCATGACTCATCAATCATTTTTGAGCCACCAATGAATGAATATCCTTTTAGAACTACTAATTTTGAAGAATATATAACTGAACTTGTTATAGAAACCCTAATAAATGCTGTTACATGCAAAATTTCTCTTAGCAATAAACGTGTGTGAAAAGCTATTTTCAAAGAGCACACTGATTCAAAGCTATTTTCAAAATTTATTTTGCATATGTATGATTAGATATTGAAAGAAGATTATTGAAGGAGTTAAAGCAACAAGAATCACCATAACATTCATAAATTTGCAGAACCAGTTTCGAAGGTTTAAATATAGAAACTTCTTCCAAAGTTTTAGCTTCTCCAATAATCATTCTTTGGCATCTTATTTTAGCTCAAAAGTGAGAGATTCCCCATATTAAATCCATTCCACAACCATTTCTACAATTAACATATTTTAAGCAATTTTGTAATATGAAACAATTTTAGTGTTTTAGCACCACCTATGGTAAAAAATTACTTCAGTTAATACTTTGTTTGGAAATGAGAGGTAATACCTTAGTTTCTCACAAGAAATATTGTGATCGGAAGTCAGTTGAAAATATGCAGAAAAGAAGCAAGGTTGTAATGAAGCAGTTTTGATGTATATAATTAAATGATGTCTATAAATGCTAATGCCTTTAAAGAAAATCTAGCCAGTCAATTCATGCAAGTGTCTCTCATTTTTGTAATAAAATGAGTATTTTTACTTGTCAAAATTGGCCTCCAAAAAGCGAAAGAAACACAAAAACAAAAAGAATACATATTTTTGTTTATTAACATTGGTAACAGTAATTCAGTTTTCTTTTTAAGAAAAAAAGATACATTTGACATTGGCTGTAATTCTTTTAGTATTGTGAGATTTTGTGCGGATACGTAGTGTTTTGCAGCTACGTTTGTTTTCGGGTTTGACACATAAAAAGTACGAGAATAAATTTTTTTTTTTCCCTCAAAAAATAGGCTTCTAGTACTGCTTGATGATTTTCTACCTCATAAGCTCATCCTGGATTTTGAACTCTTGGGGGAAAAAGGGAGGATGAAACCTTTTTCCTAAATTTATAATTTTGAACTGAAAATTTTTGTTATAGTTTTTCAACATTAGTAAAATAAACTGATATTTTGGCACCACCCCCCCCATGTGGGTGGCTTAAATGGAATGGCAACAAGAAGCTAGATAAGGTAGGAGATTTATTATTTTGCATTTTGGAGATTTTTGGATTTTACTATCATCTTTTTTCAGATAAGAGAAGATTTGATATTTAATATTTGAAGGCTGAATAATTGAATAACTGAACTTGATACCTAAACAGTAATTTTGATGCACTGAAAATAAAAGTTTTAGAAATTTCAAGAGAATAAATAAGGTGGTAGAAATGGAAATAATAAAAAGAAACAAAACCGCTCAAATAATAAATTAGAAAGCATATTAACTGATGATAGCGTCGAGTATGATGAAACTGAAACGTGTCTGGGTTTACTTAAACAAAAGACAGATAATTTAGAAATAACTCATAACAGATATTTAGTTTACAAAATGAAAAAGATTTCAAAACTGACTTTATTTCAGTTTAAGAGTATTGAGAAAAAGCTTTAAAATTTCAGCTAAGAGGCAAACATGTGTTAGATAGTTTGTTGAAAAAGATATCGAGTGAAAACGAAACAGTTTGTTCTCATAATAGTCGACTGTTACAAGAAAATAAATTACCAAAAGCTTTACGTTTACAAATTCGGAAAAGAAATAAAAGATTGGTTAAGATTTTGGAGCCAATTTAGAAACACAATGAGAACATAAATTTATCTAATGCAGATAAATTTCCCTATTTAATCTAACTGATGAAATTAAAATCAGAAGCTACGGATATAGTTGAATCTTCCTGCGACAGATGAAAACTATTCTTTCAATGATGAAAGTTTAACCGAAAGGTATGGCAGAAAAGATCTGTTACCAGATTTTTATGTTAGAGAGCTATTAAAGCTCGTTTTGAACAATGCGAGTAGAAATAAAAGAGATTCTTTGAGCTGCTTATATAACACAAACTATCTACTCAGCTGAGAGCAATGAGCTCCTTAACAGTTACATCTGAAATGTGCAGCATAATATTATAGCCTCCTGTTGAATCAAGTTATGTGCTTTTCTTAAGAGAAACCAGTAAATGTTTCACACTCATTCAAACTGCAAATAAAAAGAAACCTAGAAAGCAAAATTTAGCAAGTTTTGAGGCAATCTTTTGTTTTCCGGAAAACAAAGTTCAAACAGAAGAAAATATAAAGTAGACCAGAAATATTTCATGACCCCTCAAAGGGAAAGAGCAAAAATTAAGAAAGATTCATCAGAATTATTAGTCTTAATTCAAACGATGATACTTCGTGCGCATTTTGTTTAAAGAATCACAAGACTCGATTCTGTTAGAAACCATATTTTATTCCGTTGGATGAAAAGTTGTTATTAAAAGGAAAGGTCTATGTCATGTTTGTGCAACGAAGGGTTATTTAACTAAATTCTGTCCATCTAGTATCAATGTTATAGCTGCTCTATAAGACATTTAAAATTCATGTGCCCTAATTCAGAATGTAATCAATCGAGTGAAATATCAAAACAAGGTGTTAATGAAAAGGTTACATATACAGTCAAAAGTCGTTAATCCGGACTCGTCGGGACTTCGGCGATTCCGGATTATCGATTTTTCCGGATTATAGATCATCAGTTTAAATCTGGTAAGATGGCATGCAGAAATTATAAAATTAAAAATATGAAACCGTAATTTATGAAATAAAGAACAATTATGATCTAAAGGGTATCAAAATTTACAAAAACAAAGCTTAATATTTATTTGTTTACTTTATTAAACATTTCTTTCAATGTAAGTTGTTCAAGTTGCTTCATTTTTTATGTGATAATACATTCTCTTTAATACTATAAACAGACAATTTCTTGTTCAGTTACAAAGTTCCGCTGTTCAAGTCCTATAATTGCTGTGTCGAGAATACTGACTAATTTGTGAATCGAAATTTTTTCGTTTTCAATAACCTCTGTCACTTTCTTCGCTATTGGAAGCGAATTATAATGACGAGGAATTCGATTTAAATCATATCAAAGACGGAGTACATCGAGATGAAATACTACAATTAGTAAGGAATTATAAGACAAAACAAAATAAAAACATCTGCCCTGAAAATAAGGATAGTGCTGACAGACCAACTTCCAATTCATTGCGCGCCACAGCGTTAAAGATAAACAAAAGTTAAGATAAACAAAGGATATGTCTTTATCCATTTTTTGCAGCAATTCCACTTTTTGTTTAATGGACTTCGAAACATACTTTCGCTTTGTAGATCCTTTACATATTAGTAAATATATATCAGAAATTCTATTTGACATAATCGAAAGTTCAAGCTTACTTTTATAAAATTGCTTTAACAGTCTGCAAAAAATAATAAGCCGGATCCAATTTGAAGATTAAGGAAGAATGCAATCTGCAACATTAACCTAAATAGATAATTAGATAATTTTAGCTTAGCTTATCCGTCCATTCGTAAATGCATTTTGCGCACGCGCATATTCACAGCCATAAAGGTCTTACACGCATGCGTCAACGCGACGCATGCGCAGAAAGTTTATAGCTTTGAGGTCCGGATTATATATCATTCCGGATTACGGGTGTCCGAATTAACGACTTTTGACTGTACTTCACATTCGTGTGTGCATACAACGAATGAAGTATTTTTTGACTCTTGTAGTTATTAAAGGGAAAAAGGCACAATGGAAGCAAGGCTTATTTCAGATGTGGGTTCTCAAAAATCTTACATTAAAAAAATTTACCTAAAAGTCAGGTTTCGATTTTCAGAAAGAACAGGAATTTTCGCTCTCCCTTGGGGATAGTAAAACCAAAAACACCAGCGGCATAAATGTTATAAGCTGATGTAGTTGCCACACTATTTACGGGTAAGCAAGAACAACTGACATCGTGATTAATCACCTAAGACTAAATTGGATTGCATATTAACCCCTTCGAGCCGGGTAGCGAAAACGTGCACTTATCGCGGAGGCCGGCAGTGTCTTGCACGAGTGTCTCTCCAGGGCCGAGGCTTTTTTGCTACTAAGCCTAAATCCATGAAATTTTCGAAGTATAAACACATTGTTTAATAATGCTCTATAGAGTATTTAAACGGCTTATGCTTTATAGATATATACTTTAATTACCTTATTTCTTGTTTAAATGCATATTTTACACATTTTATTTTAATTACTCACCATTTTATTACTTTTAACATTATACATCTGAAAACTAAACATATTACTTAAAATTCTCTTTTCGTATGAAAAATTTGAAAACAGGGATCTACACACAGTCCTACGTTACATTCCTTGCACTCGTAATAACTCATTTGCCGTTTTGGAGGATTTTTCCGGGAATGTGAACAAACGAAGCATCGTCGTCTCATTTTCTTATCAGTCTCTTCTGAACAAAGTTTTGGAAAACATCTTTCAGTTAATCTTTCAGAATCAATATCAGAATTTCAGAATCAATATCTGAAATATTTTGCATCATTTCTGCTATTTCATGCTCTGTTAAACATTTTCGACGCTTCGACATTGCAACGGTAAGAACAGAAAGAATTCATGTCTAACAAGATCTAATTATTTTCTAAAAACTGAACTGTAAACCGAAATACTCAACGCTTTAGCGCATATAAATCTTCTACTTACAATAAACAACTACCACGTGCGATTTAAAGAGACGTCATAAATCACGCCATTCGGAAACATTTAGTTCCCCGTTTGTTTATATAATCAAAAACACGTGTATGCGAGTCATGCTTCTCTCATTTTGAGTAGAAGGTCTAATGTACATGTATCTGAAACCATATGGACATACAGTGCCATCTTTTGGCAGAAATTATAGTTTCTAAAACGTTCCAGGATACTGGCACAAATACGTGACAGTCGGTAGTAAACGGGAAAATGCTCTGGCACGCCTGCGTGTCGGCCGGGAGGTGAGTGTGTTCGTTGCTGGCACGTAGACGTGACAGTCGGCGTGCAGGGGTTAATGGTAAAGTTTACTTACTCAGAACATCAAAATGTGAATATAACTGCTGTTAGTATGCTTTCTCAGGAATTACCTATTTCATTTTTGTTGAACTTAGAGCTGCATTGGTATTAGAGATTCTACTGAGTAAAATACCACAGAAAATTTGCAAAATGTTGTAATGATTCACATTCAAGAAACTGCACAACAAAGTTCAGATGGAAGGCACGAACTAAGTTTGCCAAGGAAAAAAGATAATGTCTTTTTGGTTATACAGAGAAAACAGGATACAGATAAATACAAGCAAGTTTCTGAAGAACGGATATAGGAAGGCATGATTGAGGAAGTTCTCCAAAAATTGTGATTGCTTGAATCACATTACCTTCCCTATTATTCAGTTACTAAAGAAATGTCAGTGATGTCTTCTTCGAAAATCCGGCTCGTCTTTGACTTTTCTGCAAAGATCCCAAACTATCCATCACTGAGCCAATGTTTACAGACTGGAATCAACTTTATTGTGACAATTCCAATTATTTTAACCAGATTTCTCTCGTCTAAGGTTGGTGCAATTTCTGACATAACAGCATTCCTGCAAATTTCCTTGAATGAAAATGATGTCAAGACTTACAGACGAAGAGTTTTCGGTCTGAACAGCAGTCTTTTTTTTTTTTTTTATTATTAATAGTAGTCATTCATCATCATTGTCCCAAGACACTTTCAAGTTACAATATTCTAAAGAACTGTTAGAAAGAAGAAATTATGCAGACAATTATGTTATGAATGTATGAAATGCACCAGAATTGGAAACATTTATGAAGACAGCCAATGGAATCATGAAAGAAGTGCAATTTCATCTAAGAGGTTGGTAGAGCTACATACTCTCTGTCCTCCAGGTTTGCAAATGCATGTTTTCGGACTGATATGGGAGAAGAACTCTGACACATTAAACGCCAATTCTGAATCGCTGAAACTGGAAAAATTGGAAAGGTTCATAAAAAGAAAAGTTTTGTCCCTCATTAGCCAAACGTTTCATCCCACTGGGTCTCTTGCTCCAGTTTTAATACGACCTAAACTTTTGCTTCAAGACATTTGGAAGAGAATTTGGGTTTCAGAAGTTAATTATGACATAAAAAAGAAATTTCATTCATGGTTTCAAGATTTACACTGTTAATAGTACTTCATAATATTATTAAAAAAGTATCGAGTATTTATATAAAAACCTTTTTTTTTTTCACATGCAAAGATTTTGCACAGATATCGTACTATTTACAAGCATGACACTTCACTGAAATTAATATTTCTATAGAGAAATAAAAATAAAAATGAAAATAATACTCACAGGACAGCCCATAAAAACATGCAAAAATGCTCTTAAGCGTTCTTCTCGAGTACAACTTCCAAAGGGTAAAGCCCCACCATCTGTTGTAAGGTACTGCAGCAGTTTCCTAACTAAACCACTATGAATTACTTCAAATGAAGAAATATCACTATCAATGACAACACTGCGAATATCCACAAGTGCTTTTAGACTGCCATCTGCCTGTAGAGGGGAATAAGAATACATCACATTCCATACCCATGAATGATATTAATCAAAGGTAAAAAATTACACATTTTAGAGTTTTCATACCATTGATTCAAGACGTCCAAGAGCAATAGTTAGCCTATTTAGGACATTCATGGCAGGATGTGTTGACCCTGGCTGCTCAAGACTGAAAAATTCTTCATCAAACTTTTGGGCTAAAAATAAAATATACACCATCAGTTAGCTAACAAACATTATTAAAGCACATAAAGATAACTACATTTTGGGAGATCTTACCTTGTTCTTTGATCCAAGCTTTAATTTTTTCTCGGTTACCAGAAGTATTAGCATACACTGAAGATCTCTGGACTAAGCATGGCTCCTGTTAATGACACAAAAACACTTTAACAAATAAAAGCATTATGCATGTGCTATGCTTTATAATCACACTTAAGCCAACACAAGCATATAAGAATTTTCAATAATTAGAAAGAGAGAAACAAAACACGACACAGGAAAACAATTTAAAGGATAGAAATTTAAAACTATATTTTACGGAACTTGAAATGTGTCATTCATGCAGGTTTAGGATACATTAAATACATAGAGTTCACATAAAACTAAAAATAGTCACTGTATTTAAAACAAATCATACCCATGCAGCAGCTCACAGGTAGCTATTGTGTCTTGAGAGTGCATTCTATTAAACACGGAAGTAAAAGTCATGTTTACCTGAGTGGACAAGCGACCAGTAACTGGAGAACTGCTACTCCAACGACCCCATCTCGCCGGATTCAGGTTGGCAAGGAAGGAAGAGGTCTTTGCAGCAGCAGAACTGAATTTTCCTCGTCCTGGTGCTGCTGCACTGGGATTGTTAGAGCATGTAGTGGGGCTGGCAATACTGCCTAGAACTGGACTAGCACTGATTGTGGAGTTGTTGTGACAACTAGGAGGAGTACATGCAGACAAAGCGAGCATGGATGAACCTAACATTGGGTTAATATGATTGTCTAACACTCCTCGGCCAAGCCCACGGATACCAGAGCATGAGAATGGATCCCTAGGAACTTCTTCAGTACGTACCTTCCTGCTAGTAGCATTACTGCGCTTTGGTGTTCGTTTTCGTTTCAACACATCACTAAGTCTCCTGAAACAAAAAATTGGAATTGAAACAACAATGGAAATTTTGGGGTGTATCTGTTAATTTATTTCAAAATGCTGTACAAATATAGTTTCTCAATGATAATTTATTATAGGAAGAACCACATGTTTAAAAATTAAATGAAGAATGTTTTCAAGAGATATTTGTCACTAAAATGGAAAATATATATTTCCAAATATTTAAAAAAGGCATTCATTTTCAGTCTCAAAAATGAAAAATTAACTAATACATAGTATAACTAACATGGTTATGCTGAGCAAAATTTAGCAAATGCGTTCTGCAAACACATGCAATAAGAGTTGCAGTATTTCAATTTAAAAAAAAATACTACTGGGTTGTCAGTAAAGTCATGACACATCTTTTGCTAACTTTTAAGTGAAAAAAAAAAAAAAAAAAAAAACCTGTCATCAGGAAAGAACTGGAAAAGCTGCTGAATGCCAGCTTCATCTGAATCTAACATTATACCATGCAAGGAATTTTATAGAAAGCAAAACAAGTACAATTCTAACGGCAAAGTAAGGAGAGAATGGCAGATGTGACATTGGACTAATGTTGGAACAGTTTTTTTAAAAGTGATCAAACTTATATCTCGTCTAGGGTATTCTGATGCAACAGAACTCCTCTACGATTAATAGGCTCCGGACGTTTCTGAGTGATGGATTGGTTCAAACTACGAAACTGCTGATAGTACGAATTTCCAGCTGATTGTTTGATTCCTTGGTAGGAGCTCAAAAAGTATGGCATCTTAAAAATCTTACTATACCAAGAATAAAAATTTCCTTTGATGAGTGCCGCCTTTAATATCATTTCAAGAAAACCGCCATACTAGGACCAAGACTATTTTTGCACAATGCTCCAAACAATCCACTTCTTATGTATTAGCAATCTCTTCAAAAGGGATCTTTTCCACACATTTCAGCATATCACACATTCGCCAAAGGAATTCATGGGAAAATAATTATCAAGCTTGCTTATGCATCCTACTTTCTTCAGATGGACTGAACAATGTCTCGCTTCAATGACAGATGTTCAATGCTTCTGCAAACGTGTAACACACATACTCAATCAATGCCTTTATTTTGCTATGGCTGGCTTTCTTGATTCTGAGAACAAAATCACCAACAGAGAATTTTGCGAACTTTCGTTGACACTTGATGCCTTATACAGAATCATCGATGCTCATCAACAGCATCATCACTTTAATCGTTGACGTGCTTTCTTTTTCAGAAGCGAAACAGTAAAATATGGCAAATTTCATTTCAATTTGTAAAATTTCTGGCATTCAAGCTGCTTAATTGCTTTTAGGAATGAAGCTACAGCTGTCAAGTCACAAATGATTTAGAAGTAAAAGTTATGCAAATGACTAATACTTCGCTCCCCAAAAAAGAACTAGTATTACTGCAATTCTGACAGTCCAATGGTTATACACAAAATAGAAACATTTAAATTTTGCATACTTCCTTAAAACAAAGAGAGAAATACTCACATTTGTGAAATATTAGACCCATGTCCTTCATCTATGGCAGTTGACGTACCCGCAGATGACTGAATACCCTCAAATGTAGTTGCAACTGATGATGAAGAGCCCCACAAACCTCCTCCGGGAAAATGCATGGCATTATCGGAAGAAAGGTCACTTGCAGATACGGGCAAAATACTGGGACTAAATGATGAATGACTGCTATCACATGCTGATATTCCAGCCTGGCTGATAGGTATCAGTGTAGGAAGAGATGAGAATGATGGTACACTATCAGTTGCTGCATTTGAGCTTTCTTTACTTTGGCAGGGAGAATCAGAACTGATATCCAACTTCGTTAACCACCGGACTTGATGCATTACACCTAGGAGGAAAAAAAAAAAATTTTTTTTTTTTTTTAAATCAAAGTCTTTTCAATTTAACATGATATTAATGCAGAAAGCAATTTCCAGTTTATATTACCTTCTCGTCTGAAGTATACACCAAAAGTTGATGGAAGCTTTTGCATCAATATTTCAGCCATTTGAAGAGCAGCAACCACAACTCTGAGATCTTGAGAAGCAAGCATTGCAGCAACATGGCTTATGAAAAGAAATTAATAAAATACTCAACTCCAGAATACCTACAAAAGTTCTTAATGAAACTATTAAAATCAAATGACTCATTATGATGGCAGATAATTAACAGCCCTTAAAAAACAAACTATTTGTTACTACAAATGGCACTTAATTACATATGCAACATGAACCATTCATTATGATGGCAGATAATTAACAGCCTTTTAAAAACAAACTATTTGTTACTACTTAAAATACAAATGGCACATAATTACATATGCAACAATTTATTGAACAAAACTGAGCTCAAGTTGATGCATTGTTCCTAGTTTAGCAAAAATGTGAAAATTTTTTTGAAATATTTTATTACAAATAAAGTAATTCCTTAAAGCAGGGAGCTGATACACTTATATGAAAGTAAAAGGATCAATAACTGTTGATGTATCAATAACTTATGAATGCAGCTCCATTATTAACAGAAAATTTGGATCCTCTTCTTATCTTCTAGAGTAAAAATGGGTATTATTCTTCAAGGTAGACTCATTAACTAAGTTTCAGAAAAACATTTCAGCATTTATTCCCATCACTGCAGTAATAATGAGAAGCTTAAATTAGTAGGTTAGTTACCCTATACTGACTGCTTCAATTCAACCTAAAGACGTGGGGCATATGGCTTTGGTCTTGTCAGTTAAGCTCTTTCATCCGCATTTCTGTGTTCCACAAAACTAGAAAGCTTGCTGCACGAAAAGATGCATATTTACGTTGACACAAAAAAGGGTCCACTGCAAATCATTGCTAATGTTTTAGCATATGTCAGATTTTAGACACAACTAAAACTAAGCAACTAAACAAAACCTGAATAGACAGCTATACACCCAAATGCTATACTGTCTCAAAGTTTTGCTGTTAAGATTATTCCATACAATCTCTTTGCCGAGCATCTGTCAGCCTCAAATGCATCTGTTGTTTAACTGATTATGCCAAAGTACACAATGGCTACCTCTCTATAAGACATACTTTTGAGAAAACTTCCAACTGGAAACTAGTTCTTAGTCACAATGAACATGGAGAAAACCACGAAAGCTTTTGCTAGAAACCAAACACAGGATGAACTACCAGTGTTTAGCATTCTAATCCACTTGACCTCTAATTTGGGACTAAGTTGCCAGATCTTAACATTATGACTTATTTATCCATAGGAATCTCTTTCAATGATCCAGAATCCAATGGCAGCATTGCTTCCACCTACTAAATGACTAACAGACACAACCATCAACTTCTGAGTAGCAGGAGCAAGAATACCAGATGCAGTTACTGCCTGTTACATAGTCCTATCAATGGCCCTCACACTTCTGAATTCAGATGGGAGACTATAAATAGGTGACAAGGCTGTTTAAAGATTGAGTATGACAGCCTTTTTATTTTGCCTGAATATGTCTGTCAGTTTCTTGTTCTTACAAGGTTGACAGTAATGCGCTTCTGCAAAATCTTGAGTCCAAGATTATTTCACTTGCAATTAGAATTGGTATGCATACATTAAATTTTCTGACAAAATGACAATTCTTTTATGTTAAAATCATATTTCATTTGAACAGCCAGAATTCCTTCATCATCATTATCCGAATCTATTCTCTAATGCCAATACACTCGTATTTGTGCAATTATGAGAGTTCATGCACAATTTCTAATAATAGTCATTATGCAGATTTAACTATGCTCGTGATGAAATTTTTTACATTTATTACGATCACCAATTAAATGATATGAATTTTTATGAAAAAAGGGAGGGAAAGGAAAGAGAAGACACAACTAAGAATGATGCTCAACTTCACTCTGTTTCAAGATGAAAGAAGTGAAAAGACTGCATTTCTTTTATGGATGGATGAAGAGATTTTGGTTCTTAAGGCTGCAATCAAAAAGAATGCTGATCATAATACAGTAAAAAGTCTGAGATCTTGACGTCCAATATCCGGACCTTAAAGCTATCAACAAAATTTTTTAGGAATTTTTTTATGCTTTATGCATGTGCATTTGATTTTTTTTTAAGAACAATAAAACATGTGGAAAGTCCCGATTCTTAATTTCACTTCGGCAATAAATAAAATACCTCATTATTGCAGAAGCAATCATTTTAGAATAACTTGTTGTGATCAATAATTTGGCTCCATAGCTGCATTAACTGCTTGACATACATCTCAAACATTCTACATGTAAACATCATTGATTATACAACTAAGAATATTTTATATCCCGGACGCCAACCTGTAAATTAGAGTGATCAATAATTTAACCCCACAGCTGCATGTCTGCTTGGCATACATCTCAAACATTCCATGTAGAAACATCGTTGATTTTACAACTACTAATATTTTATACCCCTGATGCCAACCTGGCATATCATTATCTTTACATATAATAAAACGAAGAGTCTGCTGTGCGTGTTTCGTTCGTACCGCGCTAAGCTAATAAATAAACCCAGGGCTACAAAATTTAGTACACAGATGCATCTAGACAAAAGCCAGTGCACCTCAAAGTGATTTTTTCATAAAATAAAACTCAATGAAGTTTTATTTTATGTTTTTTGATCAAATCAATAATTCTCTCTCATTACAACAGCAACAATGGCATGCAGCCATTGTTGCTGATATATCACTGTTGCCACTTAGAAAAATGAGAGTGATAATTATGTACAGTTTTTAAATTTAATGTTTCTCTTGGATACTGGATGTTTGTTGAGAAAAGGCAACGGGAATTCGGTTAATTTATTCATTAGGATAATTAATATTTGTGTTAAGGGATATTGCTTATTTCATTGTAATTTTTTTATATGTAATACATTTTTATTGAAAATTGTGATGTTTTTTGACAAACTTGTTCTGCAGAGTAAAATTCTGTGCAGTTTTTTAATTTAATGTTTGGTGTTCCCTTTATGCATTTTCCGCTACATTTAAAAGCCAGAAGAAGGCTGGCTGCATAGTGGCTAGTTTATTATATTTTGCTTTCATCACCACATGTTTATCAACACGACAACTTGAGTAATGACACATGCAAAGATGCCTAAACTTTTTTTTTTATTGTAGTAATTTAATAACAAATATTATAGTAAACTTTTATGTTGACATTACGCTTGGTGATGACTATACATTTCAGTTAATGAGGAAAAATTTAACAATAATTCTTCCTATATGTTAAAAAATAGATGTTGTTAATCATACTCATAGGTCAAAAGATTGCATTTAGTGCTATCTGAATTAAGAATAACTGATTTTTTATTCAAATAAACCCAGAACTGGTGCCAGAGCTTATAGGGCCACAGCAGGGGCAAAATTTAGGGAAGACAAAATTTTTGGAATTTAGGAAAAGCACTGGGACCCGAAATTTAGGCAGCAAAAATTTAGAACTGAGGACCTGCAGAGACTGCATCAGGCTGTAAAATATGCAGCACCAGCCCTCAGCAAGCTTAAGTATATGTGAGAATTTATTTATTCGGGATTCGGATATGCCTTAAGCATGTGCAAGAAATAAACATAAGTATAATAGCTAAATTAATAAAATTCAGGCTTAATTGTCTCAGTGCACATTAGGAGCATGACAAAATTTAATGAACAACTTGTCTTTCATTGCCAATCACATGCTATATAACATATAATGTATAATGGATGCTGTTAAGTTAGGCTAAAATTATACTCTATCGATTCCAAGGAATTTCATATAACAGATTGCGCCATTACTTAAACTTTGATTTGATGCAGCTTATTATTTTTTCGCAGCTATTATTATTACAGCAATTTTATGAAAATGATGATTGAACTTTCGATTATTTTGAAAAGAGTTTATAATTTTGAATCTGCAACAGGATCTACAAAGTGAAAGCATGTTTCGATGTCCATTACACAAAAAAGTGGAATTGCTGGAAAAAATGGATATAGGTATATCCACCTCATAGAAAGTCAACTGTAAATGACATAAGAGAAAAAGCAAATTTATGAATTTTTTGTGGATTGCAACATTGCACTCACATTTTGTAATGCTAAAAGTGACGATCATGACAAAGTGATGATTTAATGGGTCAGACATCGTCGTAGCTACGGCATGCCATTGACGGATGAAGAAGTGAACTTAAAAGATCAGTGCACATATTCAGCAGGTTTTGTTAACCAAATTTTAAAATCACCATGGTATAAGGCAATTAAAAATTTCAGGTGAAAAAGCTTCAGCTCATACTGAAGCTTTCAAACTATTTGCAGATGAATTCATCGAACTCATTGATAGTGAAAAGTTATCTCCAGGTCAAATTTAAAATGTTGATGAAACTGGTGTTTTCTGGTGAAATACCACTGCAACCTCTACAGAAGAGGCTCCAACTGGTGTCAAAGTTTCCAGAGCAAGACTAACAATTTAAGCAAGCACGAATGCAGCATTTGCATGTTAACTCTTCATAATCTGAAAAAATACACAACCCTGAGCATTTAAAGGAGTAACGATTTCCCCTGCTATATATCACGAAAATAAAAGAGCATGGATGACACAAGTATAATGAATGATTGGTTTGAAAATCATGTCATACATGAGATTCGGCAAAATCTGAATTCGGTCGTCGGTTTACCTGATGACGCAAAAATTGTCCTTACTGTAGAAAACTGTTTGGCTCATATTTCACTTACTTTAAGTGAAAGATGATGTATCCATAATCTTTTCTCTAAACTGTATGTCCATCATTCAGCCTATGGATATTGGAATACTGCACATGTTGAAATGCAAATATAAAGAAACGTTTCTAAAATCCATGTTAAGTTTCTTGAATAATGGCAACACCGTTCAAGAATTTTAGAAATATTTTAGCATAAAACCTGCTGTTTATAGCACGGCAAGATTGTGGGATAATGTGTCTCCAGATACTTTAAAAAGTGCTTGGCATAATTAATTTATGGCCATTTATCGTATTTCATGGTGAGGATGATGATGATGACAGCTGCGAATATGAAGGTTTTTGGATATCGCAAACCAAAAGTGAAATTTTCCAATTAGTGGATTTTGTAAAGAAACATGGAAAAGTGATAATAATTGAATATGATAGATCAGAATTTTTTAATCACGATGACAATGCTCCAATCATCAATCAATTAACAGATGGTAAAATCTGTAGTATGGTTCTAGATCCAGAAAGTACTGCTACGGATAGTCAAGAAAGTGACAGGGAGATTACTGAAAACTGAAAAAATTTTGATTGATAAGTTAGTAGGAATTCCTGACACAGCAACTATAGGACATGAACAGAGGAACTTTGAAACTGGACGAAAAATCATGTTTGTCTATAGAATTAAAGAGAAAGAATTAGCACAAAAAAACGAAACAACTTAAATAATTTACATTGAAAGTAATGTAAATCGTTTAAGTGTAATTTTAACAATTGTGTAAATTGTTAAAATAAGTAAATATTAAGCCTTTTGGTAAATTTTGATGCCCTTTAGATTATAAATGTCTCATTATTTCATATTTTATATTTTATAATTTTTACATGTAATGTTACTAGTTTTAAACTGATGATCTAATATCTAGAAAAATCCCAAACCCAGAATCAATGAAGTCCCGATGAGTCCGGATCTCGGAATTTGTACTGTATACCATTTTGATCAAGTTCAATGGATATTTTAAAGTACTTTTCAAAATAAAATATAAACCATTGGTAGACAACAGATATTTAACTTAAGCCCAAAAAACTCCTGATTTAATGAAACATATAGTGTCAATGCCCCAACAAACTAATAAGAATACAGATTTTGCTGGCAATAATCAAGGTGTTAAAAATAATATAATACTTAAAACTATAAACTTAAAGCAGATATGAATACGTTAAACATATATGCAGTTTAAATATTTTAACATACATAATACAGGTACTTTATTTGAATATATATTTATTAAATGCAAAAAGAACACTTTTATACCTAAGAAGTTAAACTATACACTAAGCAATCAAAAATATACTTGGAACATTTTTCTACCTTGCTACTGTTTGACTTTTCAAAACTTGCTGAAGTAAATCTGGAGGAGCAAAATAAATCATACGAAGCAAAGCTCTCAGGCATTTATGTCTCACAGCAGGCCCAGCCTGCAAATATACATCAATTTATTTATCTCAAAGAAAAAGATTAAATATTAAATTATTTTAGGATATGTATTAACTAAACTTTAAGTATTTTAACAGGCACTTACAGAACTGCTGTATACTTCATACAATACAGCAAAGAGAGATTTTATACATGAAGCAGCCAAGTCAGAATTAGCTTGAAGGCAATCAACTCTAGAATCTGAATTATCAATGTTATGACATAAACCTATAATTGAAAATCAATGTAATTTGCAGAATTCCAGTTTTTATATCATTAATGTAAATATCCACAAAAACTTACACAATCAAGTTAAGACTAATAATGACAATTATAAGAGAAACATTCAACTGAGGTCACATTTTATAGAAGATAGATAGGACTAGTTTCTCCTGAGTCTAAATAAGTCACATTATTTCTGTTACTTACAAGATAATAAAAAAAAAGTGAAAGTTTATGAAACAGCTGTAAAATGTATGCAAAACCTTTTAATTTTAGATATTTCTAACTGGGACGCAGGAAATTATAACGTGATCTAATGCAAAATTTTAATGTGAATGTGATGAATTAAAAGTGAAATGAAAGTGTTGAAAGGAAGGCACTTTTATTTTGGAAAAGAATGCAAGCATTCACTGTATGAGAAGTGTTTATTAAGATGAATCAATTTGCCTATATGTTACACATGAAGAAAAAAAAAAAAAAAAAAAACACCCACGGTGTTGGGCTATTCAATAGGGTATGGAACTTGCGACAAAGGCTATACAATTTTTAGAAGTTCAAACCACTCGAAGCAACTGTTGGGTGTATTTAAACTGAACAATATATATCAGGAAACGTTCCAATTACTGGTGAATATTTGATTATAAAAGTTCTTAAGGCCATGTATAACCATAAAAAAACCAAGAAAGACATTCAAAATAATTTACTAATTTTCATGTAAAGATACGCATAACAAGTGAACATATCTCTCAGCATGCAGTTCGAATATTAATTTACATATGTTCTGGCAGGAGGTACTTAATAACTTATATCACACACACTTCCATAACAACTGGCAAAGTCTTATGATGTGCACATGATAAAATTAATATATATTCAGGCATAAGGATCTCAATTAAAGACCAAGTGAAGCCTATCACTTTTTGAAGTGGAATCCGAACTACATTACACTTACCAAAATCCATTTCTTTACACGGGATTTCACCTGGTACTCTGGAGGACCACATATCAAATGACTTAAACCACTTGTCCACCAAGTTACCTATATTTTGTATGAATGCCTAATTTAGAACCCAAGCACTAAATTTATATAACTGCCAGTTATTACAGATAGCAGATTTTTCAGACTCTAGAAAACCATAATATTTTGTTTACTATAATTCAAGTACAAAATAGATTATCCTTTTTCTTATTTCCAAAATAACTTTTCAAATTAAAAAAAAATAAAAGGACTTTCAAAAAAATTTAAAGAAAGAATAGCATGGAAAGGGTTACAACCTCTTACAACTAAAAACTCTGACGACACTCAATTTTATTACAAACACAAAAACTTAAAACACACTATAATTATAACTAAGTTATATTTTGTTTTGTCAAATGAAAATTCATAAATACTGAGACCACGTACAATTAACTTTAATACCTTTTTGGGTAGCTATTTCATGGGAGAAACAAGAAATAATGTTAAAATTGAACTTGAATAACAGCTGATCATTACATATTTACTGATAACCGAAAACCTAATAATCTTTTTAGTACAATTACTAAACAGAAGAAATAAGCATTAATGCTAAAAAAAAAGAGATCAGAGCAGAATCTGATCACTGCGTAGTCAAGTAATAGAGAAAATCACATAAGATATATATATATTAGGACGAAGGCTAATAATTTTATCCATAAAAAATATACTAATTTCTTCATAAAATTTAAGAAATTGAATTTAAATGTGAAAAACTATCACAGTTATATTACCTATAACTGTACCAGATGAATTATTAACCCGCCGCTGAACTGGTCTTGTTGTTCCAGAATCTTCATTTATCTGCTGCATTGAATTGAAATCAATGGTATAAGTTTTTCCCATTGCTGAAAGACTAATTTCATCTTCACCTGACTGATGAGCAGCCTGAGATAAATAAATTCCACCAAAAAAGTTATGAAGTTTAAATTCAAATATTTCAAGAACACATAAAAATAATTTTTTACCATTAAATATGTTAAAAGAACTGACCTTATAAGAATATGCTTTCTGGATTAATACAGTAAAGAAATGAAAAATATGGAATATTATTATATGTATTCACAAGTTATAGCAATCAAAATTAAATTATAAATATTAATACACAATGTCTTAGGTTAGCATATACTACAGAACTATAGAACAAGTTAATCAATTTCTCTTTTGACATTTATCTGATTTTTTTCTTTACATTTTATTAGGAAATTTAGCTCAAGATACATTCAACATGGTCCACTGAATGCAATAAATAACATTTAAAGAGAGCAGAATTAAAAATAAAAGGACTATAAATATGCAGTGAATACTATAGAAAATATTATAGTCTCACAGAAATTAAATCCTGTTATGTCAAAAAAATTTAATCCTCAATGAACTTTAAACAAACTTAACTAATAAAACAAATTAAATGAACTGAAAACACACCTCAATAATTTTGTTATCAATGCTAGTATATGGATGCCACAGCCCTCTATCATCTCTCCACTGCCACACAACAGTATCTTGATGGTTACTGCTTTGTTTCATGAGAAGAGCATCAATTGCAAATATTCCATCTGATGGCAGACGTGGCATAAGTTCACTAACAAGAAATCATATGAATATCATAAATCAAATAATGTTTTTCTTCTATAAAATTTTTAAAGAATAATACCTTATTCAAATATCCCCCGCAACTAGAATGCCTCATGCGCTAAAACCATATTATTAAAAATGATTCTCTCATAAAATAAACACTACAAACAATATTTAATTAAGCAGAATTACAAAAACAAAGGATAAAAAATAAGTTTCTTTTTAGTTAAAATATCATGAACTGTAGAGCAAATATTGTAATCAACACCGAAAAGACTGATCATAGTAAAAGAAACCAAAATCTATCATCTTGGACTGAAGTACACAACAGACGCCAAGGTTGACTAGTAAAATTGTAGGGCATAAGCTCAAATGTCATCTTGCACTAAACATAAGGTCAAACTATCTCATCTTGTTTCTTTAAAAAAGTGTCATACTATAAAATCAGCTAAAATAATGCAATAATGAGTATTTATTAATGTTATGACAAACTGAAACAGAACAGAAAATTAATACGCCATGCGTACGATGGGTCGGGCCAAACCTAACTTTCACGGGCATAGCCTGCGTACGGTGATCGGGCCAGAAGTGAATATTACGAGGAATATTTGATACACAATTAAGAGTCTGATGCAATAATTGTGGTAGACACAAGTATTACAAAATGTTTATTTATACAAAACTCCAAAATACGTACAAAATAAGTAACCTGTAACGGTATGATATATTTCAAAGCATTCTGGTACATGTAACGGAACTTTAAACTTTTTACACTCATGTTCTATGTGGATTTTCTCGTACATGATCTGCATACTGATTCATTTCAGTTACAATATTGTTCCAAAATATGTAATCAAATATTAAATTAAATATAAATTCTCCTCTACTTCCTCCTAATTGACATAAGGCTTCCTCTCTTATGCCTCTCTTATGAGTCATCGTATAGTCCCAGATTTTTGGACTATTTCTTATTTCTTTCCAAAGCCAGGACTCTGGTAGTTTATCATCATCGGATGTATCATCAATACTTTTCTTGAAAATTGCATAATTCGTCATGTTTACGATTGCCCGGATTAGCGTGTTACACAAGTCGTGCAAATGTCCCGAACGCAGCGCGAGCTTGTATACAATTTTGAGCCAAAATCTTCGAATCTAAATCGTAGGTTAAGGGGTTAACGAACTAATGTGATGATGAAACCAATAGATGTGCAAAATGAATTATGATAAAACAGGTAAAAATAATACATGAAAAATATTTAATATACATCAAATTACATTAAGGAAATTTCAGGCTGAATAATAAAAACCACTCTCTTAAATATAAAATATATCAGAATCAAAGTCTTTTCTAATTAGATGATGAAAAGTTATCAAACAGCTATTAAAATGCTTTTCATAAAGTGCAGTAATGCAAAGGCTTTCTATTAAAATATGATGCACTGAAAGAACAGAACTTTTAACATGCTGGCTCACTCTTTTAGCTTTTAAAATGTAATTGCATGTAAGGTGAGACTGGCCAATTCTGAGACGAATTAAAAGGACTTCTGCTCTCAGGTTTCTATAAGCATCCCAATATTCCACTCTAGATTCAATATTTCTCATCTTGTTATGGAGCTGAACATCGAGAGTCACAGCCACTTAACAGGATTTTCTGCTTGATGACCATGTTGATATCACTTGAAGGAATGAGCCAAATGAACATTTCAGTAGCAGACTTATAAATGTAATTGCTGTAATGTCTTACAGCTCATTACCTTTTATTCATACATGCACAGGTATACAGCAGTAAAGAATCTCATATACCCAGTTATTCAGCATTAACTTTAGAATTCTGGGAGACGGAAAATGTTTCTAAAGCTTTCAGTGCAATGAACAAGCTTGTATAAACTTTCCATCATAACTTTAGATAGATATGATGGAGAAAGCATTATTAAGTGCATAGTCAAAAATCAAAATTGAGCAAGCAATATGCAAAAAATATCACAAAAGATTATGCTCAAGAAAGTTGTCTGTATATGATCTCTTATTTCTTTTATTTACATGGTAAAAAGTATCAAGAAGCTGGATATGCACCCTCTCTCAGTGAGAAAATTCAAAATAATTTACTGCTTGGACATACACATCAGTCATGCCAAGTTCTTCATCTGGAGGACAAATCCTCAAACAGAAAGACTACGCACAGGATGTACAAAGGCTCACACATTTATCAAGCAAAAACACAGCTCACATCAGGTTGTGATAAAATGCTGAAATAATTATGAAGTGATGGTCAATATATAAGCTCTGGGCTAAGATGTCCTGAAGGTACCAGAAGAAATCTGTAGGTGATGAATGGGATCCACTTTTAATAAAACTGAACACTACAGAAATCCATAAGCCATAATGGCAAGAGACAAGGGCTTTCTAAATGTGAAGAAAAGCATAACAATCCACACCCCAGGTATTTGCCAGAGCATTTAGAGCTTTTAACACTCTAAAACGTTTCCTCCTCAAGTACAGAATATGTGGAAAGAACTTTACAGCTGAACAACACTCCTAAAAATGAATCAATGATCCCTGAATACATAGCTCAGGTTCAAAATGGACACATGCTTTCTGCAAAAATGCACACAGTCTTCTGTTTTGAAGAGACAAATCCTTGTTCATATGATTGTTTCCGAATATTGTTATTAGTGATCTGCAAAGGTCTCTCTCTACATATATCTCCACTTTAGCAACTTACCAGGAGCGCATCAACATATAATGATCCACAGACAACTGCAGTAAGTTCTTTCAAAGCAGAATTTATTTTTAAAATGAATAAGGTTATACTCAAAACACTCTTGAGGCCCACCTTCTTTTATAAAGACATCTCACAGAGTCAATCCTTACTTGAAAAGTCCTTGGCATCAAAACATTTTAAATATAAATAGACAAGTTGCCACATAAGCCACTGGTGTGAAAATTACGCAGAATAGAATACTCTATTTCCAAGCCTTATCATACGACTTTTTCCATGTAAAAGAATATATACAAGACGGTTTCCTTTGACAAAGGCTTTACGAATGGACTTTAAAAAAGAAATATCAATGGTAATTCTACCTTTACGGAAACCGCTCTGATATGGTGGGATTTTTTTAAAGGTAACTGACAAGGCAGTGATTTACTATTTTTTTAAATGGCTTGCAGATGTAATTGATAAGTACGAATGGCCAATAGTTGGAGGGATTCTTCTGGCTTAGCTATTGGAATGACAAGAGCTTTCTTCCATGCACTGGGAAAAGTATGCCCCTTCCATACCTGATTATAAAGAGAGAATTGCATTCAGTGACTTACAGGAAAGATGCTTTCGCATTTCATAACTGACACCATCTTGACATGAACTAGACCTACACATAATAAATAAATTTCTCTTCAGCATGTGGATGGTAAATTTGCCATTCTATAGCTCCAAGTTGAGATAGTTGAATATAATGAGAAATTTCTAATAGTGCCGCTTGATGACACTAAATTACATGCGTATATTCTGCAATAGATTATAAACATGGCAAAAGAATAAAAACTCCTCTTTTCGTAAGGCTTTTTTTTATCTTGTTTGATGTCCTCATTAAAAACTTTAGCATTATTGCTGGAGAGGAAATCTGTTTTGCAGGAACAACTTTATGATATCATCTGCAGTATGCCACATAGTTATACATTTTTTTTTATGTCAGTTCGATATGATATAATGAGCAGACAGTAGACAATGAGCATATAATTAATTCAATGTTTTTCATAAATATTAATATGGTAGATATTTGGTATTTCCAGGCAAAAAGAATGATATATAACTATGTGGCATACTGCAGATGATATCTTGTTCCTGAAAAACAGATTTCCTCTCCAGCAATAATGCTGTATGAAGTTTTGAATGGAGACATCAAACAGGATTTCACTCTGCAATGTTATCTCCTAAACACATTAAATCTGAGATCAAAAGACCTCAGCTGCCACTTCACATGCTGGATGTTTACAGATGCTTGCTGATACGCATTCGTAACAATCAACATACTCTGGACTGGAAACATTCTAAACGCTCTAGAATACATCTGCAGAGCTTGTTGATAAATAAGATCCAGTTTCAACAACTAAAAAGAAGTTTGTGCTAAACCATAAACCACTGAATCGCATTCCAGACTTCAGTAGATGAATGCTATAGAAATGCAAAGCAAAGGGCAATGATCTGCTTTGCATTAACAGAAAAGCAATATCCACTGCACTCTTGAAGAAAAATACCTTACCAATAACCATACATTTCAGGCCAGTTATGATACTTCTATAAGAAATGGAGAAGTTTAAGCATTTGCGCTACGACTAAACTTCATGGTTGCAGTGTCTGAGCTACAATATAACAAGCTGTAAAGTGTCTCATTTACGCCGCTCCGCGTCTGTCAGCGCAATCCAGAGCGGTAACTCGAGAAATAAAAAATTTCATTGTTAGGCGACATGTGCACCACGTTATTTTCATTTTTGCAATAAATGCCTATCGACGTGGTGTTCACGTCGCTTGCGGTTTGAGACAAAAGCATCTCGATGTGTGTGGCACGTCTTTTTAGCGCAAGTGGTTAAGAGATGCATCGCAATGCCAATACTTCCGTAATGTCCTTAAATGAAGTTCTGGTACACCAAGTTTTGTGCATGGTATGAATCAGTATTCATACAGAACTTGGATTCACCATAAAACAAACTACTAATTAACTGTCTGCTCATTAGATTACGTAGCGTATTCGGAAACTAAGTACCGTTTCATTCTAGCGCTGTCGCAGCGCTGTGGTAGGCGTCCCAATTTTTGAATGCGAGGAATGTAAACTGGCCGAAATTTATCGTCAAGTGACAAAGTTTACGGTGAATACGCGATAAGTGATGGAATGGTGAGAAAGTGGGTAAGAATGTTTAATACAGGTCGAACAAATGTCCACGCCGAGGCTCGGAGTGGTTGGCCTTCTGTTGTCACCGATGATTTGGTAAGGAAAGTTGATGAAGCAATTCATGAGAACAGACGCTTCACAATGACAACTCTTTCAGAGGCATTTCCACAAATTTCACGTACTGTTTTGTTCGAAATTGTGTCTGACCGCTTGAATTATCGCAAACTGTGTTCCCGATGGGTTCCAAAAATGCTCACTGATGTTCACAAAACAAAGCGACTTGGTAGTGCCCTGACATTTCTCACGTGGTACAGTGATGAGGGAGAAAACTTTTTAAACCAAATTGTGACAGGTGATGAAACTTGGGTGTGTCATTTCACACCAGAATCGAAACAAGAGTCGATGGAGTGGAGACACACTCATTCTCCGAAAAAAAAAGAAAAAAAAAGTTCAAAGAGACAATGTCTTCACAAAAAATCATGTGCACTGTCTTCTGGGATAGGAAAGGCATTTTACTTACTGAATTTCTTCCCAGAGGTGAAACCATTAATGCGGCACGATATTGTGAGACTTTAACAAAACTAAGGCGTGCCATTCAAAACAAACGAAGAGGAATGCTCAGTAAAGGAATTGTGTTGCTCCATGACAATGCTCGGCCCCATACTGCTGGTGTCACTCAATCGTTAATTCGACAGTTTCATTGGGAGCAGTTCGATACGCGCCATAGAGCCCGGACTTGGTGCCGTCCGACTATCACTTGTTCCTGTACATGAAGCTTGAGCTTGGTGGCAAGCGCTTTGGATCTGACGATGGACACGAAAAATGCTGTGGAATCGTAGTTATCGAAACTGGCGGGAAGTTTCTTTGACGATGGTATACAAAAACTGGTTACCCGCTATGACAAGCGTTTGATCATTGGCGGAAATTATGTTGAAAAATAGTTTAAGACATGTATTTTCATGTAAAAATAAAATTGGATTCGAAAAAATTGTTTTACTATTTTTTTTTTCTTTTCAAAACGGTATTTAGTTTCCGAATACGCTTCGTACATCTAACTGACATCAGTGGAAAGCAGTGTTGGCAGAGGGGCATTCATAAGGGTCATGGTTTTTTGCAATGTTTGTACTCCAGTCGCCCCTGCTCTTAGCTTATTGTGTGGTTATATGTTGACAAGTAATCCAAACAGTTATACGTAGATTCTATAGGTGCTCTGAAAGATTGTTTTAGCCTTTCAATCATCTGGAACCTCTGCCACAATCCTGTAAGAAAACTTAGTGGGAACTCCTCTGTCATGGCTCATGGTGTCTCCCCCAATTCAAGCCATCTCATGTATCATCAGCATTGGTACAATAAGCCATTAACCACTTATAGCACTCGCAGAAATAAAGCATTCGCTACACAACCAGAGAAGCACGATTTTTATTTTCCTGCAACAACCTTCTTTCATCTCCTTACTTATGTCAATACTTGTTGCTAAGAGGTGTGAAGTGCATCAGAAATATGGACTACTTAAAAAAAAACAACCATATAAAATGAACAAATTGGCATATCAAAGTATGGTTTGCACCTAATGGCTTATCATGCAGATGCCTACTTTTTGGAACAACACAGATTTTAGTTCAAATTTTCAGTAACAGATGGCTCTGTATCATTAATATCAGAAAATGTGCAAATTTCGACCCTTTAAAACAAGATTTGCAACTGAAAGCTCATGAGGGATTTTAACATTATTACTAGAATTCAAGGTATCACAAATGCAAATAAGTAGTGCATAATCTCGAATTTTCAGATTATTTTTATAGTAATTGCAAAATTTTGAATTAAAATACATAAATTATGCTATAAAATCAGGTTCTGCATAACTGGAATAAGAACTCTGGTAAATCAATTTATTATCTTTTTTAAAAATATGCCCAAATTTATGGGATATCACACACATTCTCTTTCAGATATAATACATGACTGCTGAGCAATTTCCTCTCAAATTCCCTCTGATCTTCAATTTACAGACATGACAGTATATCACATAATAATGGGAATTTTTTTTAAATTAAAATGATAGAAGACTGGTAATTTTACACTTATTACTACAGTAAAAGCCAGACTATATGGCATTCAACCAACCAGAAACCTCGAGTAACTACAATATTTTAGAATTTTAACAACTCCCCTTTCCCTCATAAAAGCAAGCAAATAAAACTTGTAAAGCCACTGTATATAGGTCACTGTTGCCAAACACTGTGCATTAGCATCAATAATGGATAAGCGCGACTTCACAAAACAATCATAAGATAACACAGGTTTGGTTCATTCATTATGGCAAAGTACACGAGGGGTTTCTTGCCTCTGGGGAGAAATGCCTTTATAGAAGACTTTTAAAGGGGATCTGGCCTGTATCCATTTGAAACATTGGGAGGAAAAAAAAAAGTTCCATCCAGGCAGCTTGTTTGCCTAGAATCAAACCCGGACCACATTTATCAGTGTTCAGCAACTTTCTCACTCTGCTGCTGGAGGACTGCAGATATCAAAGATTTCTAAAATAGCATTACTCCTCTCACTGGTTTTCATCACTGGAAGAAGACAAAGGTAGATTCTTTAAGGGGGAACCAGCACATCTTGTCATTTTTAAGCTACATAACTTCTCACCTAAACAGAAGTCTACTAATCACACACATCTTTGCACTTTTTATTGAACATGCCTCTAGCTTAATATATTAACTAGAAAGTTAATACTGAGAGAACTGCCATATATTATTAATTTAGAACTAAAAATATTTTAAACTTTTTCATTAAGAATACAGCTTGAATATCTGCATTCTCAAAGAGGTTCAACATTAAATCTAGCTTAACCCTACTTTTACTTCTAACTCCTGCCTACTCACATGCAGTGAGTTAGTTATACAGAGCATTTGTAACAGATAAATCTAAACTTAAAACTTCAAGCTTAATAATTTCTTTAACTACACTGATAAATATTTAACAGACTAAAAATGAAATCAAATTTCTAAATGCCTCCCCCAAAAAGCACCTTTTTAAAGGTACTAGTTTTACTTTAATTATTAACACCTCTTTCTTCTGTTTGATTTAGACTTTTATTGGGTGGGGAGAGATGTTACAACTGCAGTTTACTATAGATATGGATATAAAAAAAGGAAAGTAAATAAAGAATCTTTATGCATAATCCATATAAGAAATTTATTTAAAATTCTTAATATTACACATCAGAAATTCACACTGTAAATTTCTTACAGTACAGTATAAATTTTACATTAGAAATTTATATTTAAGATGATATCAAGTAAGATGACTTTTATAATTTTATACCAGAAATTTCTTTCCTCTATGTGGCTTTTCTACCACGAGCTTCAAGTTTTATACACTCAATTACATGGAATTTTTGCCCCAAATTCAGCATTTCCCAAGCTTTATGGATAGTCAAATGTTTACTGCAGTATAATAATAGACATTTACAACCATCTTTACATTTGTTCTGAGAGAACTTTTATCTTTAAGAGAATGGAGAAATTACCATATGAAAGTTAACAGCAAAGAGCAGACATCACATTAATAAAGAAAACTGAACCAATGCAAAAATTTAGTAAATAAACAAAATGCAGGGAAAAAAATATGCAATAAAAACTTCTTACCCAATTAATGATGTTATTTCAAATAGTTCTTGAGGGCTGCGTGGGATCAACTGTAAATTAATATAATAATTTAAATGTTGCAAATATCATTTAAAAAGCTACAACAGTATGTTTACATATAAAACTTATTTAGAACAGAGAACATTCAGAATAATGTTTTTATTGACTAGATACGAGGGTTGGGGCAAAAGTCATGGCAACCATTTTTTTCTTGTAGATATGTGAACGGATCACAAAACGCACATATGTCATATAGAAGTTCTGCAGGCATAGTGTGTATGCAGAACAATGGCTGGCTCTGTGATAGCGAGGGCTCTGAAATCAGTCAGTTGGTGAGTGTGGTGCGAGATGGAAGTAACCCGTGTTGAGCAGCATGCTTACATCAAAATAAACGTTCTCCGAGGGAGAAATGCAATGGAATGTCACAGTGAATTAGTAGAAGCCCTTGGGAATAATGCCCTACCATATCGTACAGTAGCACGGTGGGTAGGTAAGTTTCAGCAAGGACGTGTGTCAACCAGTGATGAGCAATGTTCGGGACGACTGGTGAGTGTGCGGACCGACTTGGCACGTGCCGTCATCGAGCACCTCATAGATGAAGACAGACGATGAATGTTACTGGAGTTAGAGAGGGCAAGTGGCATTGAGAAACGCACCACTCACAGGATATTGCGTAATGAGCTACAGCTTCACAAAATTGCTTTGCGGTGGCCATCGTATGCACTGACGGAAGTTCAAAGGTGGGTTCACTATGCAATATGCTCCGACCACTTTGCGCACTGGCAACAGGACGGTGATCAATTCTTATCATGAATAATCACCACCGATGAATTTTGGGCCAGGGCATACGAACCAGAACTGAAACGTCAGTCCGCGGAGTGGCGACATCCTGGATCACCAAGGCAGCAGAAGGTCCGTCGGAATCCTTCCCCAGTCAAATTGATGGTGATCATCGCATATGACGTCAGGGGTGTCATTGTTTGCCACTTTGTTCCTCATGGCAGAACAGTGACCACACAGTACTACAGCGACTTCCTGGTGCGACAGGTAAGACATGGCATTTGGGATAAATGTCCGGATCTTGTAGACAGTGCAATAATTCTGCACGACAATGCAAGACCACCTAAAGCAGAGTGTGTACGGCAGCTACTCCAACGTTGGGGATGGGAAGAATTGCAGCACCCACCATACTCTCCTGACCTTTCGCCCTGTGACTTTGATCTCATTCTCAAAGATTAAGGAACCAATATGTGGTAGGCGGTTTGCAACACAAGAGGGCATTGCTAATGCTGTGCGCCAACAGATGACACGATTCACACATGGTGTGGCAAATGTTGAGGCTGATGGTATTTAACGCCTCCCACATCGTTGGCAGAGTGTGGTGACAGTAGCAGGGGACTACATTGAGGGTCTTTAGGCCCAGGTTTATCATGTCAACTTTAAGTGTATTGTGTTAACATTCTTTTGCACGGTGAAGGCCATATTGCCCTGTATATTACCATAATAAATTAGTGTGTTACAATATTTTAGTGCTATTTATTGTCCACACATGTAGTTGCGACCTTGTCCTTTTGTCTGTATATGTCACATTTTCCAACCAGACTGGTATGTTCAAGAAAAAAAAAGTTGCCATGACTTTTGCCCCAACCTATGTACATTGGATTCGATGGACTACAAGAAAGCACACAGACTATCTGCTAAGAGGGAATGCATTCATGGAGGACTTTGTAACTAGCATTAAGTATGTATTCTTGTTACATGGGGGGGGGGAACCATGAAATTTGCCAAATTAGCTAGTCCTTCACCTAGTTTGAACTATCAGTATTCAGCAATTTTACTACTCATCTGCTAGTAGGCCACAAAAGAGACAATACACAAATGTAGTGACTTATTAAAGAAAAAGAAAAAAAATCAATTGCTACTAGAAATTGAAAATCGGACGAAGCTAGCTCATTGTTATGGCATTTTTTAATTCAATGCCCTCTTCATTTAATCTAACAAATTTACATTATTGAAAGCAAATTTAAAACATGTATATACTCCTGATTGGAATGAAGAAGTATAATAATAATGAGAAATTTCTACATCAAACACAAAAATTTAGAAAAGTGTTTCTTTAGTTTAATTCAAATTTTAAGAGAGCTCTGAAAACAAAATACAGTAGACTTCAGTTACCCAAATTAAGTGAGACAACAATTCATCAGAAAATATGTCATCTTTTATTTACTCTAAAGAAACAAAGGAACTTCATATTTTTAGTTTTTTAACAATGGTCATAGTTAAAAAATACCAGTTTGATCACGCACACAAAATCAGTAAATGATTTATTAGAACAAAATGCACAGTGTATATTTTTATTTCAATAAACATATTTCCAATACAATTACCATTCTCAGGTTAGGAAAAAATTGACAATGGAACACTTATTTATGGATGAATGAAGCAATAACTTACATGCTTAATTGTTAAAGTTAAAATCAACGCACTTAAGGCATTAAAATTCTGCCTTACGCATATATATTGCTTTTTAAATATTTCAAAAATATATTGGTTGGGGCAAATGGTGAAACTCTGATTTGTTCTTCTTACCTTCAACTAGCATTGTAGGTGCTACCTTCATTACTTTCAATAAAAACCCACTGTATCTTAAGATGAAATTATTAATTATCTTTGAAAGTGATTATGGCCAGATCGCTAAATTATAATCTCTGCATACACTTGAAAAGTATACGATCCAACCATACTCATTAGAAGTTAAATTTCATAGTGAGTAAACAGAAATTTAGAATGGAAACAAGGAAATTTCTTGGGTTGATTTTCGATTCTCTGTTCAATATTTCTGTATGGTGAGCTAACAGCTTGCTACACTCATTACTTTAAAAGCATTAAAATGGAAAAATAAAGATTAACAGCTCTTATGAGGGATACATTTAAGAAATAATACATGGATTAATGACAAATATAAAGTAATACACAAATGGAAAAGCTACAATGTGCAAATAAAACTTACTTCAATGTCATCAGTGCTAGCAGATGTGCCCATTAATAAATAACGCAGAGTTTCAGAAATATCTAAAAAGAAATATTTTGTATTACAAGAATGGTAAGCCTTAATGCTTTACAACTAGTGAAATCAATACTACTCAAGAATACTGCTCTTTTAAAGACAACTCTCAGATTTTATTTCATGCTTTAAAAAAAAAAAAAAAAAAACTTATATCTATAAGCCTTGTGTCTCACTATGTGGTGCAAGAAGAGTTTAAATATTTTTTTAAAAAAATAAATAATAAAAAATTAGAAATTACACATCATACTTAAAAATTGTTCAAATTAAATGTCTTTACATTGCAGTAGATACATATATAATATTAACACTTTACACCAGTTAATTGTTTCATATTATATACTTTCATATATAATATGAAACAATTAACTGGTATTTACAATTTATTTGAAAAAATTACATTTTCTTATTTTTTCATTCTTCCTTCAACTAATAAAATATATTTATAAAGAAATAGCAATACTTTCAACTAGAACTGAAATTTCAATGCATTTTGATTTTCTTTTAGAAAATGCACTAAATATGCAACTGGCCCAGAATCTAGAGTTATGGTGTGCAGTATCACTGAACATTAAGAGTCACTAACATCTAGTATATACGCTCAATACCATTATCTCCAAAACCAAGATAACTTTTTGAAAAACATAGGATAGTTTGGCATTCGGGTGACATATGATGTGGAGCTTTCGTTTATTTACTGAATAACACCATAGAATCCATTTATCTCAAACTCTACCCTCAGCCATGCCTATCACTTGAAAGTCCCCATGCATGCTAAGCATTGTCATGGCAAACATTTCCCTTTTCAATTGTTGTGAGATAACTGTAGATCACAGTTCTAAACTTTGTAGTAAAGTGTAATACACTGTACTAGTAAAAGGTGGTACATATAAATTCCCTTATTAGGGTTCAATGACAAGGTTCAACATCGAAAATCGATACACTGAAGGAACAAACAATTGTGTCACATTGAGGAAGTATGGTGTTACATAAACTAATATTCAGAGGTAGAAAAAGGACAAAGAACATCTTAAAAGTTACTCATTCAAATGGGAAAGCTTACAGTAGCCCACATGGTGAACATTTTGAGAATAGTGAAATGAAACTAATGACACTGGGTATGTGAGAAACAAAGACGGAATGCTGTTTCCGACGATGTCACATGAATTAAAGCACATGAAGTGACATAAGAACAAGAAGACGCCAACGATAGTGTCACCTCTGGTTCTGAGGACTATTCCAGTGAGGGGGAGTAAATGGGATTTATACTAGACTAAACAAAGTCTGAATCTAAGTTTAGAACACATATTTAATACTTTATACATACTTTGTGTAATCCATAATGAAAAATGGCAAGGTCTTGGATTGGGAGATATATTGTAGTTTGACAGGCTAGCCTTCATTTGTTGAAGAGTTAAAACTGTTATCACGTATGCTATTTGTTACTGGAACACAATATCAAAAGAAAGTTTTCAGAACTGCAGATCTGTGAAATGGGTTACCATCTTTACTTGGTAAACAGACTTGAAAGCCAAACAGGAATCAGTTATTGCTCAGATTGGCGAAAAAGACATTTGCTTTCAAATTACGTGTATATACAAAATATATTTTGTAATTATTCTAACACTGTTGGCTCAATACTTGGGCAATATGACATGTGTTTATTACATTAATTGTTACTTTTAAATTGCGTATTTTTTTTACTCCGATTCTTGTAATGATCTGATGTATATACTTTTGTAAATACTTTTACATTGTACATTCAGTGGTTTGTCATTATTTCTGATTTTATTATTGTAAACAATATTTTTGCAATCATATATTTATTTAATAACTTTTAAGTATTAAAGTTATTAAATAAATATAATGCCATTTACTGATATATGTTTTGTGATGAGTGAAAAATCTTTATTTTATCCCCGAAATGTTAAATATTTCGTAAAGGCTACTTGCTCAGTTTCTTTGTTTAAATTCCCAAGTAAATTACAAATGCAAAGGTTGTGTGGAAGTGGGGCGAATTTTAATCACTAGCCTAATGCACAAAACACACTTCAATTATTTTTCAACTGTGTATTCGATATCCATCATAATATGCAAAGAACTGATGACTACAGTTACTACCAATTACAAAATCGCTACATGAATTAGAAGTAACAAACTTTTTGGCAATGCTCATTTTTGTATTCATACGTATATATATACACACATATCTAATAAGTCATATATTTACATACATAGAGAGAGGTGCGATGGTTTAGAAGTTTTTGATGTATGTTTATTAGTATTAATGTAATGAATAAGATTTATGTTAATTAATGTATATAGAATGTTTTTCCTCATTCATAATAAATCCATAAATTTCCAATGTTTCAATATGTGGCATTTATAATAAAAATATAGTTCTTAACGTGTTTATAATCTTAAAAGCATTTCATTTATAACATGAAGATAATAGCATACAAAATTTAATGTGTAAACCTCATTATTACATAATTATGTTTTAATAAATATACATAATCGCTGATTACACAACTTCAATTTAAAAGTAATAAAAGTAATTAGCAAAAAAATAACGTTGCACATATACAAACATATAAAAAATTATTCCCCTTAATAAAAAAATTCTATTACATAACAATCTTTTCACACGATCAGCACGAAATACGACAAATAATTTGCAAACAAATCATCAGAAATAGCACATCATAAAATATAGTCTACTCTGAAATTTACACGATTATAAATTTAATGGTTTGGTTTATTTAATTATGGCAAAGCACACTAGGGCTATCTGCCTAAGGGGAGTGTCTTCGTGGAGGACTTTCTAAAGGAAACTGGCTCGTATACACGTTACACATCAGGAAAACCACGAAAACATCCATGCAACCAGCCCGTTCATGGGATTCGAAACTCGGATTGAACTACCAGTGTTCAGCGACTTTACCGCTTGGCTGCTGGTGGGCCTATAAATTTGATGAACATTTAAAAATGATTTAGACAGTTATACCACAACAAATCAGCAATATATATATACTGCCTTTTCCATATTTCTTCAATTAAATCAGGTTCTATTTCCACCGTCCACGATTTCACAACAAGAGCCATCGCCATATTGGAAATTAACCGTGATCCTTCAGAAGCAGAACTTTCATCTGATTGGTTGATCTCTATGTGGAACACAGCTCCAGCTGCAACGTTTTCGGGAAAGTTTCAAAATGTTTCACATAGCCTAGCTAGGTGAAACATTTCTCATGTTTTGCCTAGCTACATGAAACATTTCTTGGAAACCTCCCATTTAAACCAGTGCTACTATACTCTCGTTTCTCAGAAACCACGCGCGTTGCTTAAAAGTGATAGCCCCTTTACAGTGCATAGTTTTCTCCCTTCATTAGGGCTGCCACTAATCACTAGACAACACACAACCTACAATATTTCCTTGCTACAAAATAATCATTTTTACCTTAGATATCACATTTGCCAGACCTTTCATCTATACCTCTGGTCTTGTCTGCGCAAGAGAACATGCCAGTAAATATCAGCAATCACAACAGATTAAATCTCTTAACCCTTTCATGAGCCGTGGGAAGTTTACTTCCCACCTACATGTTCCTGGGAAATACACCTGTGGGAAGCGCAAAACCCACTATAATATATTGGCTTTGCTATTATAACGTTGGGAACTCTTAATTCCCACTTCAGCATTGTGCTGCCATCTGTGTTCAATTGATTGAAAACAGAATTACCACATTTGTTTTGAAAGTTCGAATGCATTGTGCGAGATGTGTTCCACTGAGACACCTGTTTTGATTTGACATTTGCGTTGGTATACGATTCTGCTACAAATGTAAGTAAAACACTATTTTTATTATAATAACGTTTTCTTATTTTGTATATCTCTGCAGTAACTATCTAATATTGAATAATAAATAATGGGTGAAAAGTGAAAATGTTATTGCATCATGTATAAAAGCCACGCGCAATAGGTATGTTGGAAAAATTAGAATATTTTTGAAAATACATTTGAAAATATCATTCAATTCTACTGAGGGAAAAAAGGATTATTTTGGCATGATTTTTACCGAGGAAATTTTACAGAATATTGTTGACAAAACAAACTCATATGCAAAGCAGCCTAAGAAAGGAAGAGAGATTGGGTCATACCACAAAAGACATTATCCTGAACTGGAAAAAGAAATCACATCAGAAAGAAGTGAAAAGCATGGGTAGGTATGCATATACTCATGGTGTATACATCAATTGCCTGAACTAAAAACTTACTGGATAATAATCAACATAAAAGTCAGAGCAACATAAAAGTGGAGCACAGACCCTATTCTCAATGTTCAATCAGTAGCAAGAATAATAATCGCAAAGAGGTTCAAAAAAATAACTGAGCCTTTACATGTAAACGATAACAGCATAGATCCATGTGGGCAATTTTGGCATGATAAACTCCAGTCAGGCATCCTTTCATAGCTCAATGATTCCATACCTAAAGTCTACGAACCTTCGTCAACTTTATGAATAGATGAATGTATGATAGATTTCAAAGGGAGAACTTCATTGAAGCAGTATATGCCAATGAAGCCTATAAAAAGAGGTTACAAGGTGTGGTGTTTAGCAGACTTTAAGACTGGATATATTCAAAAATTTGAAATTTATTTTGGAAAAGAAACTTCTGACAATAAGGATAAAATATTGGGCTTAGGGGAAACAGTAATAACTAAACTAACGGAAGATGTGAAACAGACAGGTCATCTTATAGCCTATGATAACTATTTGACATCTTTTAGGCTTGCAAAAAGTCTACTTATAAGTGGTCTGTTTTCTGTGGGGACTGTGAGGCCACAAAGGAAGGATCTTCCACCAATACTGAAGGCTAATAACAAACTACATAGAGGGGAATCAGTGTTCCTAACTAACGAAGGTGTTGCTGCAATAAAGTGGATGGACAAAAAGGCTGTTACATTGTTGACTACTGCACATAATTCAGCGATTATTACATCTGTAAATCGTACAAAAAAGGATGGTACTAAAACAGAAGTACCTTGCCCTAAAGCTGTTGCCGTATATATAAAACGATATTATGGGAGGGGTTGATTGTTACGATCAAAGAAAAGAAAAGCACCAAATAGGAAGAAGATCTGTAGAATGGTGGCATCGTATTTTTTATTTTCTTATTGATTTTGGCATCGTAAATAGTTTTATACTGTGGCAAGGAAACAAGAGAAACAGAAGTTTAGACCAGCTAACATTCCGTTTAGCATTAGCTCGTCAACCTAATAGACGGATATTCCTCGAAAAAAGAAAGGCCGTTCTACTAGCTTCCAAGCAAAAAGGTGTGCAGTTCCGAATGATGAACGCTTAGTCAGTGTGGAAAATCATATGCCAAAGATGGTTTCCAACTATAGACGATGTAAAAAATGTAGCAAAATGTCCCAAGAAAAGACGACCCGCTATATGTGTGCAGTATCTGAAGTACCCTTGTGCACTGCAACATGTTTCTCATCTTTTCACGGCAAATAATCGCCTTTAAATTGAATTTTCTCTACGACCATAAAAGGTCCCGTGGGAAGTACCCTAGAATTTAAATGTAAACAAAAAATTTGGCAAAATAAAATATATTTCCTTAAATGCTATTGTTTAATTGATAATAAAACATAAAAAAACGGGAGAAATTCAAAAAGAGAAATAAATGGCCCACGAAAGGGTTAAAGAACTGAAGTGCTAGGGTCTAGAATATTCCAAGCAGTCACCCAGAATTTTCCACTTTATATCCAACTACTTAACAGTGATTAATGCTGCACAGATTAGCTACATGCAACAGTGATCTTTATAAGCTCTATGCTTCTAAACTACCTTAAATTTTAAACTTCATAACTGTGTTATATGGTATTAAAATAAATATGACTTTTCTTTTCTCCTTCATAGTACTTCAATTTTAACAGGTCGTAACTTATGTATTAAAATAAGATTCATTTAAACACACAATTTCCTCAATGGCTTTGTTAAATGTATTTAAACTTAAGCATAATCAGAACTGTTTTTATATAAAATTTTTGGAAGAGTACCATTTCCTATAACTTCAGATAGCTAGAATGCTTTCCCAAATTTTAACAGACTACAATCCAACAGTTTATCATATGAGGTAATTCTTATATCTCAAAGCCATAATCTGTTTGCAAATACAATAAAAATTCAATTAATTATTAATTTCCTTTCCTGGTATCTACTTCAATTTCTTATTCAGAATATTTCCAACCCTGTTTCAATTTAAGCCACAAGGCACATTTGGATGCAAATAAAATCAAAGAGGTATTACAAATTAATAATTTGAATTTTTTTTATTTATATAATGAAATAGTGTCTTATCAATTTTGTTGACTTCTTACTTCTCTCATCCCCCCCCTTAAACATGAACACAAATCAAAATACAGTACAAAGTCCGAAATCTGGACTCATCAAGACTTCAACAATTCTGATTTGGGATTTTTCCAGATATTAGATCATTAATTTAAATCTAGTAAGATGGCATGTAGAAATTATAAAATTAAAAATATGAAATGATGATTTATGAAATATGAAGTATTTATGATCTAAAGGGTATCAAAATGTACACAAAAAAAAGCTTAATATTTATTTGTTTACCTTGTTAAACATTTCTTTCAATGTAAGTTGCTTCTTTTTTTTGTGCTAATACTTTCTCTCTTATTCTGTAGATGAACCATAATCTTTTATTCAGTTACATTGTTGAAGTCTTGTAGTTGCTATTTCGAGAATTCTGACTAACTTGTCAATCGAAATTTTTTATTTACAGTAACTTCTCTGTCACTTTCTTCACTATCGGTAGTGGTATTTTCTGGATCTAAACCATACTACAGACTTCGCCATTCATTAACTGATTGAGGATTGAGAAGCACTGTCATCACAATGAAAAACTTTTTTTTTTATTTATCTTCATTTACCGCTTCTCCACATTTCTTTACAAAATACGTTAATTGGAAAATTTCACCTCTATTTTGCGATATCCGAAAATCTTTAAAATTAGTGGCTATCATCATTAAATTTAACTATTCTTCACTATTACATATTTGGCTATGCATCATGAGCTTGGCGACTAACGACAAGTTGTTCCGCTAAATTTTATCTTGCTTCTATTGTACAACTCAGACAATTAAGCCTAAATTGTATTAGTTTAGTTATTTATTATATTAATGTCTATTTCTCGCACATGCTTAAGGATTATCAGAGTCCTGAATAAATAAATCCCCACTATACCATATACTTAAGCCTTATTGAGGGCCGGCACTAGGTATCTTACCGCCTGATGCAGTCTCTCATACAGTGTTTGTGGATCCTAAATTCTGCGACCCAATGCTGTCATACGGGCCCTGGTTCTGGGTTCATGTGAATAACAAATCAGTTATTCTTAATTCAAATAGCCCAAACGTAATCTTTTGGTCTATGAGTATCATCAAGAAAACCTATTTTTAGCATATGGAAAGAATTTTTTGGTAAATTTATCCTTGTCAACATTTTTAGAGCATTTAACTTAAATCTGTAATCATCGCCAAGCGTAATGTCAACATATAAGGTTACCATATTCCTTTGTTCATTCAATTACTAAAATTAAAAAATTGTTTAGGCATTCACTACATGAGTCATTACTCAATTCGTCATGTTTTGATAAACATACGGTGATGAAAGGAAAGTATAATAAATAATGATTTGCCAGGTTGGCGTCAGATCAATGATGTATCTTTGTGGAATGTTTCGGTTTGAGATGTATGCTACCCAGATACGCAGCAACGGATCCAAATTACTGATCATAAAAATTGATGCTAAAATGATTGTTTCTTCTTAGTGTCGAAGTGAAATTAAGAATCGGGACTCTCCAGATGTTTTATTATGTGCGAAGGGGGGATGAAATGTGCATGTGCAAAGCCTACGAGAAAATGGTGGTGGTTTTGAGGTACCGATTTCAGATCATTCCGGGTTATGGATATCCGGAATTCGGACTTTTACTGTACTAATTTTCCTAATTTTTTTCAGTATTATAATATGTATATTAGAATGTAATATTCATACAGCTAAAAATAAATAACTTACTTTGCTTTAAGAGGAGAACAGCAAGTTCAGGACATGAGGCACACATAACAGCCAGCATTCTTATCACAGTTACGAATGTTCCAGAGCTAATAGCAGGTGGTGACACAACTAACTACAATAATTAGAAATTGCAAATTTTTAAAAATGAAACTTTATAATCTCTTTAGTCTACAAAATTAATATGTGTCTCTGTGTGTGTATATTCATATTTTAAACGCAAAATAAAGTTTTATGCAAAGAGATTTACAGCTGTCTTATAACTGTTATTTAAATAGTTGTTAGATAAATATTTCACAAAAGCAAAACAAGACATAAATGAAATGAATAAATAGAAGAAAATATGATATAATACGACTTACTAGTTGCTGAATATTGGAGAGTAAACCATGACCAGCAATTTCTGTAAGACACTTTGTGTCATACTGAAAGCAGTCAACCAGTCGGGAAAATGCTAAGCACACACTCTCCACTGATTTTTTATCTTGATGAGTGAGTCTTGCACTCAGAAGAGGTAAAGAGTCTTGTACTAGATTGAATTCATCGGATAATAGGTTTTGGCAACAATTTGCAGTTATTGCAAGGGCTGCTCTTTGTGCATTAATAGAGAAAAAATCTAGGTACATAAGACAAGCAGCAACACCTCTCTGGGAAACAAAAAGAACTGCATATTAATAATAAAGAATAAATCACCTATCAATCATACTAGTTCATAAATATATGCAAATACATACATATACATCTGAGGTAATTGGTGTAACAGAAAAAACAAGAATAACTCTTTTTCAAGGTTTATGCACTTTCAACTATTTAAGATCATAATTTTCATCAAAATGCCTCTTTTATTAAAAGAATTCAATAGCAATTAAAATTCTGAAAAAAATTTAAGATTTATATACAACTGTTGATGTTTAGTTTTTCTTGAAAATATTTTTTAAAAAAATGGTGTTTTTAACTAGGCATGATAAATAAGCTCAATTTGATTCTATTTACCATGCAATTTCTTTAAAAATCTCACCAAGGCAAAAATAACAATTGCAGAAAAACATAGAACATGGATTTCATGGAACAGAACTGAAGGAAGAAACAGGAGTATTCGTAACAACTGTGGCCAGCACTTGCGAAAACCTCACAAGATTTTTCATGCTTTTATGAAACTGTCCAAGGACATTCTAGACAGGTGTATATTCACTGATTTAAGACGAATAAAAAATTAACTGATAGATAATACTTATTACTTACAAAATCAAGTCAGCTTAGATAGCAAAATTTCTTATTTGTCGCAATTAACTCTTCTAAAAATTCTTATAACAACAGCTAACTGCTCTCAGATATGGATACTTTTAGATTAAAACTTCTAGAATATATTTCTCTGAATAGGTATCCGGTTTTGCAACACATAATTTTCACATACCATTTACACATGTCATATGCCCACTAAAACTCAAAAATTAGTCTTCTCTACAACATTTTATTGCGACAAACCATACACTACACATAATTTTAATACTCCTGAAAGAAATTAAGAGAATTTTCATATTTGATCTACGATCTCCAGAACTACTGGACAGATTTTAATAAAATTTGGTATGAACATAGGTTGATATAATACAAACAAAATAAGCATTCAACAGTTATAATGGACACACGTGTTTGTGTGTAACACTCATGTGCAATGAGTTCAATTTCATGAGTCTGAAACACCGGTTGCAGAAGATACAAAAGAAATGGGTTCATAGGAGGTATGGTCCCCTCTTACAGCCATACAGGCTTTGCATAGTGATGTCATACTGGAAATAAGGCAGTTTATCAGTGCCTGTGGCAATTGGTGCCACTTATTCTGCAACGCTGTTTTCAGTTCCTGGATGATTCTTGGAGAGGGCATTGCGAGTTGCAATTGCCCTCCTCAGATCGTCCCAGACATGCTCTATAGGGCTGAGGTCTGGCGACCTGGCTGGCCAACCCATCCGGCAAATATCCTCAATCTCGAGAAATTCGTTGACCAGAAGATCTCTATGTGGCCTCGTGCTATTGTCCTGTAAGATGAACTCGAGGCCCACTGCACCCAAGAAAAGGCAAACATAGGGCAGCAAGACCTCATCCCTATACCTCACACCAGTCACAGAGCCTCTGTCAAAGACGTGGAGTAATGCGCGGCCATCCAACATGATGCCTGCCTAGACCATTACACTGCCACACCATAATTGTTGATTTTGCGGACAATAGAAGGTAGCTAGTGGGTCCCTGGCTCTCTCTCCATATGAAAGTTTGGTGATAATCGGTGTTTAGGCAAAAACAGGACTCGTCAGTGAACAGAACAGTCGGCCATTGCTCTGTACTCCAATCACTATGTTGTCCGACCATGCTAATCGGACTCTACTGTCCGTAGACTTGATCGGTATGCAAACCCTCTATTACGCCTTGCTGAAATGGACAAATAGCAATCTTCTCTGGCTGTCGTGGCTTTTGGACGACCTGGCCCAGGCTTCCTCTAGATGGATCTAGTATCCTGGAACTGTTTCCATAGGTTACACACGGCACTGGACGTTAAACTTTCTGCATATCTGGACTTGCGATTATCCTGCCTCTAGCTTCCCCACAATTCGCTACTTCATTCCATCATTTAAATGTTGGTGATTACTCATTTTTACTGTTCCGATGTGAATTTAACTGATTGCCGCAAGATAACACCAAGAAATTTGTTGAGGTGTACTAGGGAATGCAATTCATCTTACCCTCCATGTACCTATAAAGCCTGATTTTCTGCTGCCTCCGCCTACACACACACGTGTACTCTTATGTATTTGCAGTACAAGATTTGCATTTATATCTATAAGCAGTGGTTTTCTCTTCAGTTCAGTTCTTTTCATGCAATTCGATAAAATATGCAATTTCTCTAAATTTATTTCTCCACTGTACAATACATGAAATTTGCCAGGTAATGCAACATTTTAAAATAGATGCTTAATTATCAAAATTGTAAAAACAACCTTGTATTTAGCGTAGGTATAATGAAACACTCAATCGATATCATTATACCTACGCTAAATACAAGGTTGTTTTTACGATTTTGATTGTCACATTAGCGTGTTTCTCTTCTAGTCTAGATGCTTAATTGACTGATTTAGCAAAGCCCGAAGGAATATGAATGTGAAAAGAAACATGATCAGAATTTTATGAGAAATTTATGCATAAATAAAATGAGATTCTTTAAATATTTAAATGATTGTCTAGTAATTACTGAAATAAAGCTTTTTCTTACAGCATGTAATATGGCTTTACTATGCCTTCGAGATAGCATTTCCAATGCAGTTAAAGACTGTTCTGCAACATCCATACACTGAATAATTTGAAGTTTCTCCAAGAATACTGGAATAGCTTCTACAACAACAGTTGATGACCTGGGTAAAGCTTCCATCATATACGTTAAAGCTCGACAAGCATGGTTCATCTAAATATAGAAATAATGCATTGTTGTTATATATATCATTACATGCACATGTCAAGGGGAAAAACACGACAAATAATAAACAAAACTTTGTTAGCATTATAAAAAAGGAATTTTGAAATAAGGATCAACTTTTAGTTTGCTATCAGATCAAAATTTCATAGATTAACTGTGTACAAAGAAATTAATGAATATATATGCTTACACAGATATCAAAGGTTTATAATGGCAAAGTACTCGAGGCTTATCTGCATAAGGGGAGGGATTTCTTCATGGAGGAGTTTATAAGGAAAACTGGCTTGTACACAGATTACACATGGGGCAGATATCAAAGAACAGGAAAAAGTAAATGCAATTCTTATTTGAACTGCTATATATTACTCCTGTTTTCATATACATATAAATAAAAATAAATATATATGAATTTCATTACATTAGCCAAACAAACTAACAGTTCACAACATTTCTGGGCAAAATAGAGAGATACAAATATACATAGGAAACAATGATAATATGCTTAACTTTAGGAAAAAGCTACACAGATTCAGATAATTTTGCACACTGTGGGTCATGTCCAAGTTTTGCTGACATTTTCCCCCTTCCAGCTTTTATATAAAATTTTGATAATTTGCACATAATTAACCTAAATATATTCTTACACAACTATTTAAAAAAGACTTTTCTAACACAATTCTTCCTTAAAAAATTATAACTACACACAGAAGGAAATCATGCCAAGATACAGAGAAACATAGCCGAGAGAAAAAGGATAAAATATTAGAGAAATCATTTGATGAAGTAGAGAGCTGAAGCAAAGAACTTTCATATTTACTGTGATAGCAGCAGAAAATGCAAGCTTCTTGGGGGGGGGAGACAAAGCAATTTTACAAAGAAGACCAACACACAGTTAAACATTTTGAAAAGTATACTACGTTTCAAAATGTTTAACTGTATGTAAAGTACTGGCCATTAAAATTGCAACACCATGAAGGAAAGCAAACACAAAAAAGATAAGAGTCGAACTAGGCTTGGATGACAGAAATGGCTATTCATTCCATGCTGCTTCAACTCTAGACCACACTTCATCAACCATATTGGCTGGAGAGGAGTGGTGGGACAGTTTTTCAGCAACCCATGGCCAGATGTTTTCAATGGGTGACAGATCTGGAGACCATGTAGGCCACGGAAGCAATTGAATACCCTGTATATCGAGAAAGATCAGAAAACAACATGCAATATGTGGCCTTGCATTATCTTGTTGGAAGATGGAGTTTAGCAATCCTCAAAGATACACACAACCACTGGACGCAAGATGTCAGAAATGTACCGATCGTTTAAATTACCATCGATCCGAACTAGAGATGTGCAAATTGCATACACAATGCCTACACAAACCATCATACCAGCTGCAGGAGCCTGCATGCTATTCAATATGAACCTCAGCAACCCACTTATTCCATATTTGCATTACAGTGGTTGGATATCGACCAATGCGACGGGTGAAATCACTGAACAATAATCCGCACTCTTGATAGGCAACGATCCTGCTTCTATCGAATTCCAACATTTGCTGGTAAGCATTTATTATTATTATTCGAGGCATAACACGATATTCTGAGCAAACTCCAACCTTACAAAGTGCTTTCTGATTGAGATATTCATGACACAACTTTTCTTTTATACAGTGCATCAGATGTCGTTTCTCCTTCCTGCGCCTAAATGCACTGAAATACAAATCATTTGCACATCCCTACTTCTCATTTTCAAGCTCATCAGATCATTCCTTCCTAGTGTTACAATATTAATGGCCAGCAGTGTATTACAGGGCAAAACATACATATAAAAAAGTGTAAATTAGACACATAAAATCTCAGCAGCTTTAATGCTTTTGCGGAAAAGTAATTTAAAAAAGGTGATTTATAAAAAATTTATTATCTTATTTAAATTTCAAAACAATGACATTTAAAAACCACCAGAATGAAAAAGACAAAGCATGGTAAAAGATTGAAACAAAGAAAAAAAAACTTTTTTTTCAAATATCATAATTTTTAATACATCATTATTTCAATGAGATACTAATAAAATATTTTTTATATAGGCCTAAAATTCAGAAAGTCTCAAATTACAACTTGTGTAGGCAAAGTAATTTTAAAATTGTGTTAAATAAGTGAGCCATAATAAAAGATTTCATATAGCAGAAAATTAACTTGTTTTTAATACAATTAAGGTCAGTTTAAAACAACTGTTGCAACTATCTGTGAACAGAACATATATTGAATATGCATTTAGTGACAAACTGCTAAACCAAGCCAACTTTAAAAAAGCAAACATTAGCATTTATAAGAAACAGCAAAAATTTTTAAAAATAAACTTTGCAGATTAAAGTTGGGGGGGGGGAACAGTTTTGGTAAAAATTACTAAAAATTCACAGAAGCTGGAACATATGCAATTGTTAAAAAATGTATAATACGTATTGCAAAAAAAAAAAAATTGCTATACATAAAAGTACACTTCTGTATAATAAACCATGAACAGTCTGAACAGAGTGAAGCTGTACTGGAAAAAAAAAATTACTGGGCAAGTCTAACATTCAGATAAATATAGTTAAATGGGCGAGAAATCACCAGACTGGCGATAATTTTGGTGTCTTCTGCCACCAAATTTAGCAAAAGTGTGCCACTTCATTACTTCTCTGAGAGCAGACGCAGTATATATCCTTTGAAATCTGCCTGAAAATCAAGAGGCTAGGCCTCTACCTGGCACGTAGGAGCTGCGCTATGGTAAGAAGTGTTCAGACTACAGCAGGCATCAGTTAAACTAGCACCATCAGAAGCACAGAGAAACACTCCAAGAGTTTGCCATGGGGATGTTGAAAGGCTGTCTCATCCTGCTTTTCTGGACTGCCCATCAGAGACAAGGAAAGTTCTGTCCCTGCAGTATTTTTAAGAACTTTACAGCATGAAATTCGTGGCAGGCGAGCTAGCAACCTGTACAGACTGCCACCGAATCAAAGATGTTCATGTCCAGGAGCCAATGGTTGGTTAGCTTGTTTACTTTTATTGGCATAAAACCTTAAAGATTATGATGTCCCAGATGAATGATTGAATAAATTTCAAATGCACAAAACCTGAAGCACAGGGTGATTATAATTACAGTTGTGATTTTAAATGCTCCAACTTTAAAACTACAGGTCAGAATGATTTGATATTTTACGACAACAATCCTGAGTTAATAAAATTTCTGTCAGTGTTCATATTGCTGTTGTGGGTGTATAGAGGAAAGGAAAACACTACACTACAAGGGTTTATGACAATTTTATTAGTGAAAAGACAAGAATAGGTATTTACAAAGAAAACTGCGTTGGTGATAAGAAAAGCTTCACGAAACAAACACCTTACGGATGATTAATGCACAAGTTCAATATGCCCTTCTCCTTCTTCTGTTGCTAACTGGAAGGACAAAACTGCATGTTCACAACAGATCAAAGGATATGTATGTTGATGGAATGAATGTGGTGCACGATGCTTGCCTTCAAGGTTGACCAGATTCGCAATTTGCTCACTGCAAACAATATTCTTCTGATATCCCCAAAGCCAAAAGTCACATGGGTTTAAGTCGAGAGAATGAGGATGCCATGCTGTTGGAAACTGGTGCTTTACGATTCTATCATCTTCGAAATGAGCGATCAGCAGCTGCTTCATAAGAGTAGCAATGTACCGCGGAGTGCCATCTTGCATGAATATTGTGTGATCCACACATTGGCATTGCTAAAGTGGCAGAAGGACATGGTTACATGAAAGTGCTTCATACCGCTTGCCAGTAATGGTGACCCACGGTTGTGATCTCTATGAAGAATGGCAGACAATAATTGCTGTCATTATTCCACACCACCCAATGACGTTTTCAGACTGAAGAGGAAATGGCTGTAGAGGGAACGGATTCTTGGTCTCCTATATGCTGAAATATGCGTATTTACAGAACCTTGCATATCGAAATGCACTTCGTCAGAGTACAGAATGTTTCAAGGCTATTCATTATCCGCTTCCATCTGGGCATGAAATTGTAGTGCAAACGATTCACGTGTCTCCAGTTTCAGGTAACGAATGCTACACGTGAGCTATCTTATACGGATAACAGCGCAAGGTATTCCACAGACTTTACGCATTGTGCTGATAGGCATATCCAATATTTGGCCAATTCCCAGTGAACTACTGATTCCTGCATCACTGTTTGTATGTTCTTGTAATATTGTAATCTGTGGTCACATCATCTTGTAATGCATGTAATCATCTTGTAATGCTGTGGTCACCATTTCCACTGCAAAACTGGTTCTCTTCCTCTACATCATCTCAAGTCAAAGGAACCGATCTCCTTGGATTTATTTCTCATTTTCCATAGGCCATATTTGGTCATTAGGCCGGATTTTATGCCTTTTAATGTCCGGAACTTCCCGACAACAGTTAACGCACAGTCACCATTCTGATAGAAAAAGCTTCAGGAAGATTTTTATCTTCGCTATGTCTGCAGTGCGCATGTTCTTAGTAATTTGCATACCAACAGCAATGGAAACCCTGACAGTGCCCTTTATTGACATATTTTGACTTTTTTCCCCCTTTTCCAAACAAAATTCCATTGCCTCACAATTGTTCAAGCAAAATATCAAGTCATTCTGCCAAAGAGTTTTAGAGTGCACTTTGAAATTGCAAATTCAATTATAATCACCCTGTATATTAGATAAGGTTCATATGAGCAGTGTTTCAACAGCAAAATAAAGCACATTCACTTGTAAACCATATATAAAATATAGCAAAACTAAAATGCATAAAAAGCATGATAATGTATTATATAAATTGTTAACATATCTTGTAATGCTGATGAAGGCATATTACAGATGAATGTGAAAAATCCTCTCTCGCAACAGGTTGATCAGGAAAAAAAGGGAAAATAACTCAAATCATATGGTAAAGTCTTTTTAATAATTTGTGAGGTTAATATCGGGATATCTTCCAATGAGTTCTATTAAATTAGTATTCATAGAGTTAAAATGATGCCCACGTTTATGATTAAAAGCAGTACAATAGGTTAAAATATGATTGATTGAATTGGGAACATTGAAAGTATGACAAATAAGCTCACTACTAAAGAGAGGCTCAAGAGATACTGATATGCCAATCTGCAGTGATCAACTCTAAGGCAACTCAACAGTACATCCTCCTTTCTATTCCCTCTCTATTTTCGGTACTCTAAATTGGGTTTTACCAGCCTTAATTTGTTCAGTGCCTGATATTCCCAGTGCTTTTGCAATTTAAACAAGATCTTTGCTTTGATGTAATTCCATGTCTGTAAAGGGGACATCATTTTCAGAAGTAACATCAGCTGACTTTGCAGCGACATCAGCTAGTTCACTGCCTTTAATGCCAGCATGTCATGGCACACAGCAGTATGCAACAGAATAACCCGCGTTCCTCAAACGAAGGTGTGCCTATGAAATTTCTAAGACCAAGGAATGGCTAGTATTAGCATTTACTGAATTAAGATCACTCAGAAAGTCAAGAGTATATGATGAACTTCTTGCTTAGAAATAAAGGTTAAGGAATTCAAAATCGCAATAATTTCTCAGTAAGAACAAATGCAGCCTTATGAGGTCTACTATTTATTTCTTTATCACAAACAGCTGCCCTGACACGATAATGATTCTTCGAGCCATCAGTAGAAATTGCTCCATAGTTAGAATGTCTGCGTCTATGCTCTATGAAAATTTATTGATTGGACATCACCGCTCTATGACTATTTGTTGATTGGACATCACCTGTTGGTTAAAGTCCCTCAAAATGTCACGCAAGTAAATATTTACTTCTTGCCAGAAAGTAATACTGAAAAAGTTAAAAGCGTTTGGGATGCAGATCATTCAAGTTGAATTCTTCAATCAGTGAGTGAATGTGAAGATCAAAATGTGGGATACATGAAGGACGTGCTTGGGAGATATGCCAGTAGTGGTTAGATATCATGAATCAAACAGGATGTTCAGCTCGTGACATTACTTTATAATGAAATTCAAGGTACAACTGCCTGCGTTTGAATTCCAGGGATGGCTAAAAACAGATGACATATAAACTTTGGACTGGACATGTTCTGAAAGTTCCAGAACATATCTGTAGAGCTTGATGGCGTACAGGATCCAATTTCAATAGAGCAGAAAGTCTTGCTGATCCATAGATAACACAACCATAGTCAAGTTTAGAGCAAATAAAAGCTCTACATATGCGGAGTAAGAAACAACGTTCTGCTCCCCATTAAGTACAATTAGGACTTTTAGTATGTTGGGAACTTTAGCACATTTTTTGTTTAAATTTAAGATATGCAGAAGGAATGCAAGCTTTCTGTTAAATACGACTCAGAGGGGTATTTTGCTTCTGACTTGACTCGAATCAAGAAGCCATCAAGATGCAGATTCGTTTTGTGACAGAAATACACGAGACAGTCTTCTGGCTAGAAAATTTAAAAGCACTGTTGTTGGACCACTTTATTATTTTGTTAAGAGAAACTTGCAGTTGTCTCAATACATCTCACACCTTGACTATGACAATACATCATCAAATCAACATAAAGGAACCATTCACTGTGGAGGAACGTTCTCTTGAAATAGAATTTATTTCAGACTGAAAAGAATTACACTGAGCACTGAACGCTGAAGTACACCTTCTTCTTGTACAAATACACAAGATAGCAATTATCTACTCTTAACTTGGAATGTGCAGTTTCCCAGAAAGTTTTGAATGAAAGTAGGTTAATTAGCATGCAGCACAGTGCTATAAAAGTCATGAAGAATTCTATGCCACCAAGTTCTATCATATGGCTTTTCCATGTCAAAGAAGACAACTGAAAGCACATAATTTCTTTTCACAAATGCATTGTATGCCCACCAGCGGCCGAGCGGAACACTGGTAGTTTGGTTCGAGGTGCGAATCCCGCCAACGGGCTGGCTGCATGAGGGTTATCATAGTTTTCCCCATGTGTAACGTGTATATGAGCCAGTTTCCCTTAGAAAGTCCTCTACAGAGGCATCCCTCCCCTTAGGCAAATAGTCCTCGAGGCTTTGCCATAATCACATACACACAAACGCATTGCATACTGTGGTTTCTAAGAACAGGACATTGTCAAGTGAAGATATTCCCTTACAGAAGCCACTTGGTTTTTCTCCAGGTAGTAGGTAGGACGGTGATTTACCATTTTTTCCAGTAACCTTGCAAAGGCAGCTAGTAAGTGCAATAATTCAAAGAATTTTTCTGGTCCTTGCCGGGTTTTGCTATAGGAATTGCAGAAGCTCTGCACGAAGCAGTTAGAAAAGTTTGTTCCTTCTATACTCTATTATAAAGAGCTAAAAGGACCAATAGAGATTCGTGGAGGCAGATGCTTTACCATCTGCCATTAAGACCAGAGAGAGCATCAGTTCTCAGTTCTTAGTTCACAGCTGACTTCAGAGTATTGAGAAATCATGAGAGCTTCATCTTTTAGATGCACTTTGGCTCTCTTATGCCTTCTAGTAATTTCGAGAAGCAGAAAGTATTAGAAATATATTGGTGGCTGGGTGAAATCTATACAAGTCCGTAGAAAGTATCTGTTCCGAGTTGAGAGTTCAGCGCGAGTCGGAATATTGAAATATCTTTAAGTTAGCTTTGCTTTTTAGATGTGCTTTGCATTGTGTTCTGTTTAACGTTTATAGTAGTCTGAAGTGGTAACTACTGATTTTGCTCTGTTATACTGAGAAAAGCTGTACGAGTAATTTTGTGGAAAGATCAATAACTGTAAAGTGCTTCTTTTGGGTAGATACATTTTATCAAGTATCTTTGGTTCTGTATGCATTCAATCCATTATGAACCCATATGCATGCAACATTAGCGATTGCAATATATTTATTAATTAAAAAGAATGTAATTGAACCTTTAGCTTTAACTACATTTTCAGAGTTTACTAAATACTCCACATTTTGAAGAAAGTTACGTTTTTATACTTGGATTGGATTATTTAATTATGGCAAAGCACACGAGGGCTATCTGCCTAAAGGGAGGGATGCCAACGTGTAGGACTTTCTAAGGGAAACTGGCTCGTATACACGTTACACATGGGGAAAACCACGAAAACGCCCATGCAGCAAGCCAGTTCGCGAGATTCAAACCTCGAACCGAACTACCAGTGTTCAGTGTCTTTACCGCTTGGCCACTGGTGGGCCATTTTTATACTTGTGTCTTTTTCAATTGTTCAAATAAACATAGAGGATGCACCTATTTTGATTTAATCATTTTTTATTTATTTTGTTTGAAAATTAGTTTCAGTAACACTGATCTGTTCTACCAATTAATTAATACAGGAAAATTAATAAATTTTGTCCATCCTCTTGATGAGAGCAAAAATAGTTCTATCTGACTGTTCTAGTACTTTTGCCATTTGCCTTCAGCAAAGTTCACTTTTGCTGAAGTTCTTTTTTTTAACTCATTTTCAACTTTTTCTTTTGCATTTTTGTTCTACTTTAAAATGGTTACAATTTTAGCATTTAACATTAGTTAATTACTATATACATTTAATTTATCAAAAAAGGTTAGCTCCCTTTTCCATTTTTAACAACCAAAAATAAATAAATAAATAAATTTAAAAAAAAAAACCTCCCTAAAACTGCTATTCTTGGGAATTTACCACTACTCACTGCTGATGTAAACAGGTCTGCATACATGAAATATAAATAAACCATTGAGAAAGTGCATTTAAATTGTGATTAAACATATGAAAAATTCTTTGCATGTGTTAATCACATTAATTCCAAATTAATTTTAGAAGACAAAGGAATATAAATTAAAAAGCTCTGAATTACTTTAAATGAAAAATCTGCACAGACTTGGACTGTGTTTGCTATAAAAACAGCATGCTTTGGTACAAGGGGGATTAAACTTTGTAGAGTCTAAAGAAGATGTGAAATATGAACAATGGCCTCACTGGGATTCGAAGCTCCCGACTTCGCAGCAGACGTTCTCCAACTACCCCATGAAAGTAAGCAAAAAGAAGGGAGAAAATACCTTATGACGTCACTAATAAAATTGTCTCTTTAATCACAACATGTTATGAATATAGTGCGCTTTTCTGTTAAAATGTTGACTTTCATATAAGAAAATATTGGCATTAAAATTGCCCCACTCATTTTTCTAAAAATTAAAATATTTATATCTGCAAATATACATGGAGAACAGGCATTCATGAATTAAATATTCATGGATAATCAAAATTCAACTATCTATAAGAAATAGAAATAATAAATGTTGAAATATTTTTATTATGTGCAATCAACACTATGAAGATACAAGTTTCAGAATTTCTAACTTAATGATCAAAATTGCTTATAGAATAGATAAGGTGCAATTTTTACATAGTAGACAATTTACCCAATACAAGATAGCAAATTTAAAGATATGATAAAATATAGGGCATTATGCTTTTTTACACAATTTGTAAAATATCACGATGAAATGTTTAATGAAAGAAATCTACTCTTGCCTACCATATCAAAGTTGTGTTCCATAGACAGGAGATTTATTAATACAGGAACTACTTGCTTTACGGGAAATCCTGTCAGAGTGTCTTCATTACCCATGACTAGCAACTGACACATTTCCATAACTGCTTGCAACTGTTGTCCTTCATCACCTGCAGCTTGAAGTCCTTGCAACAACTGATGTGCACGATTAGCTAAAAAAAAGTTAATGCTTAACTTAATAATTTATTTATACACACACACATATACATCATTACAACAAATTAACCCCTTAACTGCCGCGAGCGTATATATACGCCTTGCTCAGCCGATGCGTTAACTGCCCCGGGCGTATATATACGCCCTTCCAAACTACTATCATATGCTTTGCGCTGCTACCCGTATCGCAAAGCATTTTAGGTATCTTTTTTTATTATAAAAACATCATTTTTATTACTTTTAATACTTATATCCTTTTATATACTTTTACTCAAAACATTAAATTTTGTGCATTCATTTTTTTTATTTATTATTTTGTGCAAGTAAACCGTTTTCAGAAAGTAAAACTTGCACTTATTTTGCCTCCTAATAACATTGCATAACTACGCGCGCATGTGGTGAAGAACAGGGGCACTGGGAAATGAATCTTGTACGTTTTCCACGGCAGTTAAGGGGTTAAAATATTATAAAAATGTTAATAAGATTGGCATGTAACTTCTCTTGTTTGAGAAACTTCAGGATATTTAGAGGAACACAAGCTTATTTGTTAAATAATTAATTTTATTTGTTAGTTAACATTAGCAATAGTTTTAGTTATGAGTGGTACAGTGTTTGTACATGCAAGGTGCTCTTGAAATAAGGAAGCACTTTATTTCCCAATTACTGACACTATGCATATGCTACTAATTGCAAAGTTTATTTAAATAATATAACACTTTATAAAAACAGTTACAATGCTAGATAAGGTTTAGAATAGCTGTAAAAGTATAAAATTTACCTTTTACACGGTCCTTGTCCCAAAAAACTCAGAAGAATTAACATGCCTTTATAAGTTAAATGTAGATAATTCCATACTTTACTAGCAAAATTTGTGAAGATATTAGAAAATAAAATTGCTGGTTTATGTATATTTAACCAAAATTAAAAGGTTTTTAAGTACCTTTGAGGGCTTGGAATAACAGCTAAACAAGCACTGAATAATGAACCATATTAGATAAAGCAACACTAATTACTTATTCTGAGAAAACAACTGTGAGAAATTATCCACTAAATTTTGTGGATAAATAAAGTAACAGAACTTTTTCATTTAACTTACAGAATCATACAATGAAAAAAAAAAAAAAATAAATAATCCCCCTCTCCTTGGTGACTACATTAAAAAAACAAAAATCAGGTATATTCAAATGCATTACTTTCACTACTAAGCATTTTTTTAAAATTTTGTACCTTATATAAATAAATAAATAAATAAATAATAAAAAAAAAACCCTAGCTGAAAGCACATGCCTACAAGGAAAAGTAGTGCCTGTAGCCACCGGGTAGTACATAATAATGTGACTCATTTGACTTAGATAAAACAATCAACTTAGAGAAACATGAAAGGCATCCTGAAGTTAGCTTCTAAAACTGAATAAAAAAGAAACAGGCACAGGAACTTCTCAAATACCAAAACTTAAAATAGCTAAAATTATTAATGTACTATTTAAAAATTAGATCTTACTTGCAGTAGTTCCCATTGAACGATGAAGCAGATGCTGCATTCGAGGCCCAAGAGCACCAAATAAATGAGGTGGTAATCCTCTTGCTTCTAAAAGGGCTGGAAGAGAAAATCCTAATATTTTCATATTGCAATCCATCCCACCAAACATACCTATATATATATATATACACACATACATATGTGTGTGTATAAACATATTAATAAAAATGTCAAAATAAACTATAGTTGAAATAGAAGAACCCCAAGAATTTTTTACAGAACTAGCTTCCAGTAATAAGACACTTTTGACAACAAAATATTGATCATGTTTCAAATAAAGTTAACCATGCTTTCACAAGAAATATGGGCATATAAATAGATTAACAGTTTAGGTAGCAGCTGCCTAGATGGTATAGTGGCTAGGGGAGCCTGACTTTGATACCGAAGGGCCTGGGTTCGAACCCCGGAGACAGCATGGATATAAAATTTGTCAGTTGCTTCACACAGGTGGCAAAGCTGGCCCACCTGTTAGGTGCCTCCATAATAAGGAGACTACCATATCTAGCCTTAGGAGTGGCCGATGCCAGCAAAGGCAAGTGCCCGCCATTGAGGGAAAAAACAGTTTAGTTAGCAGTTTGACTTCAAGAATAAATAACACCATGACTTAAAAAGTTCTTTGACTTCACTTTTTTTAATAATGTAACATCATTTTTCTAGCTTACTGCACTACAAGCATAATTTATTTACATGTGGAGCACAAAAAATTCACTATGTTTTAAACAGAATTTTGGAGCCACCATTTAACAGGACATTTTAAGAGAATAAAATCAATTTATTCATTTATTGTAAGGTGTTTTTTTTTTATAAAAAATTTACTTTATTCTAAAGATGAGAATGATCATTAACTTGACATTTTCATCACTGAAACTGCTGATACATTACACCAGTGATATTTCACTTTTTCTCAGTTTGTGACACATTGAAGAATGAATAAAATGCCTATCACAATTTACTGGATTGATTATTAAAAAAAAGTATACAGTCACACCTCTACTTAGCTAATATTTAGGGGCCAAGATTTGTATTTCTCATCAGATTGCTGTTAATACATGAGGATGTGTTATTTAGCAATAAATTTTGTCTTCAGCACAGAATATTTTAAAGCAACTTTAATAAGAATAAAATAACACTGCCAGCATTAAAAAAAATCACTTCATTAAGCATGAGTAAGTAAGTTTCAAAATGAATAAAAAATATACATAATAAATAATAATAATTTATCTGGTTTAATAAAGGAAAGTAACAATTGGTTGTAAATTATATAAAACTCGGTCAAAAGTCTGTATATTCATTGGCATGGTCTTTTTTACACAAATGTTTAGCAAATTAGTATCTATAGTTGAAAAAGCAATTTTTATGCATTTTAGTTCGTTAAAATTTAGTATATTAACATGCTTCACCATTTTTTACAATTTCTCATCATTTCTCTTCTTTTTTCACTTATAAAATCTATTTATAAACTTCATTTTTCTGGGCATACACTGTTATCATCAGACTGATTCTGCCATCAGAAGTTTCCACTATCATTCTTTATTATCGAACTTTTTATTGATTTATCTTTATCATCATCCGTATTATTACAGAAATTAGTTTTAACCAATCCCGCTGTCTTGCATTCTTTGGACTAAGCTACAGCTAATGTTTTTAATAGTTTTAATATACCTTAAACACCAACACTTTTAGCGCATTTAAAAGATAAACTTCATTTGTCAATTTGAGAATCTTTAATGAATACAGTAAACCACCCTTAACATGAACTTGCGTTAGGCAAACACTTGGTTAATATGAACAAAATTTTGATTTCTAAAGCAATGTATATGATCTAACAGAAACTTCTTCAGTTGGCACAAATTTTGGTTAATATGAATTAGTCCACTGTGTCATCAAGACCTTATCATTTAACATAACCTTCGAAAGTTTTTCATATTTTTCGCCCCCTGTGGTATCTCTCTTCTCCAGAAATTTTCTGTCCTGTTTAATTGAAAACATTATAGAATATACTGTATTCATTAAAACATAGCCGAGTGTGAGCCTGAGGTGCAAAAAATGTCATCCGAAGACAGTGAGCATGACATCATTCCACCCATCCACCAGGATATGTTACGCGCCTAGAGCACTGTAGAATGTTTTGCTGCTATATGCAAATTGAATGCTGATTTTACAGATGCCATGAGTATCACTGGCCATGAAGTTGCTGATTTTCTAGTACAGTAATTAAAGTAGTACTACAGTATTTTGTAAGATGACATACATAATATATTATAGTTCTTATGTAACTATAAACTACAAATGGTTAATGTGTAGAAAAAATTATTCCAAAAATAACACCAGACTTCCTAGTCTCTTTAACATTTTGGTCCCCTATGATTCGTGCTAATGAGGTTTTACTGTATCAACTTTATACACTATGAATTTATGCAAAATGATGCAAACGTGCACACCTAACTGCACATATTTATACAAACCATATGATTTTTTTGATAAGCACTTTAGAAAACATTCAACAAGTTAGAATATTTTTTATGTAAAAATACAATGCATAAGGAGTGTACGGCCTTGGCAGGGTTTTGGAAATTGTCGCCAACACCAAAATAACTCGTTTACTGCTCATCATCGTGTCACCAATTCCCACGTGCACTATATACTAGGATTAAACCAAAAAATAATATTTAAATCAGTTTTTGTACAAATGCTGTGAACAATGGCAGATTTGCTTTTATTAAGAAAGACACTACATTATTGTGTTTGTAGAAATAACAATATAGGCCTGTTTTTGCTAATAAAAGTTTTTTCAATGTGTCATTACTAACATTAGATCTAAATAAAGGCCTTGTTTTAGTAACACCATTGCAAATCATCTCACACTCTGCATTCTTATGGGGAATTGTCAGGACGGCCAACAACATTTTAGAGAGTTCCCTGCACTTTAAAATTTTAATAGCACCTTTAAGTTTTCCAATTAAACTCCTTCGGGCATTAAACCTTGCTGGTTTTATAACTTTATCCAAGTTTTCTCATTATAAACCGCAAATCTGCGACTGCAGTATAACAGACAAAACACTGATATCACCGTCTTTCCAAACTAAATGAAGCAAAATTGGAAATATACATTAAAAAATATCTTATACATGAAAAAGATGCATTTGCTAGAGCAGAAACATCTGCAACTTTAGCATATAAAATCACTACATTAATGACTGGAAATTCATGCGGTAATCACATACTCGCCAAAAATAGCTTCCAACAGAGAAATAACTTATTATTGTCTTTCTCTGTCCTTTGCAGTGCTTATTACCAAATTTTCAACTTTCTTCTGGTTTTCTATTTTACCACAAATCACATGATATATAGAACTAGAAAACAAAAGTCGGTTTACAAATTTCGATAAAATATCTTTAAAAAGATTAATAATCATTGATTGCATAAATGAACTAATGGAATTCTACACTGCAGATCTGTGTTAAGAACACTGCATGATATAAAATGGAACATACAGAAAAGTTAGCTTCGTTAAACCTCAACAACAAACAAATGTTCATTCTTCCACAAGATAAGCTTTTTCCTTGCCAAGCAATTTTATTTTGTGAGAAATCTGTATCACCTATACACTTGTATTTTATGGCATTATTTTGGAAATTGCAATTAAGTTGCTCACAGGTACAGAATTTATTTTTCTCATGCCTATTTTTTACAGTGGAAGTAGTAACTACATCTCCATTTACTTTAGGTGTTTTATAACTTTCAATAGAGCTCTTTAGCTTAATTCTAGATGCATTTACTTCCTCCTTAAAAAAAATGTAAAGTTGGATTAAATTGGTCGAGGATTCTGGGTAAAAACATTACTCAAAAGATAATGAGCATAAACATTCAAGTTAAAAATTTTCCGATTTCAGTATTATGCAGCTGTGGGAAATATTTCAATTTTTCATTCTTTTTAGAACTCCAAGATAATAACAAATATCAACATCTTCATTCACACTAATTGGTCAAGAAGCTGCCCCCTTTTTAGCTATTATACTTAAAAGATGACATATGTCCCTCATAATTTGCAAATCTGAATTTTCTTCTTTTAGGACGGCTGCAACACTAGTCCCCCCTAAACCATTACTGGTATAATAATGGTAGACTTGAAGTGACTTGACACCAAGTGCTAAACAATACTGCAGAGGAATTAACACTTTTTTAAAGTTTTAATATTTTTCTCTACTATATTAAAGCCTGATAAACCTCCTTCTAATGTGGGGCAGAAAGTAAACTACACTCAATTTCTGAAGATTCTGGATTAAAAAAAGAAACAACAACTAAATCCTGCTTTACATCAGTATTATTACTTTAATTTGCAGACAGGCAGAATGGAGCTGTTTTAATGCAATATATAACTGAAGATTTATTTTTCATACAGATTTCTTTAACAACTGCAGCCATTTCTGTCCTGAGTTTTTCTTAGAAACTTCACTATTGGGGAAATACTTTTCTAAATCAAGCTGCAGCACGATACAATGCATTCCATGGCAGGTTGTGCTCCAGTAAAAAGACAGGGAACACGCATTCTACATTAATAATTTTTTCGGTCCTTTGTTTCCACAGACAAATTTAATTTTTTCCCCATAGAACTCATGCTGTACTTGTGTTTTTGTGTATGCACATATTTGAGAACGTTGGCCCTTCCATCATGTGAAATTGAAAAATGACAAATGGTACACAACATAAATGTATTACATTTCCTTGAGGAAATATAGAAGGAAAGTCATCTGTGTACTATTTTTGAAAAGTACATGAGTATTTTACCTTTATTCGCAGACATAACTGAAACAAAAGAAGATGATTTCTTAAACTAATCTCAATTACATGCATTCACACCCCTCAGCGACAAGATGAATAAAATAAAAGCCTCAATCTTGCTTCGTGCTCATTGGCTAATATATGCTAAGTGACACACAGTGGCGTTCGATGCTTATTGGAGAACTGTAACACGATGCTTCTTTCGGACACAAGTGCTTTTATTCACAAAGAAGAAAAGCACTATCATTTCTCACTAATAAAATGACTTTGTTTTGTTTTTTTAATATGTAATCCTAGAGGAAAATTAAATAATTTCAGATGCCCAAAATCGCTTTTTTCTGGGGAGAGGGGGTGCAACTAATGAAGTAGTAAGTCCAGCTACATAAAAATAGTCAGAAATTTTAAGAATAAGTTGGGAAAAATATGTTGTAAATTGGTTTGTGGGAGAATTGCCGGAAATCGAGAGTCTCCTGCCTAAATCGGGAAAGCCGGCAACTTTGCATTTAAATAAAGCAGCATTAAAAATGAAAATTTTATATTTTTGGAAATTTCCTTTCACATAAATTACCATTTAGGTAAAAATCTTTCTTTTCCCCTCCTTCATCAAAATATTTGACCATTATGATACACAGCTTTACTTTTCAGGACAGCTTTTTTATATTCTGATTAGACTTTCAACAAAATACTAGTAATACAGATATTTAATGCTACCATTTATTACATTTCACAGCCATGCACACACATATTAAAAATTATTAAATGATAACATGCCTTGCAAACGTCCCATTTCACTATCTTCAGATTCACTATCACCTATTGCAGCTATGCTTGCAGCAATATTCATACCACTAGATGCTATAAAAAAGGCGAGATTAATTCCTAAAATACTGCGAAATGAATATCTAACAAACATTTCAGGTACAATGGAATGAAAAATGAGAAATATTAAAAACAATACCTGGTGTACTGCCAGCACCCTCATGAATAGCACTGCTTTCAGAAGTAAATGGATTTGAAGATATTTCTTGACCAGTGTCTATACCAGACATACCAGCTCTTGCTCTTACTACTGCCTGGCGACTTGTCCCCCCTCCTGCAGCAGTAGCACTTGATGTAGGGAGTTTTGTTACACGGGAGGAACGCCGACTCCTAGTAAAAAAAAGGAATCGGTAATCAGGATTTGATTTCAATGTAAAAATTAGAACAAAAACAAAAAAGATGAAAAAGCAAAAGCATGACATAAGACTTTACTTAGCAAAAATTACCTCGACTTAGCAGTATATGGATAAATCAAAGTATTTCTATCTTAATGAATACACAAAGACACAGATAAATATATATTTATTAGATAAAATACCAATTAGATTTACAGTAGCCCCTTTATTTTTCATTTTAGATCGTTATTTCCTCTTTCCATCCTAAAAATAATAACTACTTCAAATAACCACTCTAAACGTCATGTGATGATTTGAACACAAGAAGACGTAGATATTAACAAGAATAGCTATTAAAAGCTTGATGCGGTTGTGGTAGCATGAACATTTCTATTTCTGATACATTTTTAATGAAGCAATATAACTTGGCACAATTTCATGTCTCTTCTTTAATAGTTACATTGGTACTTTTACCTTTTGGAAATATTTGAAGAAAGAAGGTGCAGCAGCGGATAGCACACTTGAAAGCCACAGAAGCGAGAAAAGATTATATACCTTTCAAGTGAAGGTTTCACTGATTTAGTTATGGTTTTCACTTAGTTATGGTTTTCACTTTTTATGTGACTAGTTGCTGAAGTTTCAGTTTGCAAAATTTTAAATTAATATTTGCTGTAGTGTATGTAGATGCATGATGCATCATTAGCATTATCTAATAATCCTGCAAGAAAGATTAATTTTGAAATGGTACAAATTAGAAATTATTATACACAATTATTATTTTTAGGATGGAAACGGAAAATATACTAAAAAGAGTTAAGGGGCTACTGAAAATTAGAGATAATTTGATCTCATTTCATTCTTTTTGTTACCTACAGCTGGACTAATTAACCTGTTTCTACTGTTACATTTATTATTCCATAAAATTCTAACGGATCCTGCATTTCAGTTTGCCATAAGAATTTTTTTTTCAGTGTACATTTAGTCCCTGTCTTGTTTTATACTGACTTCTTATACATTTGATGGCTCAATGGTCCATCAGAGCAGAAGGTTGTTGGATCAAAATAGTGCATATTTAACTCCCGTAAGTTTACTTCTGTTTTTTTTTAATTCAAAATAATTTTTGGATACACATTACACTCAAAATATATTGCATTTGTATAAAAGCGCACAACTTTTTTTTTCAAAATTTAAATGTTTTGCACATATTTCACACTCAAAATTTCTTGTCCATATGGTACTATCCTACATTTATGTTTTAACGGAATTTTTTTTTCTCATTTTATAACCTACTCTCCTGTTCGGTCCTTTTTTTTTTTAAACGAATGCATAAATACATTTAAAACACAGTTCTGTTTTCAGCTGAGATTTTTGTTTTATACTAATTTTTATTAGATTTTTTTACTGTTATAAGAAAATATGACTTTGAACTACTTCTGCCAGTACAATTTATGTTGCACATAATTTGTACAATTTATATTTGCAGAATAAATTGGATTTAATTTACGATTTCATATTTCTATTTTTTTTATTTCATTTCTATATCAATTGTAGTGAATAGACAAAAATATTCCACTTTTTTTGACTAAAATCCCTCACAACTGTGTTGCAAAAATCTCTTACCCCCAAAAGTACCTCTTTCCACCTTTTAATAATACCATCAGATAGGCCAATTTTAGCAAAATTCTGGAAATTTTGTTGCTTACCATAAAGATCAGTCAGCCAGTGATGTGAATACCAATTTAACTATCAATCTGTAAAGTTACTGGACTTTGTTAAATTCAGAGATCATTCGTTAAGTAAAGGGTTGCTATTTAACATGCAGGTTATGAATGAGGATCTTTGCAAGTTAAAATGAAAAATCACATGACTTGAGGTTAGAAAGCACAAATTAACTTCATGACGCTTTGACAAATGTAATTAAAAACTAAATAGTATTTTTCTTACTGCCAAATGCAAGTTATGGAAAATCTCCATTTTCCCATAAAAGTTGAGAGTTCTTTCTATGGGAAAGAGTTATTAAGTCCTTAGGTTTATTTCGGAGCAGAAACACAAAAAATGGCAATGGCTTTTACAAGACTGGAACTCTGGACCTCCCACTACTAGCCAAACACTGAGAATTCTGACTAACTTGTCAATCAAATTTTTTCGTTTTCAGTTAACTTCTCTGTCACTTTCTTCACAATCGGTAGGGGTATTTTCTGGATCTAGAACCATACTACAGATTTTGCCATTAATTAATTGATTATGATTAAGAAGCATTGTCATGACAATGAAAAACTTCTTTTATATCATCTTCATTTATTATTGCTTCTCCACATTTCTTTACAAAATCCGTTAATTGTAAAATTTCACCCTTGTTTTGTAATATTCAAAAACCTTTAAAACTTGTGGTTACAATCAAATGTAGCTATCATTCACTATACATATTTGGCTATGCATCATGAGCTTGGCGATTAACGACAAACTGTTTCGTTAAATTTTATCTTGCTTCTATCACGCATTGAGACAATTAAGCTTGTATTATATTAGTTTAGCTACTTATTATGCTTATGTCCATTTCTTGCACATGCTTAATGCTTATCAGAGTTCTGAATAAATAAATTCCCACATATACTTAAACCTTATTGAGGGCCGACGCTAGATAGCTTGCCACCTAATGCAGTCTCTGTAGGTCCTAAGTTCTGCAACCCGGTGCAGCCTTACGAGTTCTGGTGCTGGCTCTGGGTTTATGTGAATAACAAATCAATTACTCTTAATTCAAGTAGCCCTAAATGAAGTAATTGGGTTTATAAGTATCATCAACAAAATCTATTCTTAGCATATATATGGAAAGAAATTTTTCAGCTCATTTAACTTAACCCTTTGACGCGCACGATACTCGCGCCCTGAAACCACCAATTTTCGAATTTTTCCTCCTCTTCCTTCCAAAATTTTTGAGTGAAAATCAATTGATTACTGATCTTTTACCTCTAAATAACACAAAATGACATCAGAATCATACATGTTTTAGGTCTTAGTACTTCAAATCAGATGCCTTTTAAAATTCGTTTCCAATGAGACAAAATAACTTCATTTTATTAATATAAACAACATTAAATTTCAAAAGTTATTCATCGCACATCAAGATTTCTATCATAAACAACAAAAAATAGCAATAATTAAACTGCATATATAAAAAAACCCTCTATATGTATGTCATTTGCTTTGTGGTTTCAGGGCACGATAACTGCACCACTAGAGCATTGTGTCACAATGCTCACAATCCTCTAGAGGCTCGGTGGTCGAGCCTTGAAACCACTGCTCTTTACAATGGCGTTCGCTTGCTTCTCAAATAGGAATGTTTATTTTTACCTGGATATAGATAAGGGGTTTTGAAACCACAGAGTTATTTTTATTACTAAACAATACATGCACCTGCTCAGAAAAAAGGTCTTTCTTTTTCCAGAGACTTTTCTCTGACCTCAACACACTTGCTCCCCAAGCTAGTATTGTGATTTTATAAATTATTTCCTGTGGTTTAAATTTAATGTAAATATACTTTGCTGCAATTAAAAATAGAAATTGCGTAAAGTTTTATAATTAAAAATATTTTAGACGAAATACGATAAAATAAGTACAGTCAAAAGTCGTTAATCCGGACTCATTGGGACTTCGGTGATTCCGGATTATAGATCATCAGTTTAAATCTCTAAAGATGGCATGCAGAAATTCTAAAATTAAAAATATGAAACCATAATTTATGAAATAAAGAACAATTATGATCTAAAGGGTATCAAAATTTACAAAAAAAAAAAAAAAAAAAAAAAAAAAAAAAGCTTCATATTTATTTGTTTACTTTATTAAACATTTATCTCAATGTAAGTTGTTTAAGTTGCTTCATTTTACGTGATAATACTTTCTCTTTAATTCTATAAAAAGACATAATTTCTTGTTCAGTTACAAAGTTCCGCTGTTCAAGTCCCGTTAATTGCTGTGCCGAGAATACCGACTAACTTGTCAATCGAAATTTTTTCGTTTTCACTAACCCCTCTGTCACATTCTTCATGTCTTTATCCATTTTTTGCAGCAATTCCACTTTTTGTTTGTTGGACATCGAAACATACTTTCGTTTTTTCCGGCATCAGAAATTCTATTTGACATAATCGAAAGTTCAAGTTTACTTTTATAAAATTGCTCTTACAGTCTGCAAAAAATAATAAGCGGGATCCAATTCGAAGATTAAGGAACAACGCAATCATTAACATTAACTGAAATAGATAATTAGATAATTTTAGCTTACACAGTCCGTTATACATTAAACGCGCAGGCGAAAACTTATTCTGCACTTGCGCACACGCACATGCGCAGTAGTCAAGGTCTTACGCGCACGCGTAAAATGCCTGTGCGCATGTGCCGACGCGGTGCATGCGCAGAAAGTTTTTAGCTTTGAGGTCCAGATTATAGATCATTCCGGATTATGGGTGTCCAAATTAACGACTTTTGACTGTATAAGTGGGAAACGAATGATCCGTACCAAAGCCAAAAAGACCAAGTCCCCACCCCATTAACATAAAAAAACGACAAATTTCACGTGCCAGATGAAAAGAAACTAAATAACTCTCGACATATACCAGTGAAATTTAGATCCAATCAGTGTACATTTTGTAGCACAAGCAAGAAACCTCATAGAAGAAGATACATGTGCGAAATGTGCAATATGGATCTATGCATGCACCAAAAAGACGAAACATGCTTTGAACAATGTCACAAAAATAGCTGTTCTTTAAAATTTAAAAAAAAAAAAAAAAAAAAAGTTTTTTTATCCTTATTTTACTGATGATTTTTTAATCTATGTAGCTAAACTTCCTTATTATGTAGGTACTTTCACTGTTATAGAAAAATTACAGAAATGTTTATTTTTTAATTTTTTCTGACGATTTACTTTGTAAAATAATGTAAAAATATATATATTATGCAATTCCTACGTGCATTTTTTTTTAAAATTCGTAAATTTCG